CGACACGCACCCGCGGATCGTCTCGCCGAGGCGGAATGCCGTCCGGCCGCCCTCGAGCGCGATGCCCAGGTCCGGCCCGCACTGCTGCTTCGTCATGACCATCTTTGCTTGTCGCTTTAGGTATCCTTGATGGGGCTTCTTTGTTGACCCGTGGGGGGTTTGATTGGGCGTCGCTTTCCCTCACAGCAGGAGGGGAAGCGTGGTGGTTTGATGATGAAGGGCTCGATTTTTCTCATATGAGGTGATGATCCGTGTTTAAATTAAAACAGCCTCCTCCCCTCCCTCTCGCATGGTGACCGCCACAGGCCCCTTGCAATGATCAGATAATAAGCACTACGCCGTGAGACTCGAGCTGTGCATGCCGGCGATGCAGTGGAATCCGCTGTAGGACTTTGGACGGCTCGTGTGGACTTGGGTTGATGTCATGAAGGGGGAGAGTTATCTTGGCTCTCTCCTGAGCCGCGAAGCACCAGACCACAGGCTTCAGAACACCACTAGCACTTCTACTTGATTTAATGCTGGTCTACAGCTGACAGCCACTAAAGTACCTCCTGCTTCACTAAAAATGGTCGTTATCTAAGTCGATTGGCCGTGCTAAGTCTGATACTCAGACCGACATAACGTTTTCTGCATTAATATGTGCTGTGAAAGTATATTAAGAGGCCACCTAGGTATCCAAGTGCCTTTGTGTCAAATAGTACAATGTATAAATGCTCGCATCGCCGTGCCTTGAACCGTGCTCAGCCAAGAAGGGGGTAATATTTCCAAACCCCCGTACACATGAAACCTCCCAAAATATTCTGTCGCGGAACGCCCCCTCCCCCCCCAAAAACCAAAACGCTGGACATTATTCTCGTAAAAATGTATCGCGAGATTGAAATATTCTTTTTGTTTTTACAACCTCATTTGGCCCTGTCTGCGCATCCACCGAGACAGGCGAATGGCACTCTCTGGTGAGTCGAGCACGCAGCCAAAGCTGCGCGGTCTGCCGCGATGCCTGCGCCGAGGCCCTTGCACAATTGAATTGAAAGAGGGTCAGCGAGACGAAGAAGCCTGCCAGGCGAGAGCGATCAGCGTCCCACCGGTGGTTCTGGGCGCCATCAGATGACCAAGAGGCCCTGAACGCAATCAAATCTCGTCCACTGATCTGCCGGGCAATCGTCGAACGCACTTCGTCCGCAAATTAGAAATGGAATCCATTTATAAGATAAGTGGTCCCTTTAACCTCTCCAAGACCCTCTGAACAAGTGCCTCATCAACGCCGCCTCGGGGATGCTCCCGTCGTTTGTGCTGGCCGAGTGCGGCTGCCCCATGCCAAAGCCGTCAATCGACAGCACGAGCACGTCGCCAATCAGCCTCGGCTCCGTCATGTACGCCAGGTCGCGGACCGAGTTGAGCGACGGGTCGAACTCCTTGAGCTGGTCGAAGACGGCGTCGGTCCAGGCGGCGGGGCCCGTCGAGTTCATGACCTCGGTGCTGCTGGGCATGAGGAGCGAGACGGGGGACTGGTGCTCGACGGCCATCTTCTGGACGGACCAGAGGACGCGGTCGATCATCTTGCGGAAGACGGGGTGGCCGGGCGCGGCGGCGATGGTCCACTGGCAGAATTGGAGGGGGTGCAGGATGTCGGCCCAGGGCCCGTTGTCGCGCTGGTCGAACTCGATGCCGACGATGAGGCCGACCTTGCCCTCGAACTGCGGCGGGACCCAGCGGTCGATGGGCCGGAGGGCGATGGTGTCGGTGTCGGTGTAGGTGCCGCCGATGGTCTCGAGGATCAGGTAGCGCAGGAGGTCCGACTTCATGCCCACGTTGGCGAGGCCGTGGTAGATCTCGCGGACCTTGGGCTGGTCGGCGTAGTGCTTGTCGAGGAGTTCTTCGCCGCCGGCTTTGCCTACAATGGTGCTGGATTTCGCAGTAGGTGGTTAGCATGGCATTCTTGAGTGACCCGTTGACAAATGCATCGCAGCGTGACTTACTACTCGTAGTCGGGGTTCAAGGCGAGCCATGTAGGGGTGTCCTGGAGGCCCTTGGGGTCGATGTGAGACTCGGTATCTAGCGGACTCTTGGGCAGTCCGATCTGCCAGATCTTCTTAGGGATCTGGATCATCTCCGGGACGACCGTGACGTTCTCGGGGAGGTGGTCGATGTGAGGGATATCGTGGTGCGCATCGTCTCCCACGCCGTGCTTCAGCGCCTCGTCGTCATCCTCCTCCGTGCCTTGAAACTGGCCATCGGCTTCGTGGGTGCCGTTATGCATATCGGTCGTCGGCGGGGCCTGGTCGTGGTTCGTGTTGTGAGCTGGGCGCAGGTTGAATGTGTCCAGGGCAGATCCGTGAAGCGTCCAGACGACGATGAGCACCATCAGTGCGGCGGCGACGGCGGCAAACAGGCGGTATTGGTGTCGCGAGATCTTGGCCCCGTGTCGCGACAGCGACTCCCCCAGGTCCTTGACCTGCATCTTGAGAATCGATAAAATAGACAAGCAAAAGAAGATAGTGATGAAGAGGGAGTTGGGCAATCGAGTGGAAGCTGCGATTGCTTCCGTAAGTACGATATGCAGGTTAGGGTTTGGGATGCAGATGAACGAATGACGGCACCAACGGTCTGGAGATGGTGAGGGAGGGCATCGAATGCGTCTCAAAGTACTTCCAGAGGGGAATTCAACTTTATTATCGAGGGTTATCCAGCTGCTGACAGCTCGACGAGGCTTGCACAGCAGCGAACATCATTGCATAATACGAGCGTCGGCGGCCATCCCCCCCACAAAACTATCGAAAACCGGCAGGCATTGAAATTGGAATTTTCAGCTAGTGACCTCCAAAGCGAGCTGTGTGATGGACGAACCTGTTGGTCCCACAGGGCCTGGACAGGGCCATTTGGGAGCCAACATACGTAGGCCCATGGGTACGGTACGCTGCGTCAAATTCGGCTAGCAGGCCAGAACAGACGCTGACGAGAGAACTGGCCGTGGCTGCGTGCAGATTCCCAAACTCTCAGCTTGGTGGAGAGCACGAGAATGGACCAATGAATGATACGAATCGTTTGCTCTGTGATGCCCGACCCAGACCACCATCCATGCAACTAGGCGAGTCTGGGTCAGGGGCTTGCCGATCGAGACATTCCAGCACCAGGATTGACCTGGTCGAGCCCATCCGATCTCCGAGGCACAAGACAGCGATCATCTGTCCATCTCACCGCGTCAGCAACAGGTGCGCAGTATCAATTTATTAATTCAGAGATCACGAGAATCGAGACAGGAGCCAAACAGTCAAATAGTCAATCAGGCATTCAGTGAATTATCTAGACTCAGGGGCATCTCGTAGGGCCGTTTGCGATCGGCTAGTCACTGGCAACAAGCATTTCTCTCAAGGCTAAGCATCCACTAGTGCATCTTGATAGCGGTAGTCGCAATTTTCAGCAAAGGAGAAACACTAGGCTTGCTTGGATCCGATTATTTGTGCATAGCCGATATGGGGATTTGCATTCCCTCTAGGTTACGTACTTCGTAGTCTCGGAAAGGGGCTCGTCTGCTCGTCTGGTTCTCGACCGTGCACCATGCTGCTTCGTGTTCTATGCGCTTTATTTCCGGATATCAACTGCGTCCTGAAGTCATATGCATCACGAAGAGACCTCGTATTAACAGAGTCAAAGGATAATAATTGAAAAAAATCATTGATGTCCTTGGATATTTTATCAATTGGGAATTATAACTTCTAATGACAATTTCCTGCGTGAATAATTAGCTATCGGAGGGTCCCTAGACTTGTAAGTATCTTCTTTCTACATGCCCAGATAAATATCCTTTAGTCAAGTGGGATTCAATCTATGCATATTCTGGAAAGTGAGGAGGGTCGAAATGGCTCACATGCTATTTAGAAAGTTCGCAGTTTATCACTCATTGTGCTATTAATAACGCTCATTTCATGGCTCAGAAAAGGGATTCATGGCGGGCTACCTATCTGAGGCTGCGCCTCTTTTGGCGGTAATTCATCAAGACGTAATTAAGAAGAGTAAAAGTCAAAATCAAAGCCACACAATAAATACACCCTCGAGGATTAGATGAGGCATCACTTTGTCGTTGACACTCTTGATTCCTGCACGGTGACCCCTGTTAGCGAGATCCGAGAATGGCAGCTACTTGCCCAGCCCCGGTGGCTTGGCATCTCTACATCAGTTCGCTAACTTGATATTTGCTCCTCTTGCATGTGATGAGAAATAGTTGAGGTTAAGAAAATACCAACAAGAAGATTTCATGGTGAGGGTTCTTCAACGAAGATGAAAACTGGTGGTCAAGGCATTTCTCCATCAACACAGAAATTGAAATCATAAATGAATGAAAAAAGAGATGTAGGTTTCTTTAATCAAGGAGCGTGCTTGGTGCGTGATAGAAATAACGGTTGCGTGAATCGGATAGAATACGAGGTGCATCTGCTAATGTCCCTCCATGTCGGATCAGCTTACGCCTTAATTACGCTTCCAGACAGCCTGGATTCAGGCCCCACCAACCCTCCATTTAGGCTCTTCTCGTCCCATATTGCCCTGGCTTTTCCAGGGTTGTAAATGTGTTTTTGATCTTTGTTGCACTACGAGTGGAGGTTGGGTCAGCTAAAAGCGAGAGCCGTAAGGGAACTAATGAACACTTTGCTGACTGTTGCCTGCTGTGCGTTAACTTTATCTGGTTATTTATTAAGTTGACGCAACAACACTTCTTTACCTCACAACATTGGAGAGATCCATGCTTGAATTCCTCAACTACAGCAATAGCCCAGAGATTCCAACCAAAGCCAGACGCCGGCCACCGCTTTAACAGCACATCATGGGAGGCTGGGACGTCTACTGCGCTCTCTGCGGAGGGCCCATCAGAAGAGTCTGGTGGGATGCGGATGATAGCCCACACTCTGCGTACGACCGAGAAGTGTTCGCTAATAGCGAAGATCCGGGCCTGGAGTGGCTCGAGGATATTCGCCTCATTGGGGAGAACCCTGCCACCGCCGCGGATTCCAAGTAATTGTCCTCCTGAGCTGGGACGCTTTCTGGCTTCTTGAAATCTAACTCTCACAGGGTTTGGCTTTCGGGTCTAGCATGCGTTGAAGAATATGGCACCGTGTCCTACCAGGATGGGGAGAACCCCGACCCCGCAATCTTGGATTTGGAGGGTCACGATGACGAGGGCGGGAGCATTAGAGTGTAAGTTTTTCCTCCTACAAGAGATATGAGACCCTACATCACCTAGCGAAGTTCCATGCATGATGGAATTCATGCTTTTTTGACTCCCTCTTTCTGTCCTCCGAAATTTCCTGGCTATGCAGCGTATTGACCGTCGCCCTAATGAAAAGATATAATACCGATGGAGTAGACGATCCGTTTTGTGCCCCTTTCCATACGCGTTGCAAGGAGGTCCTCCGCAAGTATATGGGTGTCTCAGAGCTCATCAAAGAAGTATTGCTCGAATCCATCAAGAGCCTGGCGGAGGAAGGTGACGGGGGGCGAGCCCTGGATATCGAGTATGGCGATATCCGAGAACACATGGACCAGTATTGGTGGCCACAACCGGGCACCGAGCATTTTGTCTGCGACCCAGTAGAGGTCAAAGGGCTGGCTGAATTCTACAATCAACTGCCTACACGGAATACGAGCGACTTCGAGTCGCCCCGAATATATAACACTGAGGGTGACCCTTTTAATCGGCTCCCCGCCGATGTCCTCTTGGTGTTGATCTCTCTCTTCCCATCGATGTCTGACGTCTTCAGCCTTCGGTTAGCTTCCCCAGTAGTTGCAAATTTGCACCTCGGCAACAGCTTTTGGCGAAGGCAGCTGAAGACTAGGATGCCGTGGCTTTGGGACTTCCCCGAACCCACCGATTCGCAATTAACTGATGTGGATTGGAGAAAGGTCTATCATAAGCTGGATTGGGGCAGCAGACTCGAGTCTCAAAGGAAGAACAAGTTTCATGGCCTTTGTAACAGACGAAGAATATGGGAAACTATCTGCCCCGTGATTGCGGAGGCCTACGTCGGGTTTTCAGCTAAAAATGATGCATGGGGTAACCCAGAGGCCCCAGTTCTAAGGAATGTGGTGATTAGCCCCCTAATTCCTATCGGCAGTCGTTACTGGACTGGGATGGACCGAGAAACAATGACACTTCTGGACAACTACTCGGAGATCACCACGGCCCGGCCCCTCTTGTTGGTTTCCTGGTCTGAAGACCGCCGCAGTTTCCATAATATCCGTGTGTTCAGAGACGAAAGCGAACTCATGGCTCGGAAGCAGATGATCAGGTCGGATGTGGTGGACACTGTCCCTGTTCCGGATGATGACTGGATCACAGGCTTCATCTTCAGGAGTAACGTGGCATCGGATAATAACGGAGCTCGCAAGCCACATGTTGTTGGATTGGAGATTCTCTTTGCGAAGCAAGGGCCTGTGAAACTTGGTGCTGGCAGAGCAGACACTTGCCGACTCTTTCATGCGAGCGAGAACCACTTCATTGTTGGATTCAATTTCCACCGTGACGACCAGGATCATAGCTTGACGCACATGAAACTTCTTGAGCAGCCGCTGACGAACGTGGGAGACTGCTCACGCGTGGTCGGTAGATTCGTTGGCGGCTATAACACTACTCGCGGCCTCTGGGCTGGCGACCTACCGCCGAGGAACGTCTACACGTCTAAGAACAACCTGAGTTTGGCATGGTCCTACATGGGATATAACTACCCCACCGAATGGCTGATGCTGGGCGAATCTGCAGAGGAGCAAGCGGATATCACTGGGATCTCTGTTGACAGCCAGCTTGGTGGATTTGAAGTCCATTTTCAAAACCAGCCTACCCGGAGAATAGGCTCAGCCTTCCACGCGATGAAATCTCTGTCTATTGATGGGCAGGGCGGCGAGCGAATCACGCAGATCTATGTTTCTAGATCAAACCAGCTGGGGATGATGTTCGTCACCAACCGCGGTCGCTGTCTCTCGCTGGGCACCTCGGTATCTGGGTACGAACCGCTAACGTTTGGTGATGAACACGACCCTGATGCCTCCAGAGTTGCTGTCTGTGGCATATACGGGGAGTGGTGCGAGTACTTGGGGGCGAAGCATCTGCTGAACCTTTTCGGTGCCTTTGGGTCGTCAGAGTTGCCTATCTGCCAGGGCGAGACTACGCCCCTGCCACAAGACGGTGGCGGCTACTTCTGCGAACCCGAGAGGCCATCAGCTCGACTGTTTGAAACTGGTCCCATTTACGGACCAAGAACATATCATGAGGTCGTGTCCTGGCCTGGGCGAAAAAGAGTAAGGAAGATAGTGCCGTCCAAGGGGTGTGTGGTCAGCGCGCTCGATGTCGACCGTCCCATCATGGAGGTGCGCGTTACTTTGGTGCATAGCAACCCGAAGTATACTGTCGCTCCCATCGCAGCTATCAGGTTCACGTACCTGGACGGAGAGAAGATGGTCGTGGGACCGGATAGATTCTCCAACGACCCCATATGCCGGTGCTGCGATGAGAAGACGAGCCTCCTCGAGGAGACGAAGAAAGTACCGCATTATCGACACGAAATCTGGCGGCCTGGAGGTAAGAAACTGACCAAACTGCGAATATGGTCGTCTGAGACGGGGGCCCTGGGAGCCATTCGTTTTGTGGCGGAAGGGGGAGCTGAAAGTCCTCTTTGGGGATACTGGGGTTTCGAGACAGACGGGAAGGAATGTGAAGAGCTGAGCTTTGTGGGAGAGCAGCGTGGCACGGCTATTGGATTGAAGGTGTTTTTCCAAGGTCTTGAGCGGGGGGGTCGAGGAGATGATACTGTGATCGTCGCCTTCCAGGGGTTAGCTCATACTTCAGCTTAGGACAGCGACTGAGTGTTCATTGGCCTGTCTTTGGGTTTTGTGTATAACGTACTCGAGAATGAAAGCATAATCATGGCGAAGCAGAGCAGGGGGGGCGGATCTATTTGCTCCTCCTTTCCACAAATGGATGCCCGCACGCAAATGTGCAGTATTGGCGGGGCGCAGGTGAGGCTGAGCGTAAGGCGGCTAATAAGTGGTTTGCCTACCTCTTGATAAACAACTGAGTTATTCCATCCAGTTGTGCGGTTAAATGGATGTGTTTTCGTTTCAACTTATTCTTGTCGGCGTGCCTATCTAAGCGATCGCTCATACCTCAAGATGAAGCTTTACTTGAAAACTAGTCAGTTTGCTCCCAGTATCGAATCAAATGCACACTATTAGGTAGGCACTAATATTGGACCACTAGTTACTGGAAAATGTGTCGAACTTGACGTGGAAGAGAATGAGTCAGTGGCTCGGGTAAAGGAAATATTTTCCGAGAGGGAAAGAGTTCCCCCAGACCAATGCCGTCTAGTATATGCGGGCAAACATCTCGACGATGGCTTCACCTTGGATCGCTACAGCATCCGGCCTGAGTCAACTATTCACGTTATCTTGCGGCTGCGAGCTCAAGACAACACTCGGAGCTTTCCAACGTCCGAGGTCCCGTATCCGTACCCTTCAGAGGCAGAAAGAATCATTTCCTATTGGAACGATTTGGCTGCTAGAGACGGTTTCGATGCGGACACACATATCGTTGACCCGCAGGCGCACTACATCGCTCTGGAGTCGCTTCAGAGGAAAGTCAAGACCTCTTCAGCTCTGTATCGGAAAACTGGAATATCCTGGAAAACTCCCGAACCAGAGGATGTAATGCTTCGGCTTCTTGAGATCACAGCACCTGAATGGATGCACAACCTTCTACTGGATGCTGGGGGTGGTGTGGACGTTGTTGATAGTGAAGCTGTCCTCTGTCTGTTGCATTCCTACGTAATTGTCAAGTCCGTTGTGGACACTTTTGACTTTCTAGTCGCTCGGAAGTTTTGCCACGAGTTCTTTAGCATCCTTATTCAGAGGGACACGAGATATATCGCCGAGATCGTCAAGATTCCGAGGACTGCGCTCGGCAGCATTGCCTCCACGCTGTTGACAGCACTTGCGAATGCTCGGTATGAAACCAGAGATAGCACTGCTGAGGTGGTCAAGCGTGCGACAGACCAATTCATGGATCTGATCGGCCATGAGCCTCCTTCATCGGATCCTATAGAAACATCCCGCACTATGGCATACTTATTGGACGTTGGCCTGGTCAGCTACGCTGGATCGCACGCATCCAGAAATGACTTCGAGGATTTCGAGGCTGAAATCGCGGATCTCAGTTGCAACAAGGATGGTTGTTTTCGATTCCAGTGCAAGATGCAGAGCCTAGCCTGCTTGAACGGATTTCTAGATGCGCGGGAGGTTTGGGTCTTTGAGATACAAAATAGAAGGGCCCCACCTCAACAGCAACAACGGCAGGGCGGAGCCAAAGAGCCTCTATCGATCCTGACGACGATAGATGCACTCTCTGATATTTGGGGACCCGTCTATGCTGAGGCTATTCACCAAGGCTCATCAGCCGAAAAGCCGTACCGCATTAGGAAGTACAACGTCTCCAAAGGATGCATCCGACCTCTACCTAGGCAACCTATCTCCTCAGATGGATATGTCCAATGCCATTGGTACAGCTGGGCAGAGGAGCAGCGACGACGTTTCTCTAACCTTTTTTCCGGGCGCTCCAAGGATCCAACGATGTCACTAGACGATAAGCTTCTGATTGGTACAGAGATGACAGAGAAGCCAGATTGCACATTCAACATGACAGAGTATGAAATGAATTATGGCAATGCTATATACGCGGCTGGGCCGAAGCCTTCGACATGGAGGTTTGATGGTGTAGCAGTGTCTCTAGAATTAGCAGCGCCGAAATTCGCAATGCTCCAGATCAAAGGCAAGGCGAAAAGAGTCCCGGAAACAACAATCAAGGAGCATGCTTGGCAAAAATGGAGCTCAAAGCCTGAGTCTGCGAACCCTGGCATCCTGAATAACTACTTTGGCGTCGAGATTAGCAACTGTACCGGAAATGCCAGGAGAGTGTCCCTGAAACAGATACTCCTTATGAATCCAATACAAGAGCTGCTTGAGCGCCAGATCCCTGGGTGGCAGGCAACAAGCTGGGGGAGGGATTTTAAGAAAGCACTCCAGACGGAGTCTGAAACAGCAGTCTTCAGCTTTTGGAGACAGCATGTCGCTCATCGGGCGCTTGTGGGACGCCTCATATCTTCCGTCCTGGATGTGCTTGACGGCACTGGATGCAACAAATCAGGATTTCAGGCGGCGTTCCTGCACCAGGACAATGAAAGCATTATTAACATTGATCCCAGGGACAATGACTGGGCCGATTTGCTTAAGGACTCATATCTCACTGCGACGTACGCGATTGTCAATGAGATATGCCTCGAATATAAACTCCCGGATCATAGTGCTTCGATATGCAACGATGGACGACGGTACTCAGTCTTACAAACCAAAATTGGCATGGAGACAGAGGCAGGTCTTACCAGGCGTTTCAAGATCGATCCGCATGGTTTATCGTTGAAGAGGATTAACCCTGAAGCCGCTGAGCTGCCTTTTCTCCTGACACGCGAATCGACGGTCACAACCATGGTTCACCTCGGCACACGAACGCACCGCGCGAAGGAACTGTTGAACCAACAATCGCACGATCGTAAAAAGCACCATCAGGTAATACTACGCGCATCGCGGGAGAGCTTTGGCGGGATGCCATATCCACGCCAGCGTGGTTTGACAAAGATAGACGAGGACCCTATGGATATAGACGTACAAGCCGAGGACTTCAACCAAGAGTTGACGGAAGAGGCCCTTTCACAGCTGGAGATTGAGGCCATGATCATAGATAGCCTGATGACGAGGGACGTTGTGGAGGACGAGCAGAAAGCTCGCTGTTGAGCTATTTGATACGAATGCTAGATCGAGTTTATGGCAATTCGGGAATTGCAGTTGTTTGGGTATCTAAACCTTCCAAACTTTTGTCTTACTGGGTTCCCTTATCCGTCTACCATCATTCTCTTGACGGCTTACTGGTTTTTTCTAGCAGATGATATCACGGTGACATGTTCCAAAATATGCAATGGTTTGTTGGAGAAAGTTATTTATATTCTCACCAGTTGACTTACTTTACTTCTGTGTCAGGCATAGATGGAAGAAGTATTTGAGAACAAATAAGAATTCCAAGTAAGCTAGGCTATAAACTGATGCCTACGGCATCCTTTCTGCGTCGGACCTGCATCTTATTGTCGGGATGGAAGAAAAGGAACTCGTGGATCGCATCATGTTTCAGTGGCACGCCGCCAACAAAAGAAAACTCGTAAGCATCTATAAGTTGGATGAGGAGGATCTTGGCGGCCATGTCGGCGATATAGCGTCCGGGGCAGGCCCATTTCCCGGCGCCCCAAGTGAGTATGTCTGTATCAACACTGCGGAACGGCTTTACGGAATGTTCTTTGATCTTGTCGTCAGCACAGAACCGAAGCCCCTTGTATGTTGTCGGGTCTTCGTAAATGTTGGGGTCCATGGCTCGTCCAGGCCCAGAGACGGTCATAAACTGGCCCTTTTTCAACGGAACCCCGCCAATGACACAATCCTGCGTCACAGCGCGGCTGTAGACAATGAGGGTACCAGGGGCAAGACGAGCTGTTTCCTTCATAGCCGACTCGAGACAGGGCAGGCTCGCGAGAGCCGCCGTATCCCATCGACCCCCAATTTCAGCGTTTTTGGCTAGAATCTCGGCGCGAACTGCCTCTAGAACCTCTGGATTGCTTGTCAAGTCAGAAAGTGCGCGGCAGACAAAGTTGGCAATGCTGTATGTGGACCCGGCAGCTACTGATCCGCAGAGCGTGGCCAGAACCTGAGGGTCACGTTCTAGTTCTGTTCGGCCACTCTGTACCATCCAAGTAATGAGATCAGGACTGTGTTCTTCCTTGCCCTCAAGAATTACTGTCTTCCGCCGCTGCACTTCGGGAATTACGAAATCAGACAGGGCTTTCCAGTCTTGATGCATCCGCCACTTGGCAGGCAGAAGCCAAGCAAGATAACGGTTGAGACACGAAGGTACACATCGCATAGCGAATGCCACGACGAAGACTGAGAGCAAATTTCAGGTTAGTTCATTCATCAGGTTCATGAATTGTGGTGTTTACCGAGTATTGAATAGTAACATACCATTTCTTGTAAGCGTATAGGTCAGTTCGACAAGTCTTGGGTTCTCAACCATTTTGGAGCCATACAAAACCAGTGCAATACCTTCGCTAAAACAGCGGACTGATGCGGGAAGTGGCTTCATGATGGTCCATTGATCAATTTGAGGGAATTCCTCCTTTAGAGCATCTGAGATCCGCTTTGCCATAGAATGGAACAACTCAGGAAGAGCCGGGGTGATGCTGCCTTGAAGCATACGAACATGGTAATTGGTGTGTTCGACCACTTCCACGCCGGTCAGATGGCCCAAAAGGGTGAATGCATGTGACTTTCTGCTGTCAAGGACGTCCACGCCATACCGGTTGAGTTCGGGAATCAAGCGAGCAGGGAGAACGACAAGTTCTGAATCCCCTCGAGCAAGTTTATATGGACGCCCTTGTGTCTGGTTTCATACTCTTGTTAATTAATGAGGATCTTTGCTATGCGAATAGGGCTTATGGCCTTACCTTCTTGTCAGCGTCTCGAATAATCTGTTGAGCCCAAAGAGCCCATCGGATTCTAGAAAAGAAGGACGGTTCAAATGGGAACAGCTTATTTGCAACGGGTAGGCTGTCATTAGATTTTGAAGATCGCAATAGAGGAAGGGTAGCATAAATGATGATGGATGTCGTCAGAAGAGCTGCAGTGTGATACCAGTTCCACCCTATGCTTGGGGGGAGAAGCGCGTGGTCACCGCTTGAGCGGTTGGAGAATACTGAATGTTCCATTTTGACTTCAAGCACTAATAGTGTATTGGTAGATTTCCCATTTGTTGAGCTGGCTGAAACCGACCAAGAAGCGGTGTTAATGGTTGGCATATAAACAGGATTTGAAGCCAAGGCCAACTTTCATCATTCACCGTCCTTGGACCCCAGGATCTCTGCTTATCCCTGATTCTGCCTGACCTATCCCTAAATTTAGGCATGAATACGACACTTTCAGATAAACTTTAGGCATTGATTCTTATCTAACCTTCCCTCTCAGTTTTCAGCATCATGCTGCAGGACGAAACCCTTGGATTTGACACGGTTTGTCATTTTGCATTGCGAAGGAATCTGCATGGGAAGGTGGAAACCTCGTACAAGGCAGAAGCCCAATATCTACCAGCACATAAGTTGCATGAGCAATTTGATATTGCATGTAGCCGCACTGGTCGGGATACCGCCCACCAATCGTTCATTACGTTGGAGGCAAGCTGAGCAGCGAGGCTAATCCAGGTAAGTAAGCCGCTTCTAGGTGCTTTCATAATGAGTCTCGCCGGCCCATCATCCACGATCGATCCGGCAAAGCCAATCCAGGGACATGAAAAGATCAATGAAAAATCTAGTTCCGAGGCAGAGAGGGGTGACACCCTAGAGGATATCGATCCAGAGAATGAAGTCCAAGGAATCAAGCTTCTGTTAATTCACATTGCTGTGTGTCTCTGCACTTTTCTAGTTGGCCTTGTAAGCACAACAGTTCCCAAATATCTCCCTGGAATATGGTGGGAAATTTAATTGACATGCCTTACGCAGGACTTCAATCTCATTGCCACTGCAGTTCCCAGTATCACGAAAGAATTTGGCTCTCTTCGCGATGTCGGTTGGTACCGGGCCAGTTTTATGGTCGCCATGTGAGTTGGCACAGTTGCGTACACCGATGATAATATTCTCTAACGCCAAGAAAATCCTTTAGGTGTGCAAGCCAGCTCTTGCTGGAAAGACATACACTTTATTCCCAAAGAAACTCGGATACTTCGCATACATCTTCATCTTTGAAGTGGGCAGCCTGTTATGCGCCCTGGCGCCCTCATCGCAAGCACTGATAGCTGGCCGTGCTATAGCTGGATTAGGTGCTTCGGGTATCTTCGCCGGTGGCTTCACTGTATTGACAACAGTCATCCCATTGCACAAGCGAGCGATTTGGACTGGGACGATGAGCTCCGTCTTTGCCATCTCGAGCATCATTGGACCTGTCATTGCTGGGGCTCTCACACAAAGCGCTACGTGGCGCTGGTGCTTTTGGATCAACGTAAGTCTAGTTCTCCTCTACCAAATGATAGGAGAGACTCACAAAACGATTCTTGTAGCTACCCATCGGAGGCGTTGGCGTTGCCATTGTCTTCATATTCCTGCATGTCAAACCAGCAAGGACGGAAAGCGCGCCACTCACTGAGAAGCTTCGAAGCTTTGATTTGTTGGGCTTCTTTCTCTTCGCGGGCTCTATCACTATGCTGCTGCTGGCGCTCCAATGGGGGGGTGGAGTCCACGCATGGTCGTCCTCCGTTATTATCGGCCTCTTTGTCGGTGCAGGCGTTGTGCTGCTGCTGTTCATCGGATGGCAGCTCTATTTTCAAGACAAGGCCCTGATTCCTTCACAGCTCTTCAAGGTCAATCGCAACCCAGCTCTACTGTGCGCCGCCTCCTTTTTTGTCAATGGGCCCTTCCAAACGGTCATATACTGGCTGCCCATCTGGTTTCAAGGCGTGCTGGGCGTTAGCCCACTGCAAAGCGGCATCAACTTCTTCCCTACTGTGATATCCGATGTGTTGGCTGCGTTCTTAGGCTCAGGAATTGTGATGCAAGTAGGTTGGTGGAATCCATTCCTGCTGTTTGCTGAAGCAATGGTTTGCCTTGGAGGAGGCCTCCTCTCCACGATACAACCGGCAACATCTACCGGCAAATGGATCGGATATCAGATTCCCGGTGGCGTTGGATACTCGCTGGCATCCACATTAGTACGTTTTATCTATATTTCCCGAGACTTTCATCTATTGAACGGATGCTCACTGATCTTGTGTTCGTGCAGTCGCACCTGGCGATGCAGTCCTCCCTGCCGCAGGACTTGGTGCCGCTCGGTTCGTCAACGCTTCTCACAATCATCTCTACTAGCTGCGCCGTGTTCATGGGTATTGGACAGGCAGTATTTGAGAAGCGGTTAAAGTTGAATCTTGAGTCGTCTGTATCCAAGGACATCGCCCAACAGATCATCTCAGCTGGAGCCACCGATGTTCGCTCGCTCATCGGGCCCAACGATACAAACGAGCTGCCTATTATAATCAACCAGTACAGCAAGTCTATATCTGAAATTTGGGTAAGTTATGACTTTGGCTAGGTATTCATGAAAATGGGATTCCTTTTATATTAACAAATTGTTCGAATTTAGTACATTCCTGCCGCGGCGCCTGCCGTGTCATTCCTGCTGATTGCCTGCTGCAGGTGGATCTCTCTCAATAGTAAGAAAGTCAAAGAAACCGCCGAGGGCGAGAAGGGGAGTGTTTAGTCTGGAAATTGGAATGAGAATAGGTATATCTGCAACAAGGAAGACGAAGACCCTGAGCGCTCGGGTCGATAATGTGGCTGAAATTCTCTCGTAAGTCTTGGTACTTTCAATAAATTTGAGATAGAAAATATATACGAGCACCAGATTCTGCGTTAAGATGACATGAAAAATAAATAAGTTTACCATTTGCTTGGCTTGCCTACCAGATATTTGAGAAACAGCTGGCTGGGGAGCGAAATGACGCGGACCCATTCAATGCAAGGATTCTTTGCTTACTGGCTTGAGCACCAGAGGGCATGCATATTTAAGAAGATGTTGATGGCAATCTCATTACTCTACTTGAGTTTAACGAATCGATCTGTTCAATCTAAGCCTTGCCCTTATTAAGGCTGTCTTGGTACTCCTGGTAGTTAGAAGTTCCCTTGGGCATGCCATTCCAGTCCAAGCCCTGTTCATCCATAAGGCGGGCTCGAGTGTCCATAGCCTTGACCCAAGAAGGCCGCGCAGTCATGGCCTCATGCCACGCCTTGACGTGGGGAAAACCCTCAAACTTTTTGTCATCAGGCACACCAAGAGTTGCGTCAAGGCGGTCATTCCAAGGAATAAAGGCTAGGTCAGCGTAGGTGATACGGTCACCCACAAGCCACTTGCTGGGGTTGGCAGCCAAGACGCCGTCAAGGACACCGAGCACTCGCTTGATTTCGTTAGAGTAGCGCTCAATGGCCGAAGGCAGCTTCTCGGGGTGCAGATAGGTGAACCTGTTGCGAGTATGGACATTAGTATGGCGGCGAACACCCTTATTTACAATCCTTTAGAAATTAGAAGATATTAACTAACCAGGTGCACTGTCCAAAATATGGGCCTTGGCCACTGATCTGGAACATGAGCCATTGGTTGCATAGGTTTTGCTCCTTGAGGGTATCGTAATGGAGGCGCTTCTCAGTGTCATATTGATTGACTAGATACTGAATAATGGCTCCAGACTCCCAGATTGTGACATCCGTGTTGGGGTCCTCGATGGCTAGTATTTTGTTGAAGTTAGTAATGCCACGAGCGCTACGTCCGGCTTACAAGAGGGACACGCTGGGGTATTACCAGGAACACGGCCATTGGGGTTGATGTCCGTGAAAGGTGGCGTCTTGATATTCTCGAATCTGATGGATTCGATTTCATAAGGTATGCTGAGCTCCTCGAGGATGGTAATGACCTATATCGAGATTACGGCGGTGCGTACACATCAGAAGTCTGAAGGGCCTCCATTTCTTAGCGGATCAACTGTACCTTCCAAGGGTTGGGACCGGGGGCTGATTCGACCCGATGATGTTAGCGAGGTCGCTCATCACGCTGTGCGTACGACAGAGGGAAGACTCACGGGCCAGCCAGACGCGGAGAGGCTTGAGTGTATCGGACATCTTCCAGTATCTGTTCACGTGGTATGAAAGTCAAGGGTATGAGAGGGAAGAAACGTACATAGAAGGGTAAGAAGTGAGCGTTGAGACGGCCACCTTAGTTGAGGGGACAAAGGGTAATTAGAGTGACAACCATCACCCGTCCCTGGGATGCGGAGCGAGTGAGGCGGGATACACATGCATACACCAAGCACATAAGCCAGCAATTGTTTTCAGGGGCTGAGCATGTCGTGCCGCCTGGAAGGGTATACGTAACAATGAGCTACATGGCCTTGTTGGTGATGGCCGACCTCCCGTAATGCTGCATATGCGGGTATGCATGAAAGGCGTCGGGGTGCCAGAGCCAACAATACAGAAATCCCTTGGCTGTACCTTGTACATCCTTTTCTTGATCTCACACATACATTGATAAGTATCTTTCCTACGGTAAAAGCAATCTAGTCCAAAAGTCCCAATAATACGCGGAGCAGTTGGTATGATCCATAATAAATGCGGTTCTAGGTAACATGCATATGCGGTCATGTTTCAGACTTTCACGGGTGTTGTCTCGGTAAAATCGTGCCGGTCATTAGTTTTGGATTCACGCCTCATAACAGTAACCAACAGGCCCATTCATGTCACAGAGGGTGGATTTGCTCGCAGGCGCAAGTAAGGCTTCAGGTGTTCCAAAGTTCCAAAGATAAACGTCAATGCGATGAGTTGGTGGTCATGTATCTCCGCTGGCGGCACCTGACTATTGGCCGTTACATTGAACTTACTTGCAGCTGCTCATGATCCGTTAGGTTCGTAGATTAAACAATCGGTAATAAGTTTTTAATCCGGTATTGAGTCTACCAGGACACAACATCATCTGTCCCATCAAAGCCTGCCAACAAAGAAACCAATCCGGCCTATACCACAAAGTTATTTGTTGAAAAATTATACGGTTTCGATATTGCCTGCACAATGGATAATCTTCAAGCACGATCTCTTGTTGCCAAATTGGCGACGCAATGTTGCGAACATCATGGCTTTGGAACTATGTCACCCTCGGTTTATAACACGGCCTGGCTTGCTATGATACAAAAGCCCAATAACCAGGGCTCTAAGTCCCAAATCTGGTTATTTCCTGAATGTTTCACGTTTCTTCTGGATCATCAACTCCCTTTGGGGGGTTGGGAGTCGTATGCCTCGCCAATCGATGGCATTCTGAACACGGCGGCGGCTTTGCTGGCCCTGAACAAGCACCGAAGAACGTCGGATACCCAAGACCTCTCCGAAAGATGCAGGAGGGCAGAAGCAGCTCTACAACTTTTGCTGGAGGACTACGATACAAGCTCGAGCGACCATGTTGGTTTCGAGCTTCTTCTTGTTCAACACCTGTCTCTATTAGAGACGGAGGCTGGTATCATAATTGACTTCCGTCAGCGTAGCGATCTAGAAGCCCTCCGTGACGAGAAGCTGGGAACACTACCTCTTACATCTGTCTACGAGGCACCTTCTACCTTGTATCACTCCCTCGAGGCTCTCATTGGGTATATCGACTTTGATAAAGTGCGTCCGTTGAGAGAGTCTAACGGATCGATGATGGGTTCTCCATCTTCCACGGCAGCTTATTTAATGCACGCTTCTGAGTGGGATGATGAGGCCGAGACCTACCTTCAAAAGGTGATCAAATTCGGCGCTGGTCAAGGAGATGGAAGTGTACCATGTGCATGGCCAACCACCATCTTTGAAATTACCTGGGTAAGCCTCTAGACCAGATTTTGAGTGGTAGATTTGATGACTTACTTGCAAAGGTCATTACTGCTCTTGACGCTGCTGGCATCAAGATCGATGCAGACGAGGCGCTGCCGATCGCGAAACTGCTGAATGACACCCTTTTAGAGCAAAATGGAGTGCTCGGATTCGGTATGTGATTCTCCTCCCGCAGTGCTAACTTCTGGCTAATATATGTTCCCACGAAAAGGTCGTGGTTGTTTTGCCGATGCGGATGACACTGCGAAAGGAATCACAACCTTGCGCATTCTCGGTATCAAGACTGGTATTGAGGGTTTTCTTAAAACATTTGAGAGAGAAACTCACTTCAAGACATACCCAGGAGAGCGCAACCCAAGTTTTAGCGCTCATTGCAACATCTTGATCTGTCTACTGAAGCAAGATGATCCGACGCATTTCATAACTCAAATCTCGAAAGCAGTCAACTTCTTGGTTTCTCATATGCTTCAGGGCAAAGTTCATGAGAAATGGGTCAGTTTGTTGACTCTCCCCCTTTCCCTCGTTAATATATGAACCTGTCTTGCTAACCCTACCCAGCATCTTCATCATCTTTATTGGATCATGCTCCTTGCTGAAGCATTGGAACTATTGTACCAAAACGAGAACGTCATCCAAAAATTGTTCCAACATAATCCTAGTTTCAAGGAAACTATCCCTTTCATATCTCTCCACTTGTTGATCAGGATACTCGTTGATCAACGGAACAATGGCTCCTGGGACAATGGTCATGAACTGTCGGCGTACGCCATCCTAGCCTTATCATTCTTGGCTCGTCTTCCTTGGATCCAAAGCATTGACATAGGGGGCATCATTTCTGCCATGGCAAGGGGAAAATCCTTCCTTTTCTCGAAACGAGATGAGTGGACTAAGGGGAAATATCTATGGATTGAGAAGGTCACGTATTCTTCCAATCTACTGTCTGAAGCATATTGCATAGCTGCTTCAATGGCGCCCATACCTTCAGATCCGAAGCCTCAGCACCAGAGCCCTGAAACCGTTACGGGAATATCAGGGAAGATTATCATCGGAATGCGAAAAGCAGGGGCCTTGATCCAGCAGACACCTTTGTTCTTGGGGATAGAATCTCACATTATGCGTGTGGCCGAGTTGCAGGCATGCTATGCTTTGCTCATTCAAAAACGAAAGCCTAGCACAATTTTCCCAGCGACTGTTAAAGGTGGAGAGAAATCTTTCTTCATTATTCCATTAGCATTTACCGCATGTACAGCACTTCCGAGGTCATCAATCAGTATCTCCGCCTTGCTAGACATGATCCACCTATCCTCACTGAACTTCCTCATCGACGAATACATGGAGAGCGTCATCGCCCAAGACTTCAGGACCCAGCTCAAATCGGTCAAAGATGTTATTCGTCAAGTCTGTTCTTACACGTTCCCTTCAGTCACCCAAGACGGGCTCAAGAGCTTGGGGGTCGCAGAGAATAACAGTCAATCCCTCGGCGGATTAGAGCAACCAAAGTCCAACCCGGAGAATATGTTGCCAAGGAGCCCTGGGGACAAAGTGCAGACAGATGGTCAAAGTGACCTTGACCCTCTAGGGAATGTTCAGAGTGTTCTCTACCGATTTGTTCATGAGATTATGTGCAATCCAGCAGTTGTATCAAGCCCAGCCAGTGTCCCAAATCGCCTGTGCTTGGAGGTTGAAAAGTTCCTCCTGGCACATGTAACCCACGCAGAAGATAGCCACAAATTTGCTTGCCGGAATCGCCATGATTGCAAGAAGAATGGATTCCAACCATCTACAGAAGGACTCGAAACGCCACTGAGATACACAGAGCCTGTGCAGACTTTCTATAGTTGGGTACGCAGCACATCCGCCGACCATACATCGTGCCCATTTTCGTTTGTTTTCTATAACTGCCTGGTACGAAAATACTCCAAACCGGGAACTCTAGACGTTTTTGGCTCAGCGCGAACGGCCTACTTGGCCGAAGATCTATGCCGGCATCTGGCAAGTATTTGTCGAATATACAACGATTACGGATCGGTGAAACGCGACGCTAAAGAAGACAACTTGAATTCAATCAACTTTCCTGAGTTTCAAAGCGTGTCAAAGGCAAAGAGAAAGGCGCATTTTATGGCCGATGAGGAGGTTGCAAAGAGTGAACTGCTCTGGATTGCAGATTACGAACGCCGTGGATTGGAAGCGTCGCTGGCGGCCTTGGAAGAAGAGGTGGGATCCCTGGATCTTGATATCATTGATTCTATCAAGTTGTTCATCAACGTCACTGATCTATATGGACAAGTATATGTTCTGAAGGATATTGGAAAAAGCACAGCGTCCAATGTCAGTCGACAAGGGGTCTGACCAGCTAGTGATACATTATTGAGTTAGTGGCTGCCCGTATTGCAATCGAAGGCATAAACCAAGGCACAGAGTGGGTAGCTAGTGGAATCGTATAAAGATATTCCAGCACGATTTGTCGATTTAGGCATCAAGAATTTCTACCGTAGGCTATTTTAATGTTATTTATCCTCCTACCTTGTGACTTTTACCGGATTTCCCCTCGTCAAGCTCGAAGTTGCCATTCATGTAAACATACCCTTCGCAGTGAATCATGACCTTATGTATCTCACATACAATACTGTAGGGGAATTCAAAATCATCGCCCTCCAATCCTGCGAGTAATCAATAGGAGACAAGATCCTAATTTTTGCCGATTAAAAAACCCAAGGGGAAGCATCAACTCTCCAGGTTCAACTCTCCAGGTTCCCCCAAAGTGCCGTGTACCTAATTTTGGAGAAAACGTGAGCTACGTACAGAATGACTTCTTTGTGTCCCAGCCGTAGTTACAATATCTTCCAATTTTGCTGCACTACAATATGCCCGAATTAGGTTTGATGGCCAGTTTTTCTCGAAGGGACGTCGAGCCGCAAGTTGAGAAAATAGATTACAAGGGATTCTTACTTACCTGTTTTGGAGGCCAGCATTTTACAGGCCTATGAGGAACGGATTGCCAATGGCGCACCACTGTCCCATCCTTTCTCCTTTTTGGGCCTTTATTCACCCAATAGTTGAATCGGCAGGTATTGGTGACTCTCTGGCACGTCTAAATGTTAGACAGGTTAGTGAGCTCTCTTTCCCAAAACCCTGTTATGCAAGCTGTCTGCTAGAGTTGTCGTTGACTAGGTAGGTTCAAGTAGAATTAGAGGCCACTGACATACCCCGGTAAAAATTCCTTTATTGGGCTTTTCATCTGGTGGCAATACAAGGGCCGTCGTGCTACCAATAAGCCCAATCATAAGGATTGCAAGAAACCTCTTTCTTAACCTATGTCAGTAAGCTCAAGTCCATAGTACCCCCAGAAAGGGAACGTTTTCTATCTCACCTCATCTTAGAAAGTGCCGGAAGTTCTTGCGCTAAAGACACGAGCATACTTCTCTCTTCTGTTTCAACTCTCGGGAAGGTGCACCTAGACTGGCCGCCCCCTAAGTTGGTATATAAGCGTGGGTAAGAGTGGATTCTGGTGGGATGGCTAAATGCGCTCACAGGCATCATTCATGCACATGTATCATTATCGACCAACACATGCTAAGTTGTTGGCGCCACCTTCCAGCTGCTTCACTGTGGGAAGGTTATTGTTACATTGTGTTGGTAAGCTCATGGTTGCATAACCCCTGATCCTAATTTATCTCATAACGTTACTTCCTTGGAAATATTACTAAACACCAGGAAGATGGGGCAGAACATGACATCTTAAGAACGCACTTGATCTATCTATAGCTCGTTGGCCCCTTAAACTATATTTAGCAACCATACCTACAGACTGGTAATAGTATAAAGTACTACGTAGACGAAGCTTAAACCGTGCTGCAAGAACTTAGCCAACGGGACTGAAAGTAAGATTAAGAAGTGCGACATTATCCATCATCCTACCATCGCCATTTGGCACCCCGCATCTTGTCTCATCCTTCCTACTTATCAACGTGTTCGAAAGGCCAATCATAGAGATGGACTCTTTCACTTTGCGTTCGAGCCCAGACTCTTTATCTTCTTATTCTAGGCAGCTTAGAGCTGGAATCGATGAAATGATCCAAAGAGGTCAAGAAGAGTATCTTCGGTTCACTTTCTTGAGCGCTATCCAATCGATCACTGGCCATTACACCATCACGCCACCTAATTTGACTGAGCTTGAAATGGGCCTTCATGACTTGTGGTATGCTTGTATTCAAGCAGCCAAGAATATCTCCTCTGGTGAGGAAAAGCAGGATACCCTCATCCGTCCCCTCCTGGCTGCTAAATCGCTTGGACCTCTACGACAACCAAGTCCCACTTCCGACTCGGGTAATGGTGATGGCAGTGACGTCGATGGTGACCCTACTTCTTCCCTGGAAAGCTACTCGATCTGGTCTGGCTTACCTCTATTGGATTTAGATTTCATTGAGGAGTTCACCAACCGCTACTACCGGAAGAGCCATTATAATGAAGACCAGCGTGCGAACATGGCAGGTTTCCTTGGTCGACTGGTTTCCGTCGGTATTTACGATGGACCTGATCTCTGCACACTTTCGTTGTTCAGGGAAACATTGGAGACCTCCCGGCCATTACTAGCAGATGAGAATGCTGATCAAGTACCATTGGAAGATCTGACTGGCGCCCTCGAGGAATTGGCTCAGAACTCCATTTTTGGTCTTGCGGTTCTTGCTAGCCGGAGTTACAGGGATCACTCTTCTGGTATTGATCCTGAAGATTATCTACACTTATCCAGTATTGGTGAACTGGCCACTCAAGCCGGTGGTATTCCTTCAATTGGATATAGCATTGAGCGATGGGACTTCTGGATCCAGCGTCTCGAGGAACTGTCGAATTGTGGGAATGAGAAGATCCAGAGCAATGTAGAAGGATGTTTGGCACCAATGAGACAAGCTAGGGAAGATACCAGGCTACTGTGATGGATACTAGGGATGTTTATGTCTAATAATTGTTGAATGCATCATGCGGGATTGCTTAGCAAGGTCTTCAGCATACGCTTTCGCTGTTGTCAAGCCGTTTGTGTGATTGCTGGCGAACTATAGCTCTTGGTCGCCGCATGCCAGGGGGGGGGGGACCTCCGCAGATTCACTAATCTCTTACTTGATGAAAGCATAGCAGTCCCAAGATATACTTTGGCAAATTGGTATTATTACTCAGGTGGGTATACATTCACTCGCATTCGATGGTGTATACCATGCATGTCGTTAGATCTTCCTTTTTTCAAGCAGAGGTTGATATCTGTCGAGATCACACCCCCTGAGCTCAAACAATCACAAAATAAGCAGTGACCTTGTACCCAGATCCTGCAGCACCCTAAAAAAACAAATTGTCTACACATTGCTTACTTAAAAAAAAATATCTGTAATTCAGAAACACAACAAAACAGTCATGGAAAGCAAGATGTCCACTTAGATGCCAGCAACTCGAGGCAAGTTGCGCGCGCCAGCAATGACATCGGGGCGAATTAAAAAAAAAAAAAAAAAATGACCATTTCGCTCCCCCTTCGCTCCAGAATATATTTTGACGGTAGCATTCGTTAAAAGCGTATCGTAAAAATGAAAGTGAGAAAAAAAAGACGAAAGGCAGTGCTATCGATGTACCTGGGACTCGAACCCAGAACCTTAAGCTTAGGAGGCTTACGCGCTACCATTGCGCCAGCACACCACACGATGAAGTGTCCGGGAGCAAGCGCCTGCTTCCTCATACCATAGCCTGACATCTCAGTTTCGTAGGGTTGTGCTGATATAATCAGCTGATTGATGTCTGATATATAACTAGGAGATACGTTCATTTTCATGAATTGGATATGCACTCGTGTACTTAACGGACAATCACATGAATCTAATAAATTTCTCATAATTACGCTGGTTATGCAAACTGTCGCCTTATCTGCTCGCTGGTTAAACGTATTTTTTAATGAGCTTTTGTCAAAGACCGCCAATTTACCTTAATTCAAAGTGATTCCAATGCCCATTTCACAGGGAGCTATTGGCGAAGCTTTCATTCAGGTATGTGAATTGTTTATTTTTTAATTTTTCAACTGGTCTTGGAACTAACGCTTGACTCTAGGGTACGCACAACACTTGGAATGCCGTCAAGATGCTACTTAATAACATTCTGGCTTTACACACGCACTGTTTCGTGGCCCTGAATAAAGGACATATTCTACTCTGCATGGGCAGGGAAACCTGCTGCATCTAAAAAGAGGAGAACTAAGATGCTTATTCTAGCGGAATTAAGGTACTGAATGACACAGTAACAGTATTACTGTATTGCGACCTTCAGTAAAGAGATAAAGAAGTCAGTGTAACTTCTGTTTGCCTTAGTAACCCCAGAGAGAGCCTAAGCCTGAAAGGTAGGCAGGACCGAAAAGACCCCATTAGAGCAAAGGTTCAAACGATTTCGCGGTATCCAACACGGATTGTTCGTATGGAATATACTCTATGCCGGTGGTTTTAACCGCTTTAGAGGCATCAAACTGCTGGTCTCCTGGGCTTTTGAATCCTGGCAGATATCCTTCACCAGGGTTACCTTCTTGGACCTTCCCTTGAGGGTACGCTTTCCGCAAGATGTCAGCCGCGGCTTGTTGCGGTCCATACGCAGCTATCAGGAGATAACGCTCTCCATCTGTGATGGTCGGGTTGTCCAAACAAAAGGTGACAAGGCGGGCCACGTCACGTACATCGACCCACCAAGGATTTGCCATGGCTGCCGGAACATCAAGCCCAGCTAGGATTGCAAATATGAACCCAGCAGTTCCAGAAACCGCATCTGGGGAGCTCGGGATAACTAGAGGAGGGCCATGAACAAAGGATGGATTGATGGAGGCCATTGTGAACGTGGGCTTGCGCTCTTCTTTGAATTTCCAAAACTCCTTTTCTGAGGCGGCCTTGCTCGCCCCGTAAATGACAGGACCTGGCGTGTTGTCCCCAAGCTTCCGCACCATTTCCTCAGCTTGGTGGTTCCAGTCTTTCTCGGTAAATGTGTATGGCCCATCCTTCTTCGATCTAATGGCAGCATTCGAGGACATAAGGACAACAGTTTTAACAGAAGGCTCCTTGATAGCGGATTCAAGAACGCCTCGGACGACAGCTTTGGCTGTGTTTATGACAGGCTCGGCCTCGGAGAATGAAAGAGAGACGGGGGACGCAAGCTGTGCAATCCCAGAGACGCCTTTAACCGCTTCATCGAATGCGCCGGGCGAAGTGATATTCGGGACTTCAACAACATCAAAGTGTGATGAGTACTCTGACAGCGCAGTGCGCGTTGCTTCGGCGGATTGAACCGAGCGAGCGGTGCCCCGAACACGGTAGCCAGCTTTGAGAAGAGCTTCAGCAGTTCGCGCAGCAATATAACCGTTCACTCCGGTAACGAGTATGGTTCCTTTCTCAGCCATGGTTGGTTCCTTTTTGTGCAAGTTGAAGAAGAAGGTAGAATGAGCTTATTGATGAGTCCAACCAAGTCCGGTGAAAACAACAACAATAAAACATGACAAAGATTGGAAAAAAGAACAAGAAGAAGATCAACTTGTGATTTGATATTTATATCCTTCTGGTTATCTTGACCTCTGCAAGCGCGAGAGTTTGCCTTCGGGGGTTTATGTCATATGCCCGTGTCCCAGCTTCGTTACCCACACCGCAGCTTACAAATGTTGAAAATTTGATTACAGAAGTGTAGTGCATTATGCAAGGTTTGAGTTTTATACTTTCCTCGGATAGCAAGTGGCTTGCCAGTGTTGATCTAGCCCACGACGCCGGCATGAGTGCCTTGACCGCATCTAGGATTGGGGCTTTCTCAAAGCATATTTTGATAGGGCTTATGGAGTAATATGAAGTCGGTTTAGCAGAGAAAGTCTAGTACTAGTCATTCACTCCATTAGCTAGCAGCTATCAAACATCTGCGCCACGATTCCACGAGAAAGAAATAATAATAATAATAATGGGTAATAAACTTTTGCATAGCAAATCATATCATAGATGAAAACCGGGCACTTTCTTATTTAGCGACACCAACTCCATAACTCTGATATTGCAATGGTATATCATCAGGCAAAGGTGTTATCATATCACCCCCGTCTGTGGTTGTAGTACTCGTTCTAGTCGAAAAGCCCTGAATAGGCAGAATTTCGGAGCTGCTGCCCGTCTCAGATGGTATCGACATACCCGTGGGGTACGAACGCGGTCGCTGTTTATTGTCCGTTCCTCCCCCGATAGTAACCAGCGTTGGTCGTTGTGAAGAGCTGCCTTGATTTGTCGATTTTGATTTCGAGCTACCGTACAGACTGTCCAAGATGTACTTGGGCGTTGCGTGCTGGAAGAATTTACGTAGTGTGGGCAAAGCAGCGCACATTACGAATAAGTTGGCTTCAATAATGATACAGGTGGAGACATTGGTGATTTCCCAGCTTTGATCAGCTGAATGCATCATAGCAGGGAGCACAGCAGCTCTAACAATTGATGTGACAATGGTCCTGTAATGTGAAAAATGGTTAGAGCACGATTTTGTATGACTTACAACAGGCAGGGGCTACTTACAAGGAGCCAACTCCGAAGATCAACAACAGCCCAAACTTTTGAAGTCTCCTAACCTGCAGCTTGAGAACCATTGGCACCGGCAGAACAAACAGAATCACGTCGGAGACAATGTTCAGAATTGCATTCGCCATGCTTACGGCGGGGCATGTGATCTTATCGTCTCCGCCCAGCCTTCCATCAACAAACTTGCATCCTATAAGCATCGTGGGCAGTAGGGCAATCGTATATGCGATGACAAAGCCGATTGTAGTCCAAGTTGCAATATAGAACCATCGTTGGGGGCTTAGACGGAGATAGAAGGCGAGCAGTGATAACTTCGCGAGCGATCCGCAGATAATATAGACGGCCCACGATATATATGTGTACTATCCCTGTGTCAGCCCATTTGAATCTTTGGTGCCAAGAAATCTTGCAAGACTTACTATTAATAACGAGCAGTAATTCCATTCGGAGATCTCCCATGCATGAACACCGGCGTACGTTTCGGCGAAGGTGAGGAGGGTTAGGCCTATCGTTGCTAAGGCGCTGAGATACGCGAATATCAAGAGATCTGCGATCATGATTGTTAGTCTCTCAATTCATGATTCGTCACTCGGCTACCTTCATTAGTGATTGCTGCAATGGCTGGGGCGTGCTCACAATCATCCGCCTGTATCTTCTTGTCCAACACCGCTTTGGTGTAAAAGCGCTGCAGCATGCTGAGGAGCGACAGCAGACATGCCACTCCGCTCAGATAGTAGATGTCGGGGACCTTGCGGCGCAACGGATTCTCGAAATCGACATGGTAGCCCTCGGGGGCCTCCATATGTACCAACACTCCATCGATGTATGCAGACATTTTGGGCGACGGGGGACACGAAAGTCGAAGACGCGTGCACTGCTCCACGTCGCGAATATCTTGGGGTAGTAGATCGAGGGGCAGTGTCGTACCAAAAAGTGTCTCAAGTCGTCATGCTGGGGACTCACATCAAGGCCTCCATTGGCTGGTCAGCTCCCACATACAACTGGCCGGACAATCTGCACTAGAGTTGAAATGCGAATGCCGCGTCCCAGTTCTTGGGTTAAGAGGGATTGGGAAGGAAAGAAATAGGATGTGCCTCATGCTTTCCATGTGGCAATAAACCTCCAGTTGCTCACGTCGATGTAACATCATGTATCCCACCACCAGAATCAGACCGGTAATGGGCTAGGGCGCCATATGAGTTCCATCTGACTAAGTGTGTGACGAGGAATTTTGGCGCCGGGAGAGATGATCCCGGATGATTAGCTACGGAGAGTCTCGGGGGCCATGCAGGAAGAATCCTCCATCTTATCAAGAAGCCTGATTGGTTTCAACTGTCTGAGGATGCAGCCACATATTAATATCAACTGACATTTGGTGTGGATCATTTGGATCCTTCTTGCAGCATCGCTTGGATTGGGTGAGACGTAAGAAAGCCTGCAGCAGCCGCCCATTCATTTACCTCCGTAGGGATGGTGAATGGTAAGTGACTGGGTAGGTACCTTGGCATCTGTCTGTCTGTGTACGACATGAGAGTAGTAAGACTGTGAAATCGCAAGTTCCTCTGGCTGAGCAATAGCCGACGTAGGATCCGGCACTGCCCTAAATGGGCCTGTTCGCTTGGCGATCTCAGCATCTGAGGCTAAGAATTAATTAAGAAGCTTGATTCATGGGAAGTGCCGTAGGTCCCATTTCCTCGGTCTGACCCCGTCTTACCATCCTTGATCCAGCCCAGTCCAGCCCTTTCCGCCTTGGCTTTCCCATGTTGCAAGAATTCAAGCATCCTTACTCCATAAACAATCATATGGCTCATTCGCCTCGCTTCGTGATTCGCCCCTTTACTCCCATTTGTCGGCTTTATTCATACCTAAGGATCCCATTGCTCGACCATTAAGCTGCAGCTATACTTCCACGGTCTGATGTCAATCTGAATCGTGGCGTAGGTGGGAGGACCAAAATATGACTGTCTCGTAAGAACGCCACACCGTATCTACCGCGCTGGCTCCTGAGTTGGAGCCCGTGTCTCAAACGAATTGCACATATTACTAAGCTTCCTTTTTCGACACCAGCTGAAGCCCTACAATTGCCTCTCCCCGCACAATGGCACCGCTTGGCCCGAGATAGACACTGAGCCGGGCTTGGCCCTAGCCGGAGACTCCCTTCCTTCTGTGCTATCCCGGAAGATTCTCCCCGAGATCCATCGCAGATGAAACTGGTACCCACCGTAGAAGACACCCCTGGGCGATGAGACGTCTTTACCCAAGAGGAACGCGCGGCCATGTTCTTATTACATTTTGTGGGCACAGGAATACACCGCAAAGCGCTTGTGAATCTATTATCCCTAAGCTGGAGGGCTGATTTATAACAATCGGTTCCCTAGTATCGCTGTCTGCCCATCGCAGCGGATGAGTTTGGCGCCATGGTCATCAAGCCCAGTCCTCATCGGTCTCGGGTCGCTTCTATAGGAGCCGAGGGGTGTTTAATCATGGATTTCACCACCCACAGACAGCGTCGGCTTCCTATGCATGCGTAGAACCTTGGTGCTATCATCTTGCCCGTGGATGAATCAATTAGGCCCCAGGTCACTGATGAATCACTTCTTCCCCAACTAATCATATAAGAGGTAGACACAGGTTCCCCGCTCCCCTTCCTGCTGCTACTTTTCCCAACGCTGGCGATCGCTTGACACGTGCTTATAGTTTGCCTCTAAGCGCGATTGGCAAGGCCAGGAACCCTGCATGAGAGTGGGATTGTCACTCCGAATTGATCACACAGTTTCCTCTGCCAAACATCACATCCCATATGCGCTCTTCAAGTTTTTATCACGAGCAGCCCGTCTCTGAGCATACCACCGATTGATGATTTCCGCCAACAGCACTCAATGAACCGCCCACACATAAGGATTTGACGCGCAATGTCTTTTTACTGCCGTTGAGCCAATGCTTCGGCTGCAGGTTCGTAGTTCGCAAAGAAGCTCGCTGGGTTATTCATAGCCGGAGTATATTTCATGAGCAGCTGAGGTCATGAAATTAGGCTTGCGGAAACAGTACGAAAATATCTTGTGCAATGGCCAGCCTCCTTCGGGATTGATGGGGATCGCAACTCAACTAAGAGATTCTGTGACCACCAATTTTTATCCCCCCACAAACTGGTACTCGTGCATATCCGAGCACAAGGCTTCTGCAGCCAAACCTACCAACGGTTCTGACACTCGGTTAGATGCTGTCGCACAGGGTGGAGGATAGAGTGACGCGGCCATTGTCTTGTCAAAAAGGCAGATGTTAAAAATTTGAAGGCGACTTACATAAACCCGATACTGGCTCTGCAATTGAGTCCCTCTCGTCTGGCTTCTCGGCCTCTTGTGGATCCTTCTTCTCGGCCTCACGCAAAGCCTTCTTCTTCTTCTTCTTGTCCTGAGTTGTAACATACTCCCTCAGCAAACCAATCACAAGAGTGGGCCACCTGTAATTATCATATAACATTAGCTGGACAGTCAAGAATCTATGAATTCATATAGAAGCTTACAGATATACTTGCCCCCAAAGGAACCAGATTCTGTTTGGGGTCAACGTGTCGGTAGGCCAGAAGTGTGAAGTAAGCATCAGACCAAATGCTATCCACGCCCCAATAAGATGAAACAAATTCATAAGCAAGGTTAGAGAGAGTGATGTCAATGAAGGTTTCTCGGTCTCCTCCCGGAAGGCACGAACTGGAAGATAGCTCATGTTTACAGGTAAAAAAGAGGGAATACACTGAAATTTTTTATCAGAATTGTAAATCTTGAGAGGTTCAATATTAAATCAAATAAGGTACTTACAATACCAAGACTATAGTAAATGATTGCCCTTGGTATAATGCCCCTTAAGTCTATAAGAATAATAAACGCTGCAAGGGCACTAATCCTTGATAGATAGACCATTAGCATTAACCCATTAGGGATCAGCTGGGAAAGCCTTTGGCTTGCTTTTCCCATTGTGTTGAAGAAATGGTGCTGTTCTTGGCAAGGATGGGTAGAAGGAAGATGAATGAGGGAACGTAATTGAACAGTAACCCAACAGAATATTTATATCCGCAATTGAAATGCCGCACAGCCACAACTACCAACGGAAGGCAAACAAGGCGATTCACTCCATGCAAAGCATCTAGGTACTTTTGGATATTTATATGCTGTTGGTTCAAAATGACTAATATTGCCCCGCAGCCACGCTTTAATCGTACCATCCCCTCACCCCTTCCTTCTGGCACCTACTATCTGACCTCGCGGCGGCGCTCCTGCTGAGCGTGCCCATGCCAGGCAGCAACGTGGGCGACACCAAGGGCAATATCTTATGAGACCAGGTGCCCATGTAGGGCTGCGCGTTTGGCCAGGGGGCACTATACTGGTCTGAGATCTTTCCTTCGAATGCTAAGCAATCGAAAAAGGCACAAGCGGCACGGTCAGCATGAGTGCAGAAGATCCTATTCTTAGAGCACCTGCGTTGTGTTTCGTAGTGGCCAATGATAGATCATATTCTCACAGTTGTCACGGGGCACCATGGGTGTCTAGTGTAGGTAGTTCAGTATACAATTAAAATCTCACTTGCGCTCGCTTGATGATCGGCCTTGGAACCGCTCTCGATCTTTCTTTTGTCGTGGTACGAAGGCGCTCAACGCTCGCGAGAACGACCAACCAACGTGGTTCCCGATCTTACTTGCGTTGTCTGCTCACCTCTCGCCAGCTCACCTCTTTTTCTCCCAGTGATATAGAGTTATCTCTAGAAGTATCCCAGGCTAAGTTTTGCATCAACAGGTCACGTTCTATATTATTTAGAAGAAATCAAGTCTACAAATCTGTCTTGCATCAGCACTTACAGCAGATTGCTATCCAATGTTAGTGGATCCCAGTTGCCAGACAGAAACCCCCAAACACCTTGTTCAATTAATCATTTCACTTTATAGGCCGCCTTGATCTTAAGCTGAGATTGATTCATGGGATAGTAAATGCCTTGACATCTAGCAGTTTTTATGCATGTTGTTGATGTCTTCACTTCATCTTGAGCCGAACGGAGTGGATCGCCGGATATTTATCCTGGACGTTCTTTGGCAGCGACGCCGCCCGGATACCGACCGGTGCGAAATACAAATCGCCAAGGCAATTAATGGCTTATTTGTCGGACTAGACGATATTCCGAAAGATAGGGAGATATGAGATTGGAAGCACCGTGCCTGCTTGGCAATAATTAGCCAAGAACCAAATCGCAGTCAATCCGACATTTGGCCTCGGCCTAACCGCCGAGACAAATCCGCCGTATAATTGGTATTACCCGGCATCGGCCAACTTCATTTACTCCATCGCGCATAATTTTACTGCCGCGGGGTTCTGCAGCAGCCTACACTTGAGACTCTTGTTATCACAGTCAAAAAGCCAATTGAATCGACACAGGAAAAAATGGGCAAAATTGCGCAAATCGAGTACTTTCGTGTCCCGCCGAGATGGCTGTTCGTCAAGATCACCGACGATGCGGGCAATGTGGGCTGGGGAGAAGGTATTTTATGGCCACACGAGACCGAGGAAAGCGGAACTAACCACAAATACAGCGTCTCTTGAAGGGCATACCCAGGCCGTGGAAGGGTGTCTAGATGCTTGGATTTCTCAATACACGGGAATGGAGGCAGAGTAGGGATCCAACAAAGCTGCAGCGAGAGGGACAATATGAACAAAGCTGACATGTGCCAGTGAAATCGAGCAAATCTGGCAAAAGTCATGGCGAATGGGATTCTACCGTGGTGGCCCTGTCTTCATGAGCGCGCTCGCAGGTATCGACATCGCGCTTTGGGATCTCAAAGGTAGAACAAGGCTGCTGCCGTAAACTCTTAGGGCTATTAGACATATGTACTGACAGTACATCACAGCGAGGAAAATTGGGCTTCCCATCTATGAACTCCTGGGCGGCAAGGTCAGGGATACCATCAAGGTCTATGCGTGGATTGGAGGTGACAGACCCTCTGATGTCAAGACCCAAGCGTAGGTCATAGCCCAGAATCCTTTTTGGGTGTTCCGCATAGGCTAACTGCTTTTCAGTCTCTCTCGAAAGGCACAGGGCTTTACTGCAGTTAAAATGAACGGGACGGAGGATCTTGGCTGGCTCGATTCACCTTCCGCTCTCGACGCCTGCGTTGAACGGGTACAGACAGTCAAATCGACGGGCATGGACGCCGGAGTAGATTTTCACGGTCGCGTTCACCGGCCGATGGCCAAGCAGCTGGCCACTCTCTTAGCACCACACCGTCCAATGTTCATCGAAGAGCCCCTTCTATCGGAGCACATCGAGGGGATTAAGGAATTCTCACGCTCAGTGAGCTGCCCTGTCGCATTGGGAGAGCGTCTTCACAGTCGCTGGGATTTCAAACCATTCCTCGAAGCTGCTTGCGTTGACATCATACAGCCGGATATCTCTCATGTAGGAGGCATCTCGGAACTTCGAAGGATTGCGACTATGGCGGAGGCGTACGATGTGCCTATCGCACCTCACTGCCCTCTCGGGCCTATTGCACTAGCCGCCAACATACAGGTGGACGCAGTAACAGCCAATTTTGCTATACAGGAGATGAGCCTTGGCATTCACTACAATACGGGGGGGCATGACCTCTTGACGTACATCAAGAACCCCGAAATTTGGGATGTCAAGGACGGCTATATCCAACTCATGAAGGGGCCTGGCTTGGGCATCGAGATAGATGAGGAAAGGATCCGCGAGCTGAGCAAAGGTGCCGAGGCTTGGGTAAGCCCTGGGTTTGTAGGTCCCGGAGGGGAGCTGCGTGAATGGTGATTATGTCTATAGCCTATGGGACAGATTTCAATCACCATGTATGTTTAAGAAACAACCGATACCGCCGAGGGAAGATAAGTAACTAACCTTTAATTCTATGGACGAGGAGGAAATTTACCATTCTGAGGTTCGGACCATGAATTCTATAGAGGTAAAGATAGGATAGGCCGTTGTATAAAAAACAACCTGGTAGACATACATCAATATCTAGGCCAGGAGAGAAAACGACGCTGAAATATGTTTCAGTTATTCAAGTCACATTTGCCCACAAAGTAAAAAAGCGAAGTAGTTTTGGAAACAAGATGAATTGACTTTCGAGAGCTAAAGATTGTATGCAGGTCAGCTAGATATCGTACAATGTTCGGTCCCCCGTATCCCAAATGAGTGGCAGTATGCTGAGTGGCAAGCCCGACTAAGCATCACATCCTATGATACATATTTCTTCTGGATCAACAATCTGCCCTCAACCTTCTAGGTCAGCATCAGCATGCAGAGTGAAAATCTTAATCATCGCCCTCAATTGTCGAGTAATGGATATTCATTAAGTTCTGAATATCTACGACAAAATGCCGAGATCGCCGAGGTCGAGAGGAATATCGATATCCCCAGCGTCGACACAGTTGAGAGCCTGGATATTGATAAGGGAGCCCTGATTCGTGGTGAGCGTCCAGTTCCACTTATAGGGGCATCTGATCTCTGGTTACTGGGCACACTTACAGGAGAAGAGTTGGTCTGGCAGCATTTGGCGGTAGCGTCCTGGTCGCCACAGTTCACAGTGAGGCCGGCGCCATTTTTTTGGCCCTGGTTGACAAAGCAGCTGCCACCTTGACAGCAGACTGCCTGTTGGTTACTTCCACAAGCCTGGTTTTGGCCGCCACCACCACCACCACCGCCGCCGCCGCCGCCGCCGCCCCGACCACCACCAGTGCGGGCCTCAAGGTCGGCTGGAGCAGCAAGAGCCAGGGCAGCTAGGCCAAGAGTGCTAGCAGCGAGGGAGAACTTCATTTTGATGAATGATGGGTAAAGTAGAGGCGTAGAGTTTATTATGAGTTTCAAATTGAGTCTGTAGTAGTTGGATCTGATGTTATTCAGTGAGGTTGTGATGGTCTGAGATGGAAGGGAAATTGAAGGGAGAGTCGAATGAATTTATAGATGTCTGAGAGTCTAAGAAGCCCACATCGAGAGCAAACATCCGGTTCAGTGATGACGTTGGTGCCGTGTGAGGGACGGACTTGAATTCATCATTGACCCTTGATGAGAGAAACGCCTGAAGCTTCTTGCCATGCTATCCGTGTCGTCCATTTCACAAGAGGCGCCAATGTTTGATGATGTGGCCATTTCTATCAACAAATTTTGAGGGCCACCAACATCACCGGCATGTCACCACCGTTTACATTATCGCGCAGAAAGCTCTCTCAAAGATCAATAGCGCGAAAGGAACATTTTCTCCGTGTTTAATGGAACTGGAACTGGAACTAAGAAAACGCCAAATTGCGTAACTAAATGTGCCTTTTTTGACGAGTTTAAGATGTTCCATTTTCAAGCTTGATGCTATGCTCTAGTGTGGAGAAGTGGCTTGCAAACTATGTTTTTTTTCTCTTGCATGACCGCAAACAATTTGAGAGCTATAGTAACCTGATAATGCAGCCTTATCCTAGCCATTCTCACCAAAAATCATCAAATGCACCCATCGAGGCCTCCCTTTGCGCTGGTGCTTTCTGGCCCTATTCTTATCTCTATAATATGACGAGCTGGGTAACTGGGTACCCAGGCTCTCATATACAGGGGGGCAAATGGAACTTACCTAAAGATCATCTATCAAAGACACGTAAAGGCTAATGGCAAAAGGTAATTTCCACGTAGCTCATAGCGAATTTAACGAGGAGGGCATGATCGTATTCGGTGGTCTCCTTTTCGTGGTCTATACAGTGAGAATCAACTTGTCTATATGAAGTCATATCTGAAGCCCTTCCATCACTGTATTAGACTAGCCGCTAATTGGATCAACAGGCAAGCTAAAGTTAAGAATAGCCCGGAAATGGTGAGTGGCGAAGGACTGCCCTACCAACCCAACCAGGCCTGATCCAGCCAAGGCTCAGCCCATTCTCTGCATAACTTCCAATCAGCTTGAAGGCGATATGTTCTGTCACATCTGATCAGATAAAACTTAGGAGCCACAGAGATTACAACACTGAACGAAGGGATGACGTAGTTCCCTAAGCCCATTTTTTCCAGGGCGCCCGGAGATTTTTTATGCGAGTCCTAGATGGAGGAACTGCTTTTTTACGAAATGACGATGAAGACGGAAGAGATGACATCAAATATTTGCAGAGACAGAAATCCCCTCGAGGCAGCCCTTTACCTGCGATTTCTCCAATAGTGGTGCGTAGTGAGATTGCTGGTATCCTTGGTGAGAGCCTTCTCTTTCGAGCTACCCCGGATGATGCTAAGGGCCAAGCAGCATGACGATAACACTAGATGAATTCATTAGCATCGAGTTATTAGCATATAGAATGCGTGAATTTATTGTTGATCAACAGGCGTTACATCCCGCTTCGGGGGAGGGATATGGGCGATCATGCCCCAGCAACTAAACCTTCGCTGTGTCATCGGCCCCAGCGTCTTTAGTTTTGGTTCAAGGTTTTCCAAATAGGGATCGGATTTTCCGATTAGGATGCTGGGGCGCGGAACTGGAATGCTAGTTGGTATGAAGATCCCAGGATCGACAGCGCTACCGAGCTGCACTCATTTAAACTAACAACTAGCACTAAAGAATCTGGGAAGTTTCTTTACTCATCGAACGGTAGCCAATAAGCCTCCAACCATGGGAAGTCTCAGGACCACAGTATCGAGCGGGAGGGGAGTAACTCCATCTGGCGCAGTACCAATACGATGTGGCGATGGTTGAGCCGATTAGGAACCCAACCAACTAATTGGGAAAAAATCTATAGCTTTTGAAATTTCCCATTACTTTCCCCCGGTACAAAAATAAAATACAAAGACCCCTGGGGGGTGATCACTCTTGAAAGGAAGTAGATCTGCTCGAGCGCGAAGCAGTTGCCCACAACTTGAACGAGACAATGTTAGCCGTGAGGCGAATTCCGTGTTTTTTTTTTGTTGTTTTCCTTTTTCCTCGGGGTGCCTGATTAGCTAAAACTAGGAGGGTAGCTAGGACCCGGAACCAGCAGCATCCGTGAAGAGATGGCACCAGAGTTCACCCTTTCGCCACAAGCATATATGTACACGAGAGCGTTTCAACGACACTAACTGGAAAAGAATTAACCAACAATTGATTTTTTCCATTACGCGCCTGTAGAGATACCATCTACCCGGAGGATGGCCCTTGAGAACACATAGAAGGTGAGTGGGAAGGAGGGGGCCACTGGCAGTTGATGCATTCCGTCGTCATCAATCCCCATCCTGAGGGCGACTCGGATTTTTTTGAGGCCACCACTTGCCTGAAAGAAAACACGCCTCTGCAGATCACAGAAAGCATCATAATTCAATACGTAGTTGAAAAATTCGGAGCGCTGATCTTTTCGAGGACGAGCCACTAACATGACAGGCTAATGCACAATCTCCATGTTATCGCCTCAGTTGTTTTCTGTTTTTCCATCCTTTGGGCTGATATCCGGCCTTCCAAGGGGCGTCCGCGCGAATCTTGTTGATTTTTCGCTGCTTGGCACGAACTAATGCTTGTTTACACTACGTCAGTAGATTGAGTGGCTGAGTAGGGCAGGAGGATGCCTGCTTTACCTGGCGAACGCGTCAAGAAGGGCTCAAGGGGATGACCAGGAAAACGAATTCAGCATCCACCTGCCATACTGTAGATGCGCACAGTAAGTTAAGATAGTGACAGGACAATGAATGAAGCTATTGTCAGTATGAGTGGAGGATAACAGACAGCATGAACCAACTCTACTTCGCTTTAAACCTAAGTACGATTGTAGATAAGATTGACTTGATCTTTCCGTCAAGAAGATCCAGCTCAAGCTGTACGTATATATCTCCCCAAAAAGATTAAAAATTAAAACTGTAGCAAGGAATGCACGAACCGTTGGTAGCGTCATGATGGAGTGTTCATCATTCCGCAGTGTTGTTGATTCGGTCTACCGCCATGTCAAATGTTGTCGCACGATGTAGATGATATATAACAGCGATTTTCAAAATTCAGACTATTATATGAGTTGATGGAGTGACGCTCTTCCAGCAAGCGAAAAGTCTTGGGAGACCATCTCAACGGAAGTTTTTTTCTTTCCTTTTTTTTTCCAATTGATAGTCGCTAGAAACGATCGTCCACAAAGAAAATCTGGACCAGACGTAGGCTCCGTTCGCCATGACAGCACTCACATGGTTCTCCCTCTCCGCCCTGGACGATACACACAAATACAATCTCCTATGGCGTCCGAGTTTTGACCCTAAACCACTGTGCTATAGATATCATACGTTAGCCAGCCAAGGTCAGAGGGGCTTAGGGGTTGTCCGATGTTAGCTTACATTGGCCAATAAGCGTGAACACTGGGATCCCTCAATTCCCGTTCGACACCTTCAAGTAGCGTATTCATCTCCTCTGGGCTCCAACCTTGGATCCGGGTGAACACAGCAGCGCTTAATCCTTGGAGGCCAGAGCTAATATTTTCGTAACACCATGATCCTATGTCCGAGCCATTAGTTTTTGGTTACGATCAAGATCTCCTCACAAAAGAAAATATTTCCAGAGCTACACAGACGAGTGACGGCAAGTACTTGGACACTTCAGAGGGTGGATGAAGTAATTCTTACCGAGTTCCTTGTGCTTTGGGTCTCTAGGCCATCGATTTGTTGGCCATTTATAGACAACCTTTTTGAGGTTTGTGAAGCCGGCAGCTTCCATTTTCTCATAGTAGGTCTGATATCCTAGAAAATACCTGTCGATTTTGCTGGTACCTTCAATGAAGAGGCCAACCCAACGGGATAGAAACCCGTCCTTGTTCAGAGTGCCATCATCACATGTCACAGCACCAATATCCATTATCTCCATGTAGCCTCCAGGTGTTAAGTTCGCATATGATTGCTCAAAGTAGCGCGATCAATCCGATATGGAAGATGTCATGTGGCGACTGTAAATAAAGTCGAATTTGGTGCTGTACGTCCACTGATCCTCAACATCGTCCACCTGGAAGGTGACGTTGGGCGGTACAAAGGGACCCTGAATAGGGCTCAAATCGACGCCATACACTTGAGTCTCAGGGTTCTCTTCGGCAAAATCGAGAGCCCAAGCGCCAGTTCCGGTGCCGAGATCGAGGACGTTGCGTAATGGGATCCCGCCATCACGACCTACGGGGCAGATATAGAGCTTATCATCCAGTGTACGCAGGCTGAGGTGATACTGAAGGTCGAGGCGCTCCTATTCAGATTAGTCATTGGGCAACACGTACTTTTCGTCTTTGTATGCATGGTAGGTGCGGCCATTTTCCTCACGGTAGCGGAGAATGCTGCTGTTTATGGAGGTGGTAGAGCTCTCGAGTTGGGTGCTCTCTTTTGTTTGATTATTCTCTTCTTGATCGGCTTCGATGAATTCAATGCCTTTAGTTTCAGGTTCTTTTGCCGGTACGGACATTGTTTTTTTCGGAAAGTTTCTTGCTACTTAGAAGCGGAATCAAGTGATCATGAGGCGACAGCTACCTCTAGCAATCAATAGATTAGTTCTTTGAGCGAGAGACCGAGAACAAGGCGAGGAGGGTAAATTAAGTAGCAGATGATGTAAGAGTAAGACTTGTCATAATTGTTGTCAGCTGCCCAGCCGCAGCTGAATACAGGATATTGCATTGGGTGGATCATGGGTGCACATTCAGGTGTTGTGCTTGGTTCTTTGAGAGGGACACGAATCTAATCATCTTGGGCCATTAATCCACAATTGGCGGGGTTAATTGCTATTCTCCCTTTGCATTGATATTGATCAAGCTCCGCGATATACTCTCCACAGAACGACAAGTCTTCACTGGCCAGGTCTGGACGCCTCTGCATGACAACAGGATAGATGCAGTAGCATCATATCGCGCAGTGGTTCTATAGGTACTAGTGTAGAGTTATACTCTCCTGATTGGGTCTGGGAGGCAATACAAGGATTAGTTTCTTGTGGTTTGTTCAAGGGCTATTGGCTGGCTGGACCCGGGAGATCTTGAGTGTGGTTGGCTCGTTGGCATATAAGTGCTTACAGAAGTCCCAGCTAAAGATCTTTCGTACCAAATAACCAATGAAATAGTACCCCAAGAAGTTCGAGGGTTTAGCAAGATACAGTCTAGCACCCACGGAAACTGTACTGGTATGATTAGACCAAAAAAGAATTGACTTTACTGATTTAGGTCCTAAGAATCACCATTCGACCTGGGATCCGGTTCCCACCCATCGCGGATAGCGGCCAACCATTCATCTAACCTTCTTATTATTGACGTCAACCTGTTTTACACCTTTCCATCTTGCGCTCTGACGTCTTTTGATGCGAATTACCACTAAAAGGTAAGCGGTGCTGTTTCCCTCTTTGTTTACCATCTTTATCACTCATGTTCATTTGTTGGTGACTGAAACTAGCTCTCAGACTGTGAAGAACCTGACAAAAGGAGGGGCTAATAATCATAGGCCGGTAAAGCGTGGACAACATTATGATCTACTTGAGTGGCCGATCATATCTTCGGGATGGATTGAGCATGGCTGCTTTACTCTTGGATCCCGGACGACCCAAAACCATATTGAGGATAGCTCTATGAAGGACCTGAGCGCGCATCACCGTAATGTAGATAACACTGCGTATGTTTTTTTCTTTTTCTTTTTCTCTTTCTCTTTTTTTCTTTTATCAAGTGTCGAAATTAGGATTGACCGTTTCTAAGTTTTTTTCTCCCTTTCAATACTTGGGAGCCTAATTCGAGGATAAAGAGAAAAAGATTGAACCAATAAATGCGAATCGAGACCTCTGCTGCGTCTTAAGATTTATTTTATTATTGATCCATATACGTATACAGTCATCTGGCTTCACTTCTGCGGGGCCCCGCTCAACGATTTATTGCCTGGTTCGCCGAGGAAGGTCAGTCTACAGACCAATAGCAGGCCATCAACGTAATAGGCGGCTGGAATTGAACCCAGGCGCAGCTTAAAATCAGCTAGACAATCAACATCGCATCATACCAGCCGCTCCGATATCACTTCTCCAACGCAACATGAACTTGATGTCAGGTATCAGGTCCCCAGATTATGTTCGATGACTTCAACTACTACTTTCCGCATTCATGACCTGCCAGTCGAGGTTTTGAGCCTGATCCTCGGCAGTTTCCCCGGGGAAGAGAGCAGGCACGAATTTCCCTTCTTTGAGCTACGCCTCGTGTGCCGACTGTGGAACAAAATTGCCTCGCCGCACCTGTTTCGCACGGTTCAACTCGGGCGCGGCCGCCGAACTTTCCAACGCTGGAGAAGGCTGTTGAGTCGCAAACGGATCAGAAAACACATCCAGCATGTCCGCATAGATTGCCAAAACGAGTACCCTCCATATCACGAGATCATCAAGTGGAAGTGGCATTTCGCCAGAGCTATTGGCCGTCTGAAGGATCTGGAACAGCTCAACGAGCTCAGCATACACTTTGAGAAGAGCTGCGATTTGGAAGGATGGCGTGAGGGCGTTACCAGCCAATTCAGATCATTCTTTGCCACGGGTGCACGGATGTGGATACTGAGCAAGCTCGCCGAAGCTCTCAAAGAGCGTGCCGTCACGGTGCCAAACTGCAGACCTGTTCGCTCATTGACCATCTACAACCTCCAGAACTTTCCGGCCTGGAATATGGGGAGCTTTGACGAGCCCACAGACATCACATTCCTGGCTCAGAGCATTCGCGAGCTGGACCTGACCTTCGTCTCCGAGAACTACACGGAGATCGACTTCTACGACCATGGTGATTGGGATCCAGGGAAGGTGAAGCGTTGCAATTTCACACCGTACCTCCGCCACAACTGGCTCGTCCCTACCATGGATTATTTGACTTCACTTTCGATCTCTTCCGTCGAGCGCTGGGGGGCAATACCATCCTACTTTGATGGAAAAGGCCTAGAATTCCCCCAACTCAGAAGCTTGGCTCTAGCGAATTTCGTCATCGGCCACCATAACCAGTTTGATTGGGTCTTGAGACAAAAGTCACTGCACTCGCTTTATCTCCTTGACAACGCTATCCTTTCTTATATCTTCCATGATGGAATCATCAAAGAACAGGCCAATATCCCTATTCATGACTGGATTGTGCTTGGAGACTCACAGTACTACTTCCCTGGGACGTGGGAGGCAGTATTTGATCGAATTAACGAAGAGCTTCCACGTCTAAAGGAATTCTGGTTCTGTTCAGACGCTGGTGTCTACCCTCCCCAGCCTGGGAAGCTATGCCACGTAAGATATATTTCATTTCATTCTGACGAGCGTCCCGTCTGGAACACTGGTGCTCGCACGGATGGAGACCTTGAATGGGACTGGACCACAAACAGGGCCAAGGAGACATTTCGAGGAGATACTCGAGCGTATGAATCTTTACTTCAGAACGTTCTTAAGCGGCCGATGAAGGCTTGAGAAAGTGTTCAGACAAGAAATGATAATAGTAGTTGATGTATTACTTTTTTCGATCCATGTTCTTCTCCAGATGATAATTAAAATAGCCGACACCAACGAGTTGTAGCGCTCCAGGTATGTGTTCCATACATATATCCTACTCAACATTGAGCACCTGGCAAATGCATCTATACGCAGACCCAACCTGTCAATTTTCTCGGGATTCTTGCCGTCAAGGATGTGATCCCTCTCTCCTCTATCGCGCTTCTTGTTCTCGCGGCGAAGCAGAAAAGGAGTCAACCCAAAAAGGCACCCAGATGCAAAGACGAACCCGAGAGTGGCGCCGTGCCCAATCTTATACTCCGGGCTATCTTTGGTACAATACAGGAAAGCGGCACAGATTCCTGTGCAGTTGCCAACCGCCTGCTGGTTCCCTGATCGGCGTCACGCTTGAAATGATTAGGAAGGCTGTTGGGCATCCACGAAATCGGGATACCAACGGCCACGTACAACCCAGAAGCAACAATGACACATCCCGCATATTGTGCACCGGCATGTATGCAGGTAGAGCCAATATTATGCAGTAATTCCACACTTTGAAAGACCAAATCCCATCACTTCTGGATTGCAGAAGCTATCGAGGCCTCCATGCTGTTGCATTTTCAAGGTCCTATTTCAGTAAGGCTATTCATTTTCAGCATGAATATTGAACCAACATTGACCTTTGTAGCTTTCTGATTCTGCTCTCCTAAAGAGGGCCACTGCGAATGGGTATCAGTAATACTGACTCGCAGGAAGACTCTTGCACAAGCTTCGAGTCTTCTGTCGAGGCATCGTGAAAGATCGCACGAGCAGCTGAGACAGTCATAACTCACGGTTCATTGGCGGATTATCTCTCTTTTTATAAGATTTTGGTCTTTCTCCCTCCGGTGGCCTGTGGCTAACCAATGTTTCCCTGTAGCACCTCTGCTCTGTTTGGTGTAATGGCAATCCACGCTATCCGAGGACAAGAGGCCGAGCGGCAACTTGGTATCTGTATGATCACCATGCACCCACTATCAACAATGTATTTCGCTGCAGGCTGGATTCGTAATCTCTTCAAAAAGCTCAGGGGAAAACGAGCTAACATCGCAAGGCCTTCGCGGCCCCCCATCTCCCGTCTGCCCATCTGAAATGGAAACCGAACAGGCGATTCCTTCTTGCTCGGTAAACGATATCACTGAGGTGATACCGGGGAATGCATCACAAATATTGGGAAGCGACGTGCACAGGGAGAACAGTTGGCCCCTGTTCGATGCTTGGCCTCCAACCGGCGCCTTCTTAGTCTTTGTTTTGATAAATTGGAACGTGGGTGGGTTCCTGACTATACGATGCTTGATGGTGGTTTTAGAGGGATGGATCCTTATTTGGCAGATTGTTGGCAGGAACTACTGAATGTAGAAATCCGTTTACTTGTCAAGATCAAACTCGTCAGTAACCGACCTAGTATGGTTGTAGAAGTCACGAGCATGCCAGGAGATCATCCCATGAGAAAGTCTTAGGGGGCCGCATTCGTATTTGTGTTGCCATTAACTACTTGGAAGGATAAGACTATAGAGGAGTGGAAAGCCTTTGGGTGGGCATTGGCTCACCAACGCGGTTCTCTAGGACTACGCCTCCGTAGCCTATGGAGCTCAAACCCTCTCGGTTATGGAAAAAAGCTACAATTCAGATCCATCCTGGCGTAAACTAAGCTTGTTCTCATCAAATTTCAATTATTTTCAATTATTTACTACAGCACAGAGCTATGTCATCCCGACATCTCAACAAGAATACGAAAGGCAAAAATAGGCTCTACTAGATCAGGGCTGCAGCCATGTAGAATGAAAACTCTATAAAACTTCATACTGATTCCTCACTTACCGTCGGGGCGATCCGCTCGTCAGATTCGCATTTTATCTGCCTTTTTCATCTTTGAATACTCGTCTTCTATCACATCAAGTCTAAATCTGATTCATTGATACCAAAATGCCATCTTCACTTTGCCTAGTTCACGGACTTTGTCATATGACCTTGACGAAGAGCCAAAGGGTGGTCCCATCGTACTGTTGGCAAATTCACTTTGTGTCCCGTTCACCGTCTGGCATCGCGTCAGGGATATTCTCAACCAAAATGGCTTCCGGGCCTTGCGCTACGATCAGCCTGGTCACGGACAGTCGTCAGTACCCGACGACTTGAATACAACCAGCTTTACGTCCTTGGCCAAGGACTTGCGCGATCTGCTGGAAACCCTAAATATACAGCATCTTTATGCCTGGATTGGGGTATCTATGGGAGCCGCAACGGGGTTCTACTTTGTCACGCAGAACCCGCAAGTGGTGAAGAAGTTCGTTGCTTGCGATACAATCAGTTGCTCTGCTGTGAATGCGGGGATTGACGACGCCTTTGGACCAAGGGTGGAATCCGCCCGGAGGGACGGAAGCATAAGCTTATCCAAGGGACACTAAAACGGTGGCTGGGCAAACCCTATTTGGAGAAGAACAACAGAAGAAAGTTCTCTTTTGAAGGAATTGATGTCACAAATCAGTCTTGACGGGTTTGAAACCTGTTGCCACGCGCTCCGGAGCGAGTCTTTCAATCTCTGTCCATTGTTCAGTCAAGTGGGTGCGAGTGCCCAGGAGGCGCTCTGCATCGTTGGGGAGAAGGACGCCAATCTTCCGGAGACTATGAAAACAATGAGCGAAGAGATGGGGAAGGGATTCACTTCTGCGGGTAGGCCACGCAATGTGGAACTCGTTGTTATCAAGGATGCAACATATATATATTTCGTCGATGGATTTGAGCAATTCAGTCAAGCGGTCCTCTCGTTTCTAAACGCTTAAAGAATAGAATAGCAATCAGACTTGGTATTTTGAACTCTAGTACTGAAGTGAAAAGGGAACATCTCGTGATGAGTTCGCCAATGAATAACTGCCTCGTACGCAAGATGCATCAAACAATTAGAGGCTATAGTGATGTGTGATAATGGAACGACATTTCAGAGTCTTGCTAAAGAAGAAGTCAATTCGAACACTCTGGACTCCTCAACTCGCTCCCTTCTAGAGTATTTTATTTTGGGAGGGAAGAAATATATTGTAAGCAAGTCAAGAGATGTACACAGGCGTGTATCCTCTGCTGATCCTCAAAGTTCGCTTAAAAATATCAGGGGGTTACTTGAGTAGAACACAGCTCAGTAGAACACGGCTCATTTTGTTAAGGAAATTGAAATTTTTTTATTCTTTTATGAGTTTAGCTACCCCATCACCGTCCATCTATCAAATGGACAGATGGTACGTCTTGTCTAGTAGAGACCGACAACGACATCACCCTTGACACGGGCGGTCAAGTGAACCTCAGCCTCGAGGTCGAGCTTGATGCCAAGAAGAAGGGCGGCATCACGGAGGCTACCATCAGCCTCAGCAGCGCCCTTGATGAGTTGACCTACTTTAAGTGTTAGAATCTATGATGAGATGACGACTCTGGGGGAGGGGAAGGAAACGTACCAGCAGGCTCCGAAAGGCCAGTGGAGGTGGGCAGAGGGACAACAAAAGGCTTGCCGGCGCTGGAGGATCGTTAGAATCGAGTTAGAGCTCTTTATTCAAGATAGCCATGTTTGGGGAAAACTCACGAAGACATGTTGATGGATTGGTGGGTGAAAAGGGTTGTTTGGTTTGGTCGGTGATGTGGAAGAGAGGAGCAGTGAGTTGAGGAGGTGAGAGCTCAAGGTGGTGATCTTGAGTCTTTTTATACTTTATTTTCTGAAGCATTCTAATTTTTCTTCTTTAATTTTTACCCGTAATTTAGTAGTCTTCGGCGACTCCATCATGTGCATTGCAATATTTCTGCAAAGGTCGCATCAAACCCATGTATTACAGCCGCCGCATAATTAAAGCAATCAATTCTGCGACAACGCAGCACCATAATCTCCCCTGCAGCACGTCGGAACAACGAGAGAATCCCCATACTTCTGCCCGACCTGGGAAGCTGTAGGCGAGCCTTGGGGAGCTCAAGGCACCAAGCGTGGATGAATATCACTTGCCACTTGTCATTCATGCTGGAACGCTGTCCAATAGATATAGAGCGCATTCGCAGACATGAGATGCAGCAAAGGCATAAAATAGACACATCATCATGCCCCGCCTATTTCTCATTGGGGGAGTTTCCACCCGCAATGGTAACGCCGAGCATCTGTTGTCCAATCAATGCCGTCTACTCACTAATGAAGGAGTCTGTCACAGGACTTTCAGGCTCGCACCAGTTCAATATAGTTCCGCGGGGACCATAAGACCGGATGGGAAAACGGGATTTTGCTCTTAGGTAGATGGATGAAAGGAGGGATTGATTTCAACTTGCTGTTTGGGGCCTCGGTTACAACATGATAGTGAGAAACATCAACACATGACAACGAGTCCAACACTTAAGCATCCCAAACCTAACTCTTTTAGATCCGGCCCTTCCATGAATAGCACTTCAAGATTTCCCAAAGTTAAAGGAAGGTATCATCGTCCTCCGTCCTAAGCCCGCCCGTCACCATGCAACTTCTCGTCGGAATAGGCACAAATTCGCGACTAATGGAGACCTCGGGTGGTGGCCGGTCGCCTTTCAAGTCAATATAGATTCCCCTCTCTTCCGCCGCTTTAACGGCTTTGGGGAAATACCAACGCGCACCGATAATGTCATGCAGCCTTGCTTGAATATCCTTCAACATGACAGCCTTGAGATTGCCATATCGCCTCGACTTTATTGCCGCCTCAACCGCTTCATCGACATATCCCATCTTTTCGCGATTGCTGCCGGTAAGCTCGCCAATCATCAACACGCCGCCAGTTCCCCCAAAAAAATCCAGCACCAAGGTCTCCATCTGATTCGGAAGACGAAATTCGAAAAGTCCAAAAAGACGGCCTAAAAGGTCTTCTCGAGACAGTTTTTCTCCACTTGTAGCTAGGCTCATTTCCACAGCCAGCCAATCCATAGTAACCACCCGAAGGTCATCAAATGCGCAGATAAGGTCTGGGCCTAGACCTTGGGTAAAGTATGGCCCGTCGGTCTCATTTTGCGCATGGAAACAAACCCGCTGTAGAGAATTGCACTGATGCTTGGAGAGGGCGTCGACCAATGACGTCGCACTTCGTGAACGCGCCTCGGATTCATCATGGTAGTCAAAACGGACGGTAAGATTTTGAAGTGCACTTGGCAACTTAGCCAGAAAGTTTATCAGAATTTCGCTCAGGCTCTCCTCTAGATTGTCAAGAATAATCGTCCGGACTGGTGATGTCTTATCGAATGGGGCTTGAGGGCTGTTGGTGAACAGATCCACGCCCAGATCAGAAAGCTCAAAGTCTCCATCCATATGTGCAAAGTATACTTCAGACAGGTTCGGCAGACATAATAGAGCGGCGAACTCATCTGAACAGGTACTCAATATCGTGTACCCACCATCGGGGGGGATAGCGACAGATACCTTTTCGAGCGTTTCTAATCCTGGCAGCCATGTCCCAGCAGCCTTGCACCAGTAGATGTATTCATACAACATTTCAATACCTGGATACCTTTCTCGACCAGACTTGGCACAACGTATGGCCCTGATTCGCGGCAGGTGGACCAGCATGAGGCTTTTGGTGATGCTGTCGCGGCCGGTTTCTAGCCCATAACGGACATGGTCACCCCACGGCTCTTTATAGGTCTTGGGAAAGAAATCCGGTATCTTCAGCAATTTCTCGCAGAAATACTCGATATCAGACTCGGGAGGCGGCCAAGTACGCGACTCGCTCCCTTCATCGGGCGGAGCCTCGTCTGCATCCGAGTCCGCTTCTGGGTCCGATCTCCAGGTAAAGTCCCTTTCGCCCCAAATTTCAAACTCCCTCACGTGCCATGCATCAATATGAGCGGCGCCATGGCTGAAGACACTCCAGAGGAGGTTGAAACCGGTCATTGGGACCAGATCTGATGTAACTCGAAACCTTCGGTACGCGTCGCGGTGAAGATTGAGAACACGTTCACTGTTCTGATACAGGCGCGAGCATGATTGTGCAAGGGGCCAGTGCGCAGAGGGATGTGTGTGCTCAATGATGAGCTGCAAGACCTCCGCAGGCAGAGTGCTAAGGTACGGAGCGGGATCCATGGGGAGGCTGGACATTGACTGATCCGACATGAATAGTCGTCGGAAGATAGCTACCATCGATATCGTTAAGGCGAAGTTCGGGGATGATGCAGGGTCAATGTGCCAGATTGTCATCGCGCGCTACTGTTATTGCTGGGGCGGCCCGTGGCTAATAATAAAATCTCATGCGGGGCAAACCCTCAAGTGACCAGGGGTCCAGCCCTAGCTTACCCTATACAAACACTTCAGCAAAGTGAGGCTTGACAAAGCAAGTGCATTGAGAGAAGATAGTAGCAAATCTTGTTTCTGGATGTATTATATGCTTCTTGTGTCGAGTTTCCATCACTCGAATCAATATTTATTGTTGTATTATCGACTCTAACGATGATTTCAGCTTCGCAGCGTAATTGTATTGATTACAGAATATTGGTCTTAACATTCAGATGCACAGGAGCAAATGTACCATGTTTTGACCTTGACACATGGTTCCCCTCTTTCGCAGTATGAAAAACATATTGTGAGATGTAGACTGCGAAGAACTACATTGAACTTCCACTATTTGGATAGAATTGCCCATGTATGTTATAGGCATTCCACTCACTTGTCGGAATTAAGGGCATGTTAGGTGCCAAAGCAGCTGCTTCGAAAAATGAGTCGTCCAATGTGATGATTCGATCCATTTCGGAAAATCTCTGATCCATAAGAGCCTGTGAAATCTCCAACAAATCTTCTGGAGGATATGGGCTAGTCGCATCCATGGAATAAGATGATCTGTTTCCAACGGCGATCAGAGTGCTTTCATGAGCAGATGGGGTTGGCAGCGGTAAGTGATTCGTGGAAGAACTTTGGGCTCGCCCAGATGAGATATCTTGTTGGTGTGTGGATGGTACTGACAGTCCCGTTGCATCACCAAACAGGGCAGAACCGAGATTACTCGGGACTGATAGAGTTGCATGTGAGGATTGCGTATCATTAATCCTAAGATGGTGTGGTTGCTGGGTATTTCGATCGGGAATACCATTCGGTGTATACGATGCTCCTGAGCAAAACATATCATCTTGATAGTCAATGAGATTGATCTCAATGCTGGGATGTGCCATGCATTTCTCATAAAGATTCCGTAAGTTTATTGCGTATTTGCCCGCAAGGTTGGGCGGAAGTTTCACGTTGCTTGTTCTTGGGCCTTCCCAACGGCTAGACATATGTTCAAGACTCCTAACGAGAACCCAAAACTCGGAATCAAGTTTCTTACCATCATTTCGCCAGTGAACTGGAGCCGATGTCAGTACAGAAGCACGATTCAGGTTAGACTCCTACTCACGAATCAGAAGCCGGGCACTAACGAACGTGCATAAGGCCATCTGAGGGGCTACAATGATTTCTTCTGGGCAGATACTGAGCCATTTCTCCATAATGTTACTCGTTTTGGTGGCTGCTAATCGACATGTCTCGGCGCTACAAGCACTGGGCAGAGGGACGCTGTGGCACCATCCGACCGGCGGGTATGCGATGCGATGATGAAGCAGTATCATCGATGTGTTGTGGGTGACATGCGCAAGGGTCATGTTGTGGTCTAAATCTCTCGGTCCGGTGGAGGTATTCGGGGCTCGATTTGGGTCGCTCCATTTTCGAGGAAGAAACATCTTCCAACTGGGCCGATATATTAGCACTACAAAGGGACGAGGATCGGAGTCACTTACTGGACTAGTTGGAGATCCAGTTCCTTGAAGCGAGTCAACCAAGATCGTACATCTTTCTGGCTGGCAAAGTCGACGTCTTGGTGAAAGACAAATGTCGAAATTCGACGAAGGTATTCCGTGGCTTCTATGCAATATGCGAAGCCGCCAAGCCAAGATCCACCTGTCGACTCGCTGCTGAGTACCGGACTTCCAGCATCCCCGGGAATGTCAGATCGGGGATGATCACTGGGATGGGTAGAAGACTTGTCCGTTTTCTGTTTAATGGTGTTAATATACCCGACGAGGCTTGGGACAAATTGTTCGCAAACCTCAACCCCGTGGCGATCTCCAATATTAAAGTACGGACACCCAACCGGTTCTTCCGCATACCAATAGCTCCCGTTGGCTGGTAACTTAAGATTTATTTTGCTTGTATCAATGATGGCATCCCATCCAAAAACGATTAGATGCGAATAGGAAGTGGCCAAGCCAGGGACCTCTCACCCGGTTGTGACAGAAAAATATCTGCTTGAACGGTTAGCACTTGTATGGACTTCGACGGCAGGAGTTTCGCCTACCTATCTAGATTAAAAATATTCCAGAATATTCTTCTCCTCTCTTCTTGCTCTACCCAATCGTCTGTAGCTGTAAGAGGACTCAAACGCCTTGTACTGGTTTTATTTCGTTGAGATTCTTCTGTGGTTAACTGTAAATATTCGGCAGTTCGAGTCATCGATCCAATTATTGAGCATGATCTGTTTGGAGTTCCGTGGCTAATCTAGGTCCTCTGTTAGCAATACCATGAGAGAAGCGACAAACTCGATCTGAAATTGGGGAAGGCTCACGTCAGTGAACGCCAAGATAACCAGCGCTTGCAAGTTCTCGATGCTCAAGCTATCCATCGCAGCAATGAGCACGGACTTCCTCTTCTCAGTTGTCAGACGCAGTATGCCATCTTCAGATAGTGAGTGCTTGTCACGATCCACAAAGCGTAGTGTCGCTATCAGTATGGCGTCAATGACGACACCCAGTCTCCTTCTTCCTTCTGCCGACTTGATTTGATCCTTGAAGCGAGACCTGTGTATCAAAGGAATCCAATAGAAGACTTTGGCGAAGTATAAATCAACGGCCTCGCCTATGAGGTCGTGGGTAATTTGCTCATCGGGCATGTCGACTCGCGGCTGCGATCTACTAGAAGCAGGCGAGACACACTGATAAATGGATACTCTTCTTCTCTTCGGGGCGTGACTTTGTTCAACAGCGTCATGATTTCCAGCGTCTTGGGGGGTAATTGAATTGATGGGGACCGAGCCATCCGGTTGACTCCGTTTCGCTGTGATCCCTTGTATTTCGGAGACAAGGGCAGTTACGGCCCCTATGAGTTGGGCGGTATTTTCCGAGAGCTCACCATGGCCAGTATTTCTCAAAGCTTTTTCTTGTTGTTCTCGATCGTGAAATGATTGCTCGAGGACTTCTATATTAGGATGCTTCAACATCAGCTGGCCAGCAACCTTAACAATAGCTGCGATATGAAAACGTACCGACTCGTTTGCTGAGAGCTTCGACTGCCCCGACCTTCAGCCCTGGCTTGTTTTTCTTCGCATCGTATACGCAAGGGATATCTTCTAGGATCAATATGTTTTCAGAGGAAATGCAAGGGTCAATCGCAATTCACTGACTCTGTCGAAGACAATACGAACATGACGGATCATCTCTCGAGCATTTTTGCTTCCGGCGACGACATTCCTGACACGAAGGCTTCTCCGCGTCGTTTACCGCATTGGCCGCTGATGGAGACAAACTCATCCTGTTATAGCATAATCCATGGAGATGGAGGCTGATGATCGGAGGTGGAGGAATGAGGACGACGAATTAGTGCGGCTCCGACGATTTTTATACAAGGCCTAGGCAGTAATATGTCCAACGCTCCACCTCTTAGGGGCTAATATAATATGGAGTTTGATGGGGCAGAACACCACCCGTTTCCAGCTGTTGTGGAGTAAAAGAAACACACGCGTCCTCAGTCTAGGACTGATCTCAAGGTCAAAGTAGAATGGTAACTGCTACTGGAAATCACGCAGAGTTTTGTCATTTCATCAGTATTTTATCAGGGAGTAACATGGAACATAATGCATACGGCCTAAATCACTAGGTCGTGTACAGTTAGAAGGAGGCGGGTGACGGCCTCCCTTAAGGAGCGTTAACTAAAAGTCAAGGTTAAACCCTACTTGTTGGCTTATCTATTCTAAACTGCAATTTCATTGAATTATATCGGATGATTTTGCTTCTAGTTTGAAACTTGAAGGCGGACCAAGGTAACTCTCCCGAACACCACCGTAATCAATGATCAACCTCTCCAGCAGGATGTTTTGATGTCGCAGCCTCACTTTAAGCGTGTGAGCCCCAGGCTTCAATCCGGTTAGCTCATGATGTCTCTGCCAAATGAGGTCAGAAGCTGCTTTTTTCCACCCGTTGGCTCGAGGGATGCCGTCAGCTAAGCCCTCCTGGATGCTTTCTTGTGTAAACTCTTCAAGATTATGATGTGATACTGGACCTTCGTTTAACTGTAGGTCATATGAATTGACGTCTTCGTCCGATGTGCTGAGTGTAATGCCGAAGACAAGCGTAAGTTTTGCAGTAGCTAATGCCGAGAACTGGTAGAACGGATAGTTGAGGAAGCAGTTTACTTCCTTACCGCGGTCTTTCGTCACATCAAGGCTGACTGACCCAGACGCTGTTCTCCCCGTATCAGGCAGAGAGATATAGCCAGGCAGGGAAGCAGTACTTGAAGCTGGAATAGAAATATAGCCGGAGCTCTCAATAAATCCCCCCGCGAAAGAATCAGGAACGCGGTTGTTATCAATTGGGATGTGAACTTGCTCAAAGTCTCCAATGCCGCTGTGGATGCCGACCAAAACTTCCTGATCGAAATCATCGGGAACCTGGCCCCAATCCACAGATATCTCGACCCGAAAATCCTGTCGGCCTGGGACCAGAAATCCAGAATACTGGGAGAGCCGCAGCCATGAATATGGTGCTGAGGCTGTCCAATGAATGGTAGGGGTACCACGAGTCCATATTTCGAACCATCTGGTAGCAGGGCCATAGTAGCTCATCTCGCCAAGTGTCAACCCTGGCACGAGATCACGGCGGCTGGGATGCGTACGCTCAGACTCCTCATTGATGAGTCCTGGGCGAATTCCCGCATGGCCTTCAACGGAGACTCCCATCTGTCCAACGATTGGGTTGGAATTTTGGCGACGCTGCACAAAACCCAGGCCTGTTATCATATCTCGGTATGGAGCATGCCATGTGTCTCCGAATCCAAGATGGGTCTGCCGCAACATGTGATTCCACCTCCCGCCTAAGAGCGAGTGGAACTCAAGTTGGATATCAAAATCAGCGTCAAATAAATCAAGAGCATGCTGAGCCGTTGTGTTGGCTGTGTTGCGTCTCTGAAGAGAATATAGCTTGTTGCGTGCTTGTGTCACGCGAAGCTCGATGAACACTTGTGTGGATTTGACAGGGTGGAGGATCAGTTGGTAACCTGCTGGCTTTTGCTCCTCTGAGAGACGTTTGTAGACGGACTCGGCCTTTTCTCTTAGCTGTGTCCATTGGTCAAGGATCTTCTCGGCTTCTTGGTAATGCAAAACGGAGAAGGTTTCTGGTTCAATCAGTTCGTGTTTGCGCATCGAAACCAGGCGATCGTATTGGTAGTAGACATCACCAATCTCATCTCTAAGTTCGGAACCAAAATCTCGCTCTGCAGTCGCACGGAGGAAGTCCCGGAGGGCAGTAGCGGTAATATTCTTGATATTCCATGCTAGACTCATAGCCCATGTAATTGGAGTCTCTAAAGGTTTGAGATCCCCGACATTGAAGAGCCAAATTTGACGAACATTTCGGGCGTACGCGTGCTGGAGCTGATGCCATGCTTTCCCCTAAAGTATATCTTAGTTGCCAATGCATGATAAAGGTTGGCGTCTGTAAGCGATGAAACATACTAGAGACACACTATTAGTCCACTTGTAGCTGCGTGGCCAACCGACGTATTCAAAATGGTAATAAAGCTACACGTCGTTAGCAGAGTAAGAACACGGGAGACTATTTCACATACACCAGATCCCCCCTTTCTCTGTGCCTCCTTCTTGTTGGGGAGTCGACGGATTGTGCCATGATTATCGTCCTGGAAAAGCAGTGTGACATCATCGGGAATCTCTATCCGGCCCGTATCGTAGATTTGCTCAACATCTCTATACAAAGCAAGAAGCTCTGGGGTTATGTCAATTCATGTTCACGGTGGTTCAAGAAGCCTGGTATTAACTTACGTAGGGCTTGATCCTCGCCCCCATAGACATCTCTAATCACCTTTCGTTGAGTTTTGATGACGTCGGAGATGATCAAAGCCGGATCAGAACCACCAATCGGTTTGTCGTACTCACCCCTCATGCCTATCGTGAAGTATGAGTCGTAATCTTTGGCTCTCTCTGCTCCCTCGCGGAAGAACGCGGTGATGTTTTCCTTATTCGTCTCCCAATTCCAGCTCCCATCCGGGTTATCTTGAAACCACTCATTTGACAGGCGCTGCATAGGTTCGTGATGAGATGTTGATATGACGATTCCATACTCATCAGCTATCCGCTGGTTGTCGGGGTCATCTACGAAGAAGTTGGCACCAGGGTTGGGATAGCCAGGCCACATTGCTGGCCACAGAAAGTTCGCCTGCACTCATCAGTACAAAATCATCCAATGGATGGCTCAAATTAACTCCCAGATGTACTCACCTTGAGGCGAAGCAAGAGCTCGAATACTTTCTTGTAAAATTCCGAGTTATACTTGCCAAACTTCTCTAGGACCCAACCCGTCAGGGCTGGGGCTTCATCGTTGAGAAAGATTCCTCGGTATTTCACGCTTGGTTCCCCATGTGTCGTAGATTTTGGGCTTGCGTAAATTGCAGAGGAGTTCTTTGCAGGCACATCGGCCCACCAGTACCACCTATAAAAGGGTCAGTCCATATCTTCTATGAACGGCGTTGATGGCTTACGGTGAGACCCCAATCTGCTCAGACAAGGTGTAGACCCCAAAGATTGCTCCCCTCTTGTCACTACCAGAAATGACGAGAGCATGATTTGACTCATCCCCAAAAGGACAGTTCACTATGCAAGTAGAGAATGATTCGTATTTACCACGAATCGATGCAAAGTCAACCTTGCCATCTCTCTCCAATCGTTGTAGTATAGGACTGGAATCAATACAGCCGACGACAATCGCCACCTTGAGGCTGGCCTCCTTGAGATTACTTGATACAAGGATAGGGCTATCGTCTCCTTTGGTCACGCGTGCAAAGTCTTGAGAAAGATTGTGCGCCGCGATCTTAACACCGGGATGGTCGTGCTCGTCAATCACAATGGTTGCGCCAACGAGGTTTAACGCCCGCTCATCGGAGGGGGTAAACTCGACAATCTTCTCCTCTAACATAGCTGCAATATGCAAAAAAGGACAGGGTAGAAAGTCAGATCAAGAATCCTTTGTGAATTGGTAGGGGTGGCATGTAGTGACTTTAATAGCCTCTACTACGCCTCGGTACAAAATACAGACTGTAGTTTAGGGAGACGCGAGAAATACAATTGGGAAACGCGTGGATATACTAGGCCCCGTTTGATATCCTTTTACGCATGAAAAAAGGCCCGTCATTGTTGACACCAGCGAGTGTCTCCGCATTCAACACAACTTGGAAGTAGGAATTGCGGGTCGGGGATGGTCTTGGTTTGGGTCTGTTCGACTCGTGCCATCGGAGGCGGGAGATTGAGCCATCCTACCTACTGCGATGGCCGATGCACCAATCAAATGATGTTTCCCATCTCCAGTTGAGCAGCTGGAGGTGGATATTCAGTGTTAGCGGCGGTTTCGGGAGAATGACGCGCTCAGATTGTCGCGATGGATTTTGTTACCCTAGAGGCCCACACAGTGAAAAGATGTCTAAATGGCACGTTTGGCCACGAGATGGATAGCGAGGCCAGTTGTTGGAGGGAAAATACTTTAACTGACACAGACTGAAACTGTGATCAGTTTTGAAGAATTTGAAGTGGAAACGAGAAGGCCAGATGCCTATGTGCGGAATCATGTCGTCAACTGGAAGTATTTTGACACAGCCTTGCCCTTTTCGTGTTCCGGTTAACATGAAGCTCACTGTGCGATTGAGGTTGACTAGTGTACTGTTAGACCATAGCGACTTCCCGGTAGCATGAGCACGAAATCTCTGAACCCAAGTCTTTCTCCAATTCTCTCCACCTCTTCTTCCCCGTGGGGGCTTGCTATTTCTCTCTGTGGTGTGAAGGCCTGGAACCCCTTATACCTCCATGATGCCAGCTCCGTTCATCATTATTTGGTTATAAAACGGCTCGTTGCCGTCTTCGACTCTCCCATTCAAACTTTCGACACTGAACTCTGATAGAGCCACAGTTTCAGCTCTCTATTCCCTCCTCAGCACATAGCCTTGAAACACTCAATATGAAAGCGGACGGTGATCACAACTTGACGCATGTCGAGGATGGCGAAGTTGGTAAGAACCAAACCAACCTTGGCCTTGTCGACAACGAAGTTGCCCAGTATGTCGGTGAAAACAGAGTTCATATCGACGATGCCGAGAACAAGCGACTCAAGAGGATGATTGACAAGCGGATCCTTGTGGTCATGATTGTTACGTACTTTACACAGTCACTCGACCGAGGAACCATGTCTTTTGCCTCCATCATGGGGATTATCGACGATGCAAAGCTTGGACACAATCAAGTTTGTTTCGCCGTTCCGCCGACCGAAATATTTACTAAGAGTTGTGTAGTATTCGTGGTTCACAACCATCATGTATCTGGTTGTTTTGGTTGCAGAATATCCAGTAAGTTTGTCTTCTGCATCTTTACCAATATGCAAAATGCGTTACAACTTTTGAGATCTAACCTTCTTGCTCTTCTAGGAGAACTGGATTCTTCAGCGAGTCCCAATCGCAAAGTGGCTTTCGATTAATATCATTCTTTGGGGAGCCGTCCTCGCTTTGCACGCGGTCGGATCTAACTTCGGTGGTCTTCTTGCCCTTCGTGGCCTGTTGGGGCTGTTCGAGACAGTGTGTCAACCAGCCTTCGTTCTTCTATCGTCAACTTGGTAAGCCCTACTCCAAACAACGTGGTCGAAAACGTTTACTGACATCGAAATACCTAACAGGTACAAAAAGGAAGAACAAGCGAGCACGATTATATACTGGTACATGATGAACGGCTTGCAGCAGATTTTGGGTGGTTTGGCCGCATTCGCCTTCTCCTTCGTTCGTCACGACTCCCCAATCAAGTCTTGGCAAGCTTTATTCATGACATACGGAATTGCGACGGTTTTCTGGGGCTTCTTTGTCCTTTTCTGGATGCCAGATTCCCCGATGAAGGCCAAGTGCTGGTCTGAAGAAGATAAGAAACTAATGATCGAGCGAGTCCGTGAAAACCGTACTGGTGTACAGAACCGTGTTTTCCGCAAGGAGCAAATATACCATGCTATCGCTGACCCTCAAGGTAATTGGTGCTCCTTTGAATATTTGTCAGAAAGGGAGGGAATTTACTGACTATGCCAGTTTATGCCTTTGCTTTAATTCAAGTTTGTACAACACTACCTTCGGGTGGAATTGGTGCATATGCCAATATTCTGGTCAAGTCATTCGGGTTCTCAACCTGGGAGACACAGCTTCTCCAGATGCCAATCGGGATTGTCATGTTGACCGTGATGTTAACATCCGCCTGGGCTGAGCGAAAGTTTAAGCAAACGATTCTCGTCATGATGCTTGGTCTGCTGCCGACAATTGCCGGTGTTGTGGTTCTCATCTCCGTACCATTTCACATCGACAAGCGGGTCGGGCTGCTAATCGCCTACTACATCATCTACTCCTTCTGGACATGCTCTGGCCTGGCGCTCTCCCTCGTCTCCAGAAACGTGGCTGGCCAGACGAAGAAGTCCGCGGTCATTGCCAGTAATTTCGTCTTCTGGGCGGTGGGCAACGCCATTGGCCCCCAATGCTTCCGGGACAAGGATGCTCCTCGATATTTTCTGGCACTTGCCATCATCTTGGGCTGCTTCGTCTTTCTGGAGATTGTCCTCTTTGCGCTGCGAACCTATTATATCTGGATCAATAAGCAGCGAGACGCAAAGGTTGCCAGCGGAGAAGTCGTTGATGACGTTAATTTCGCCCACGCTTTTGAGGATATCGCTGATAATGTAAAACCTATACATCTCGCACCAAACGGCTAAAAGCTAACTAGGCCAGAAAAACCCCCACTTCAGGTACACTTTCTAGTCCTGCATCCCGGACTTTGCTAGAGAATATTGGACAAGTTTGGCGAAAATGATTGTCGTTACATTCGACTGCCCTCAAGCGGACGAAGTGTTTGCCAGCATTGCAGGGAATATTCATAACTCTCTATGCCTTAAAGCTTGATCATCATGTGGTACTTCAATTTAAAAAGTTCCATATATACTACATTGCCTTTTAATGTAAGGCTGTGGCGTAGGTTCATACACAAAAGCTCCTTATGTTAATCCGCGAAGTTTCATAGAATGAATTTGTTGGATTTGCTTCTCTATACTTCCACGTACGTAGACTGTATAGTAAAAATACGAAAACTCAAAGCTAGAATTGAAACATATTAAAAGACTTCCATAACTTTGAAGCTTTACTTTTCAACCGAAAGCATAAAGAATCCCATCTCTTGTGACATCCTATACTTGAAACTACTATGTTTTCTTTTCTAAGCGAAATCTCCTACTTTTACTTCAAAATATACCTCAGTATCAAGAGCTAAGATCGATCTCCAAATCAATTCCTGGGTGCAAAGTATATCAAGACTTTTAGAACGGTCACTCAAAGGCCTGCAACTTTGCAAACCTTTGTTGTTTACACGCTATTTCTGAAGTTCGTGTTGACCGATTTGGAGCTGTTCTAATGAGGATGGCCATGATCATGGTCATGCTCGCCATCATCATCATCTCCTGGCCATTCAGGAAATCCATCCTCGAAAGCGTTTCCCAGAGCCTCATACTTAGATTCGTCATCTTTTGCAGTGTCTCTCATGATTTCTTGCCAAGTGTCGTATTCTTCATCGGTGGGCAAACAATCATCGAGTAGTCCTCTGAGCCCTTTGTGGTTGATGTTCTCGCCTATGAAAACCAACTCCTGACGGCGGTCTCCCCACTCCCCGCCCTTCTTGATATCGTGCTGCACGAGCCTATCCACGCTTTTGTCGCCAGTGGTGTATTCCTCAGGTGTAAGCGTACAGAACCAAGGGCGGCCGCTAGTGAGAGGAGTATCGATCCCGCCTGAAACCATTCGCCAGCCCTATGCGGGCGTGTGGCGAGAAAGAACTCACCTTTGGATCTGAAGAGCGGAGAGAGAATAGGGTGATTGCGCTTATTGACCATGATGGTTTCATTTGAGGGGATCGGGAACTTGGTGTGAAGGGCATCTACCATCTCGCTGTCCTCCTAAGGTAGGCTGTCCGTGTCTTCGTCCATTTTCTCGTCATCACTCTCTTCATCACTAGGATGCTCCAACTGTAAGATGAGCTTGTCATAAACCAAAGCATAAAGTCGCTTGGGATGGAACGGCCGGTACTGAGAGTAGATAAAACTTTGAACGGTGTAATCCCGCGATTTTGGTTTGAGCGACACTGCGTTCCCACCATTTATCTGAATATCATCAACCAAGGCCCGAATATGGATTTAAAACACAGAATAATAACATACCTCTTGGACAGTCATCGCGTGCAAATCCTGGAGCCACCCGTATCCTGTCTGGCCCACCTCCAGATTAAACAATCCCGTGTTCAAAATCTGCTTCGGGTCGATTTTGCTATACCGTGTTTCCAATACTCTTGCTCGGTGATTTAATTGTTTCAACAATGACAAAATATGACCCTTCGTATGGTCATCTACCTAGGTTCGACGGGTTAGTTGTGGAGGTAACCTAGACAGTATGGAAGGCAGAACCTGAACCCTAGACCTACCATGTCAGTCTTATTCAGCAAATCACATCGGCAAACTCGATCTGGTCGGCCATGAGATCAGAGATAGTCCACTGGTCTTTCTTCTCGACATGCTGCCGATCTGAAACCAGCTCATCTGTTTGAAACTCTCCGAGCACACTGAAAGCATCCACGACGGTGACAGTAGTATCAATTCGGGCAATCTGTTCCAGACCCCCAAGTTCTTTGCTAATCCACCGTCTCATCTCAGCGCCATGACGTTGTAAACCATGCCGTGGGCACAAAACTTACATCTCTTTTAGAGTTTCCAGAGGTATTTGATCTATACCCTCACTGGTATCTTCCAGATACTCGGTAAGGCGAGCATCAAATGTCTCAGCAACTTGCTCTTGTTCTGTGATACCGCTACACTCATTTAGAACGTAGTCAAACTGATGTAGCTTCCATAGGTCTAGAAGCTCTTCTAATAGATCACCACGGAGATTGCAGCATATGCATCCATTCTGAAGCGCAACGACCTTCTCATTTGACTTTCTCAGTCGATGAGTTTGCCTGATGAGCGAAGCATCGATGTTAATGCTTGATACGATTTTCTGATTAGTCATTTATACAATAAGCATAGAAGACTAAAATATAGGAGGGCCTCTTACCCTGCCATGTCATTGACAATGACAGCAATACGAAGGCCATGGTCACTCTTGAGGATGTGCTGTAAAAGGGTAGTCTTCCCTGCTCCCTGTGAGCGAGGGTTAGGAAACCTATTTCTAAACTTGGACACACAGGGAAACGTATTACTAAAAATCCAGACTGCAAGGTGATTGCGAGAGCTGTACTCGGTGCTTTAAGTCCAGCCGTCTCCGGATGAGGACTCTCAGCTTGCTGGTCACTTGTTGTTGCCATATTCGAACGCGTTTGTCAGAAATTAGATGGCCAGGAGGTGCGCACAAGTAAATTTCTCTTGCGTGAATTTTTTCCCAGCTCTAAAACCATGAGTGCCCGTGTAATCTGCTTAGGGCTACTACACACATGTGCCCATCAAGGTTCACAGTCTGTTAGCATTCTCAATGACCACTGAGTTATCAGATTCATATAGGCGTTGACCGTCAAGGTACTTGAGTTAAGCCAAGCGTCATCTACTATATCCATAACTTTCGGATATCTTGCCGTGCGGCAATTAATCCTTCTTGGGGAGAGTAAACTTCTCTACCTACTTTTTTCTCGATCCTAAACCATTGCCGCCTGTATTAGCAAAATCAAGTCACTCCATGGCCCATAACTCACAATGGAAGTCCAGCTGGCCATCCGGGTGTCTTTAATTGGATTTTTGAGGCACGTCTATCATGGATATGGATAGCTATGGTATTAAAGTCGTGCTCAGCACATGTAGTATCATTCCCAAGATAACAATACTAAATCAATCAAGTTCTCGCCACTTTTGTAACAATAACTCTTCTCACGACGTTTAAATCAACTATTTCTATTCCAAAGCTGCTGCTATGGATCCTGCAAGCAGCCTCCGGGAACGTAAACTACTCGTCTTGCCCGAGATCTGCGAAGAAGCAAGTGATGATGCACCAGAATACAACCTCGGCCTCCATGTCGCAGCTCTTTTTGTTCTCCTGGCAATCCCCTCCGTGGCAGCCGCATTCCCGATTTTTGCAACTAGATTCTCATTTCTACGAATACCACCCGTGTTTTTCTTCATCGTTCGTCACATTGGAACAGGGGTGCTGATAGCAACTGCTTTCTGCCACCTGCTGCCAACTGCATTCAGCAACCTACATGACCCTTGCATGAACGAGTTCTGGACGGACACATACGAAGCTATGCCTGGCGCGATCGCTCTTGCGTCTGTCTTTGTTGTTATGTCGATTGAAATGCTCGTCAGCCCTTTCCGTCGAGGTTCCACGCTGGAGTTTATGGAGAGTTCAGATCCAAGGGTAGCTGAGTGCTGCGAGCCATCTCAAAGAACTGTGGATCAGAGTAAAATTCCAGAAACCCATTGTGTTCCGATGGAGAAGGCAGACTTGCCGAAGCGTGTGCAAGTGGTACTCTTAGAAGCGGGTATCATATTTCACAGCATCTTTGTAGGCCTAACATTGAGTGTAACGACGGGAAGCGGTTTCATATCCCTCTTTGTTGCCATTATCTTTCATCGTAAGTCACACATCCCTCTATATACTTGATTAGAATTCTGATCATTCGAGACCGCCGTAGGAAAATTTGAAGGACTGGCTCTTGGGTCACGGATCTCTGATGCTGGCTGGAGCAGCAGCTCATGGCGTCCATGGGCCATGGCTGTAGCCTACGGCTGCACGTAGGTGTTCCCCGAATTCTTTCCTCCCAGCATAAAGTATGAGCAGAGTAGTTATACCAGTGAACAGAACCCCCGCCGGCCAGGCAATCGGCATCGGCACGCATACACTATACAGCCCTGACTCCGAGATTGGCCACACGATTGTCGGCTTTTTCAATGCTGTGTCATCGGGGTTCCTGCTTTATGCCGCACTGGTTGAGCTCCTTTCCGAGGATTTTTTGAGCCGGAAAAGCTGGTATGAGATGCGTGGTGGGAAGCGTGTGGTGGCCTGTGTGCTTGTCTTTGTCGGTGCCTTTCTCATGGCTCTCATCGCCTACTGGGCGTAAGGAGTCTTGTAGAAAGGCGATTTTTGAGGGCCTGAACCACTGGTAGGCATCTGGCTTCCTGGTTAAAGTGAGTTTAGGGTTAGGTATTAGCCAACTTGATTTCGGCTTCATTGTAACTAAGTGTAAGCAAATGAATACTCTTACAATTTAACCTAAATTTGATGATGAGTCACTGGATATTTAAAGAACAAAGTTGAAGTTTGAGAATCAACTATCCATCTTTCTATATGTCTATTTAACATTTATGTTTTTCAATAAAGCGGCCTTCTTTCTTTGTTTCTGTCTTGTTTTCTTTCTTACCTTGTGTAATGACTGAGGTCTAGGGTGGCTTACCAATTTTGCTATACGACATCAACAGATTTGCACGATTCATTTGTTATAGCTATTAAAACTCAGTGTAACGCACATCAGCTAGGACTAGAGGTCTGATCCTTGATACCTTATGTATATACATATATTTAGTGCTACTATCAAAGTTCGGGCTTTCATTCCGTTTTGCTAGTGGCAGAGAAGAAGGCCACCTCTCATGAAAGGCTTTCAAATGATAACAGTTGGTCTTTCCATACAAGGCTAGGGGCTGCTGCAAAGGCTAGGCTGGTCCAGTTAGCATGACGCAACCAGACTTCCCCGGACAGAGGAACTGGCGTCGTAGCAAGGCCAATCATGTGGCTGGCAAGCACTCCGAGACTTCCCTGTCTCTTTGTCTAGTTTCAGGCACTAACGTATGTCAGCTCATGGTTATGGCCCACAGTGGGCTGTGCCACCTTGCTTGGATGTGACTGCGGTAATATATGTATCATGTGTAATAAGACAGGGTGTGCTTAACTCCTACCAGGATCACGGCTCTTGGTACCCCACCCGAACCCATATCACGAGAATTGGCACATTGGCATGATTAGCTACTGAGCTTTGACAACCCACTTCGATTGTTCTAGGAAACCTGAACGAGGCAAAAAATGATTATCACTTCTGATCCTTGCCACGGGTTGCCTCCAGCTAAGCACAATCTTATGACCATCTAATAGTCATTAAATAGTATCTGCAAAAGAACAGGCATGCTATGCAGGATAAATTACGTACTAATACATAGTGAGGAGGTGTCTAGTTTGTGGATTGAGCTTTATAAAACAGACGCTCCTAGGTGAAACAGTCTCTCGTCCAGCTGCATTGCCCTGCAAACCTTGGCCAAAAGGTCACATTCATTCCTTACCTGCAGGTTTTCGCTCGTTATAAAACGCATGAAGTCACTCATTTAGTCTTTTGACTCTTTTTCATCATGTTGCCATCACTCAGAACACTATTTTCACCAATTTTCTTTTCACTGTTGGTTTCTAGTACACCCATTAAAATGGCTACTCGCGCGGAATCCGCACCAGGGGTTGATCCTGAGCTCGCCCTGATCTATGGTGCATATCCTGTGCCTGCCGTGTTGACGCCTGAGATGATTCCTATGCTCAGGACGGCACAGGCTGCGCTGTATAACGAGGTCACTATGACCGCTACGCATCCAGTCTCGCACAAGGAGTACAGTTTCAAGAGCTACGACGACTACGAGGTTACTGCTTCCGTTTTCACGCCTACCGGCGCGACACACTCTAATTCTTCCCGTCCTTGTATCTACTATATTCATGGGGGCGGCCTGATTATAGGAAATCGCTTCCTGGGCATCGACATCACCTATCCTCTCGCGCAGGAGTTGGGTGCTGTTGTCATTTCGATCGAATACCGACTCGCACCCGAGCACAAGGCTCCGTCAGCATCTGAAGACGCCTATGCTGGCCTGCTGTGGGCTACAAAGAATTATGCTACTTTGGGCATCGATCCGAAAAGAATACTTGTTTGGGGATCAAGTTCCGGAGGAGGTTTAGCTGCTGCCCTTGGATTAATGGTTCGTGACCGGAAGCCTTCATGCGGACTGCATCTCAAGGGCCTACTCTTGCACTACCCGATGCTGGACAACCTTATCAATGAGGATGACAAAACGACTTTCAGCGGCAGGGCAGCACCTGCATGGAGCTCCGAGACACACAAAATGGCTTGGGAACAGTACTTGGGCAGCAACTCCAAGCTTGCCCAGGACTCCCATGTGGTACCGGCGAGAGCCAAGGACTTGAGCCGGCTGCCTCCAGTTCTGGTAGACGTGGGTAGTGCTGAACTGTTCCGTAGGGCAGCGGCGCAGTTCGCGCAGGGTATCTGGGAGGCAGGTGGTCTGGTTGAGGTGCATGTTGCTGGTGGTGCGTTCCATGGCTCGGATCTCGTAGCGACAGATGCCAGGGTCACGAAGAGAGCAATCCAGGCACGAACTTCCTGGGGTCGTGACATGCTCGAATCTTGAGGCAAGGGTTCTCTACATAATGGCTAATAAGATGGGCACCCTGAATAGAGGACACTTTGGCATTCTATTTGCTGATTTACGACTTCAACCTTGATGTGGAAGATAACCATGGCATTAGTCTTTAATTTTTAATAATTAATTGTAATTTGAAGTGATCAATGCACAAACTAGATTGAATGGCGTCACGATTGCATGTTTGGCATTGCTTCCAGGGCTGCACTGACCGCACATGCACGATCTCATCTGATCAGGATGAACAGCAGCAGGAACCAGCCTTGGATCAAAGTATATCGGTTAAACGAGCTGATTAACGAGATGTATCTATCTGTATCCATATAAGCGACTGAGATAAAACATGGCACACTGGAAGTATTTTCACCTGAGATCAAGGCCTCATTTTCTGATTAATAATACTACAGACGATAATGATAGAATACTGAGCTAATTTATAATGTTGTGCTTAATAAATGAATTAATGATTTTAATATGGTATCGAAATTTAACGCTACTATGCCCGCTTGTCACCCAGTTGCCATCCATGTCCTACAAATAGCGGAAGGGAGAATACGGTGGACTGGAAATGGAAATCGGAGCTGTAGCAGTAGCAGTGTAACCCGATCCTCCGGCACTAACATGTTACATCCCCTGAATGCCTGTGATATCCACCAAATCCTTTTGCCACGGTTTCAGGGGTAAGCCTGTCCGGATCAGATCCCCGTGCCACAGCAGTTAAGGAATCCCGCGTTGTTCGTAAGACTACCTGTAGTTTGGGACCAGCGCAAAGGTTTCTAGTTTAGGGGACCCCCTATCGAGCCATATCACCCCCAGTCCGGAACCGAAACTGTCCTCGCTTCCTGTTCCGTTACTCCAGAGTGATGATATGCATCCACATTCAAATTCTTCCCACATCCAGTGTAGAGATGATATATGTTTGACTGAGGTTCTCCCAAGAGTAAACAGGTTCCGAAATCGCATGCTTCGAACGACGAACACCTCTACAACTCAATGGCAACGTTAGACTTGAACTTGCCGGCCGGGCTGCCTCCCGATGGTGTCACACCGAATTTCGAAAATCCTCCCAACAACAATGCACTGGCTTGGGGCGTTCTACTCCTCTGCCAGGTGATATCTACCATTTGCCTGGTGCTTCGCGGTTATGCGCGAGTGTTCCTATTGAGAAAGTTCAATGCCGAAGAAGGTATGAAGAAAAATCCACTATAAGTGGCAAGCTCGGGCGTTGTTTTTACATGAGTACTGACACATATAGTTTTTATCTTACTCGCATTTGTTCGTCACCGCTCCGCTCTACAAGCCTTCCGACTAGAGAATATGAAAATTAACAGCAAAATTAGGGAGCATTCTGGGGATGTAGTTATGCTATGTTCAAGATTATCGAAGTTCCCGGCTTTTTCGTTCACCAATGGGATGTGCTTTTACGTGATGTCATTCCAATGAACTACGTGAGTTCAACCTCAATTCTCCAAGTTTCAGCATTCTTATTCTTTCCCATCTCGCTTCTATGATTTATATTCGAGTTTCGACGAAGAAAACCACTAATGGTCAAATAAACAGAATGTGTACATTTACGGCCAATGCTATTCCTTCGCGATGCCGTTTTTGAAGATAGCAATTCTCATCGAGTGGATAAATATCTTCGTGCCGGGAGGGTTTGACCGAAGAAGCATCTTCTTCTGGGGTTGTAGCTTCATGATATTTATCCAAGCTGCTGCACTCGTCGGAATTGTACTGGCTTTGAATCTTCAGTGTAGACCTCACAGGGCCATCTGGGATATTCGAGTTCAAGGAGACTGTTTTGCAATTAGCAAGATACAAATCAGTTCTGGGATCATCTTCTTGATCTCTGATATTGTTATCTTGCTACTGCCACAGCATATTATATGGAAACTCAAGTTGAAGACGTCCAAGAAAATTGGTGTGTCGATTGTTTTCGGCCTTGGTCTACTGTGAGTGATAATTCCGCCGTGCCCCTTTAGGCAACCCTTTCCCTCTTTTCTTTTTCGCTTTACTGACACAACTTCCAGTGCGTGCGTATGTGCCGCGGTCAGATTAAGCGATACGATGAAACTTGTCCACAATACCAACGACGCGGTCTATTTTATCGGTGTTGTGGGCTTCTGGGCGTTTGCCGAGATGACTTGCGGGTTCTTCATTTGTTGTCTTCCTTGTATACCCAAAATCCTTCATGACACCGGCGTCCTGCGTTCTATAAAGCGGAAACTGGGTATGAACACGGGTACCACCGCCCCCAGCTCTGCGAATAGGTATGGCACCAATGGTTCATCCAGCCGAAGGAATTACGAGGCCAACCATTCAACGTCGTACTACAAGTTGGATGAAGATGGTGTGCCTATGACAACCATTGGGGGTACGCAATCGACAGAATATTTACACGGGGGCCAAAACGGGAGCGACATTAACCAACCGACACTCCCCTCCAACACACGAGGTGCTCACTCTACGGTGGATAAAGCCTCTTCCTCCAAGGCATGGCGACCATGAGGTGCGGTGATATAGTAGGGGGACTGGTGTGTAACAGATTTGTCATTATCTAATATCTTGAGAGAATGCATTAGGTGTTCCCATAATAATTCTACTTCCTTCACCCCTATTGAATAAGGAGCGACGCCCATGACGTTTAAAAAAACATTTCCGCTAAGACATGACCGGACATGATCCACTTGTTCGGGGGCTCCTTTCCGGCAATAGTGCACCAGAATGGCACTTGGCAAAACATCAACAATCTGGCCCCTGTTCTGCTTCCCCATGCGTCCGAAGGATGCGCTACATATGACCTGATTGGGTAAAATCCGAAAACTTACCCCGTAATTATTCAAGAGTCTCTTTTCTCTCATTACCCTTGCCATGTCTCCGGAGCTAGAGATCCAGATGGTGGGTTGGAAACAAAATTTCCCTTTCCAGAATTTGCCCCTGACGGTAAACCCCTGACGCGGGATTGTGAAGGTTCTGTTTTGGTACCTCGTCTATCCACTTCAAGATGGATCATGCAGTCGGATGATCAGTTCAGACAGAGTAACGTGTGGGCCAAGGTCAGGCAAAGAGCCACCTGAATTACACTACTGCCGGCTCCGCAGGGAATACATATTGAGCCAGATCAATTTCAGCTGAAGGAGGAAAACAGCCAGCAAACAACTACCGTAACTTCTAAACCCGGAATATGAGGTTTTTGTGCTTGCATGGTCGGGGGACCTGTGCCCAGGTGAGTACCACAAGGATGAGAATAATACAAGCATATCAGCTGACAGCATTGCCACCCAGGCCCTAGAGATGCAAAGTAGTACGTGTACAAACAAGCCTTCCCCATTCTGTCTCAAGTCTCTAGCTGATCTCAATACAAAGGCAGTCTTCGGAATCATCTCGAAGATCATGAATTTGTTTTCGTCAATGGCACTGTGCCAACGAAGCCAGTTGACGGTTCGTCCCAAAGACACGGATCACCCGGAAAATTTTCTTTTCAGCTCTTGGGGATACCCCAGAAGGCTTACCAGCATGTGACAAGCAGACCACGCTTCCAGGATCATGGACGAGCACTACGGTTACATTATGGATGGGCCAGACGCTGATCAATGCCGAGAGCTCCTGTCAACCATGATCGAGTTCGTTCATGACAACGGCCCCTTTGACGGAGTTTTTGGGTTTTCGGAAGGTGGTATGATTGCAGCTCTGCTCCTTGTCGAGGACGCCCGCAGGCCATTCGCAGGCTTCCGGTGCGGGATTCTGTTTAGTGCCGCTCCACCCTTTGACCCTGACATTTCTCAGACTACCGATGATAACGTCCGGGCACTTGGGATGAACGCTACCGAAGATGGTGTCATTATCAAGGTGCCCACAGCGCATATCCGCGAATCTAGCCCACCGCCGTGGCTCTGGCGCTTCTCCCCACTCGCTCCTCTGTGGGCGAAACACGATATGGGCAACCCAACCCACCTCAACGAGGCAATGATTGGGCTGTGTGATGGCGGTGTACGCGAAGTGTTTACCCATCATGATGTAGGCCATGATATCCCTGGTACCAAGTCCAAAATGGAGCTAGCCGGAGCATTAAGAGCTATCGAGAGGACAATCGAGCGATGCCAAGATCCGTAAACCCGCAACGAAACAGCGGTGTTTTTGTACTTAGGGATGGCAGGATTTGGGTTGATCCTATTTTTTTTACATCAAGTATTCTTGAGTATCGGTATTCGTTCCTATTGGCAGTTTCTATGTAACCGACATCGTCGTGGGTATTTATGTCAGGCCCGGAACCACTGAAGCCTGAAGCCGCGTCCGGAACCTGTCACCGAAGAAACACCATTTGCTGAAATGTGTCCTTGAGAACCTTAAGAGAACTTACGCTATAGAGTGGAGAGGTTAGAAGTTTAGTAACTAGTTACTGCAGCTGTTGTAGGGGCCCCTGACTCGAGTGCCCTTCTGTGTAGGTCAAGTACGCGGATGCCTTGAAACGCATGTACGCGAGCGTAGGGAATGCGGTAAACATGGGAAGTATATACAGTGCTCTATACACGCTTGAGTGGAGAGGTTTTGCTGGTTCCCAAGTTTATCATATATTCACAGAGAAAACATGGCCGAGTTTTCAACTAGCATACAGCCGACTGAGCTGACAACTCCACAATCGACGGAAGACATAGTCATTGTGGGATACTCGTTTAGGTTACCTCAAGATGTCAACGATGATAAGGCGTTCTGGGAGGTTCTTCAGAATAGAAAGAATCTCATGACAGAGTGGCCTGCGTCCCGAGTCAATGCTGACTCCTTTAGACACAATCCACAGCACAAGGTAGGGCAACTACCTCTGTCATATATAATAGAATAACTTCGATAATGTTACTCACTAAGTGCTGCCATAGTTCACCGGAAAGGGAGGGCACTTCTTGAACGATGATGTGCAAACATTCGATGCCCCCTTTTTCTCCGTTACGGTTAAAGAGGCAGCTTCCATGGATCCAATGCAGCGATGGACCTTGGAGGCTTCCTATCGTGCGTTGGAAAATGGTGAGAATATAGTCTTCCCCAAAGAAATACGCATTACTTTCCACCAAAATAGTACTGATTGTGAATTGTTACAGCTGGGATTCCCGTTGAACAACTCCGAGGATCTCGGACTGCCGTCTTCTCCGCGTCTATGATCGAGGACTACTCTAGGATGACGGCAAGAGACCCAGACAACATTGAGAGAATGGCAGCAACAGGTGGTACTGTCGCTTGCATCATTCCAAACAGAGTCAGCTGGTATTTCGATCTCCGGGGACCTAGCATTCACGTGAACACAGCTTGCTCGAGTAGTATGTCTGCTCTGGACATGGCTTGCAAATCTATTCGTAGCGGAGATGCTTCATGTGTAAGAATACTATTACCAAAGATCTATATTTTGTGGAGAGAACTGACCTTCTATCACTATTAGGCACTGGTTACAGGTTGCAATGTTATCATGGACCCTGGCATCATTCAATCGTTATCAGATCAGAACTTCCTGTCCCCCGATGGCCTGTGCTATAGTTTCGACCATCGTGCTAACGGTTACGCAAGAGGAGAGGGCGTTGTTGTTCTTGTTCTCAAGCCTGTTGCTGAGGCAGTTCGCAATGGTGATACGATTCGAGCGGTTATCCGATCAATTGGGTCAAACCAAGACGGCCACACTCCAGTTCTTACACAACCCAGTGCCAAGTCCCAAGAGGACCTCATTCGTCACGTATATGCTCAGGCGAATCTGCCACTTTGTGACACCCGTTATGTTGAGGCTCATGGTAAGCGTCTTCAAGTTTGATCACACATTCAAGGTCATCAAAATTAGCTTCTGATACTCAAAATACCTATAGGCACGGGAACTAAAGTCGGCGATCCCATTGAAATGAAGGCCATTGGGCGCGTATTTCGCAAATATCGCTCCGCTGAAGAGCCTCTCTATGTGTAGGCATCAGACATCGGAGACAGATGGCGACTTGATACTGAACTTTTACCAGAGGCTCTGTTAAAGCAAATTTCGGCCACCTTGAAGGAGCAAGTGCCTTGGTCAGCGTACTCAAGTCGATTTGTAAGTGCTGGCCACCTTGTTCCTTGTTTCGAGTAACACCCTCTGGGTACTATTCAAGTAAGCTAACCGCTGAATTCAGCCGTTCTTGAAAAAGGAGTCATTCCGCCCAATGCCCTCTTCGAGAAGATGAACCCTGATATTGATAACGCCTTTTACAACACAACTGTAGGTCGATGCATGGACCGATTCCGAACATTTAATCTAATTATTTACTTATTCTTAGGTTCCTACGACAAGTGTTGCATGGCCCAACTCCGGCCTGCGAAGGGTGTCTGTGAATTCTTTCGGGTTCGGTGGCTCCAATACTCACGTGGTGATCGACGATGCCTATAGCTACCTCAACGATCGAGGAATGGTTGGAAACCATTGCACCGCGTCTAAGCCTCATATCAACGGCATAAATGGTAGCAAAGCCCAAACCAACGGGCATCACCAGAATGGAGATAATTTGCTTACCAACGGGAATGACAATGGCCCCCTCAATGGCCACCATCGAAGCAATGGAACTAACCACGAGACCAAGAATGGCTCTGCCGGCCTCGATCTGCCCAAACTCCTCGTATTCAGTGCTGCTGACGAGAAAGCGATGAAACGTGTGATGACAGCATATGAAGAATATTTCATCAGCAACACCTCCAAAGACCGTTCTAAATTGGCCAAACTGGCTTACACCTTATCGGACCATCGCAGCCGCATGCTATGGAGATCATACGCACTTGCCAGTCCTGGTTCAGAGACAGCTGAACCTTCATTCTCACCAGCAAAAGCAATACGCAGCTCGGCAGATGCGAACCTAGCCTTTGTTTTCACGGGTCAAGGAGCACAGTATGCTGGAATGGGTCACGATTTGTTGCAGTTTCCAGTATATAAAGAGACTCTCCGTAAGATCGATAGCATCTACAGGGGATTAGGTTGCGATTGGTCCATCCTCGGTATGTAAAACTGGATAAATCATGACAGGGTCAAAGCTAATAGACGCTCAGCCATCGAAGATTATCAAGACCAGATTGATAGTCCAAATTACAGCCAGCCTTTGTCTACAGCTGTCCAGCTGGGTTTGGTGGATTTGCTTAAAAGCTTCGGGCTCGCCCCCAAAGGAGTGGTTGGACACTCGTCTGGAGAAATAGCTGCTGCGTAGGTCAACCCCTCTCTAGTATCCTGATCTGCCGCTGTTAACATCTCGTTATAGCTATTCAATCGGAGCATTGTCTCTCGAGTCTGCCTGCAAAGTTGCATATTTTCGGGGACAACTAGCCGGAAAGCTCAAGAGTGCTCACCAGTCTTCACCCGGTGCAATGATATCCATCAACCTATCGGAAAACGAAGTTTCGAACTACCTCCAGTCAGTAGAAGGAAAGGACATCAGTGCCTCTGTTTGCACCGCTTGCATCAACAGTCCTTTAAACTGTACTCTTTCCGGTCCAGAGGACGCTGTTGACTTGATTAAAATCAAGGCAGACAAAGACGGCATCTTTGCGCAAAAGCTCAAGACGGGAGTAGCCTACCATTCTCCATTTGTAAAGGCAATTGCAGACGAGTATTGTGCTCTTATGGGCACTCTTGAGAGTGGCGAGATGGAACAGATCCCCATGGTATCCTCAGTCTCTGGAAAACGTGTCCTCCCCGCCGAGTTGACCAATGCCCAGTATTGGGTTAACAACATGGTTTCGCCCGTTCGATTCACGGATGCCCTTCAAACGCTAACCCAGAAATCCTCGACATTGAAAGTTGGACTCAGCGGCTTTAGCGACATTATCGAAGTTGGTCCTCACCCTGCGCTCCGCCGGTCAGTATTGGATACAATTGGACAGGAAGGAAACCGCAAGAAGCAAATACGTTACACGGGGGTCTTGCATAGATCACGCCCGGCAGTGGAAACAACTCTGGAGGCTGTAGGGCAGCTCTTTTGTCTGGGCCACCAAGTTTCTATCTCATCTGTCAATCAGAGAACGCCCTCAGAGTCTTCTGAGTTTCTTCTCGATTTGCCCGAATATCCTTTCGATAGAACTCATCGCTATTGGGCCGAGTCACGAATCAGCCGTGATTACCGGCTGCGAGGAAAAGTCCATGGCGAAACCCTCGGCGTTCGAGCATCGGACTGGAATCCTTTGGAGCCTTCTTGGAGGAACTTCCTCACAGTAGAAGCAACTCCTTGGTTCAAAGACCACGTGGTAAGTGAAGGAATTGAAGACTGAAACCCGCGTTTAGTGATTGATTCATTATACTGACTATGGAACGCATTAGGTTGATGAGACAGTTCTTTTCCCCGCTATGGGAATGCTTGTCATGGCAATGGAGGCAGTGTATCAGGCTGTGCCGGAAGATCAAGCTGTGGCAGGCTATTACTTCCAAACGGCGGAGTTCAAGAATCCGGTTATTATTCAGGAGACCTGGGAAGATCGTATCGAAACCCAAATGCGCCTTCGAACAGTCAACTCGCCAAAAGTTGCTGGAGAATCTCAGTGGTTCGAGACAACTCTTTATTCGTATTCCCGAGACAAGTGGACAGAATGTTTCCGGGCCACTCTCAAGGTGGAATATAAAGCAGCGACAGCTTCCGAGGCTAGCAAGCAAAGACTCGAAGCTCATGGGGAAATTCGACACTACTATGACAAGGTCAAGTCATCTTGCAACAATTTCATCTCCCCAGATGCATTTTATCGGGATGCAGCTAAGAATGGTATCCAGTGGGGGCCGACCTTCCAACTCATTCAAGATGCTTTCTACGATGAGAAGAGAAATATTGCCATTGGCAAAGTAGACATATCAAAGGGGAGACATGCCACTAGCAGCCTTGTCCACCCTGCTGTGCTTGACCAAGCGTTCCACATGCTCCGACTGAGCGGAGGGCAACAGCCTTCAGGAAATATTCCCATTCGGATCCAAGGGGCATGGTTCGCTGCTTCCGGATGGCAGTTGCCGCATACCAACTCTATTAGACTGGTTGCAAACTCCAAAGTCAGATCAGCTGTCCATGGACAAAGCACTGGAGAGGATGGAAGTATTCATGCTCTAGCTGATGATGGGACAGTACTATGTTCCATCGAACGAGCAGTGACCTCCCCTGTTGCCAGGAACGAAGAAGACGAGGAAAGGAAGCTGCTGTACAAAATAGAGTGGAAACCCCAGCTTAGCCTCATGACGAATGAGCAGCTGGAAAGAGAGTGCCTGTCACAGGTCCCTGCTCGAGATGAAAGCCTTATCTTGAGCAACCATGTCAAGCTTGTAAATGTCTTAGGTCTCGTTGCGGGTCGTACACTAAAGACAGTAGATGCCTCCACAGTTCCCCAGAAGTTGTCGCGCCATTTCAAGTGGCTTGAGGATCAAGTCAAAAATCTCTCTCCAAACCAGAGAGAGGATGTTGACAATCTCAGCGATGAAGAAGTGGAAGCACGGCTTATCGAAGTTGAAGAAGCACTCCCAGCCTGGGGAGTTTATATCGCCTGCGCAAGGAAACTTGAAAGCATGCTGGCGGGCGAAGTTGACCCCCTTCAAATTGTGTTCGAGTCCGACCAGGCGAAGGTGTTCTACGAAAACCTATTTCTGAACCTCTGCTCTGACGGGCGGTTGTTCCCCGTTCTTGACCTGGCTTCTCACCAGAACCCGGCCCTTCGAGTTATTGAAGTTGGTGCTGGAACTGGAGGCGTGACGAGACATCTCTTCAAGGCCTGGGGTGAGCGCGAGAAGCGCACCGGAGCCCCCAGCTTTGCGCACTACACGTACACGGATATATCACCGATGTTTTTCGAAAAGGCCAGCAACTTGTGGTCTGACTTGGTGTCCCAAGATCGAATTTCGTTTAAGACATTTGATTTGGGAGTACCAATCCAGGATCAGGGTTTCGAAGCTGGAACATATGACCTATTGGTCGCTGGAAGTGTTATGCATGCCACGCCAGATCTGGAGTTTACAATCCGCAACGTGAGAAAGTTGCTGAAACCCGGAGGAAAGCTTCTTCTCCTTGAAACTATCAAACCAAGTGACATCGCTGTCAACTTCATGGCTGGTCTTGTTCCAGGCTGGTGGGTGGCAACAGAAGAGTGGCGAGCCAATTCCGCTGCTGTGGACGAGTCAGTTTGGGAAAGATGCCTACGGAACAACGGATTCTCAGGCAATGACCTTGTTATCCGTGATTACGAGACAGAACAGTGCCATATCATGAGCATAATTGTCACTACTGCCGTTGAGGAGCCGAAGCAGGATGTTCTGAAGGCTACCTCGAGAGTCGTTGTAGTCACCGATGCCACACCGTCCGGCCAGCAGAGCAACTTGGCCACGGCCGTGGTAAACAAATTTCAAGTAGATGGGGAGTCGAGTGTGTGCAGCTTTACCGCTGCTTCACTCCAAGAAGCGGTGAAGAATTGGAACGAAGATACTGTAGTTATCTTCGTCGGCGAAGTTAATAATAGGCCAGTGCTAGCCAACCTGAGCGAGGATGACTTCTCCGCTTTACAGATTTTGCTGAAGCATGCAAAGAATCTGATCTGGGTAACGGGGACACATTCCGATGATGAAAACTATCCAGATTACAGTCTCGTACCGGGATTTCTCCGCACAATTCGCGCTGAGCAGCCAGAGAATCATATCGTGAACGTTGCTATCGAGGATAGAACGAACGAAGAGGACTGTGCAACTATCATTTTGACTATCTTTGATGATGCATTTGGACAGTTACCAAGCAAGGAGTTAGAGTACAGTGTTCAGAATGGACAAATAACAATTGGCCGTGCAGTTGAAAATGTTCCAGCGAACGAGGCTCACCGGGCCCTCGTCTCCGCCCAGCAAAAGGATCTGAGATGGGGAGATGGGCCTGAGCTCCAACTCTCTGCCGGAACGCATGGAGACCTCACCTCGCTACGATTCGTCAGGGATGAGTTGGCAGACACGCCGCTCGGCCAGAATGAGATTGAGATCGAGGCTCATGCATGGGGCTTGGGAAGGCGAGAACTTGACTCAGCGCTTGGATTGATTGATGAGGATCAAGACATGATAGGTGGCGATTGTGCCGGTATCGTAACTCGGGTCGGCTCTGGGTGCGGAACCTCAATCAAGGAGGGAGACCGCGTATATATGACTACCAGAGGCAGCATTCGGAAGCATCCTCGTGCTTTGGAAACTTCCGTGATCCAGATCCCTGATAGTTTATCATTCGAGAAAGCAACGTCAGAAATTATGCCGAGCATGGTTGCCTACCGTGCACTAGTTGATATCTCCCAACTTGAGAAGCAAGAGCGGGTTCTGGTCAACGACGGTGCCGACAGTCTGGGGCAGTCAGCTATTCGGGTTGCTCAAAGACAAGGCGCAGAAATATTTGTTACAGTCACCTCCGAGGATCAAAGAAGATTCTTGGTAGACAATCTAAGCCTTCAGCAAGACCATGTATTCCTCTCTGAGGGTAGCTGTTTCGCCCAGCAGATATCTCGCGCCACAGGTGGCCAAGGTGTTGATGTCGTCTTCAACCTACTCCCCGGCCAGGACGTATTCCAAGCCTCGCTGGAATGCCTTGCGACAAACGGTCACTTTGTCACTGTAAAAGGCGTGGATACAGATGCAAACATCACTCTTACGTTAAACCAGATGAAAGCAAACGTGACTTTCGCAACAGTCGACGTGTTGAGGTTAACGCCTAGGAAAACTTCCAAGCTGCTTCAGAATACGGTAGATTTGATACAGGAGAGTTCTTATAGATTCAAGAAAGATCTTGAAGTTTTCGAGGTCTCTGAAATTGAAAAGGCTTTCCAGCAGCTGCAGAGTGGCGAGCTTACTGGCAGGGTGGTTGTGACACCCAAAGCGGATAGCCTAGTTCCGGTAAGAAGATTCCCTTTAAACTTGATTGAAATTCACGTAAGCTAACTATAAGATCTTTGAAGCAATTCTCCACCGACGAGAGATCGTGGAAGTTTCTTCCAAATGCATCATACCTCGTAGCAGGAGGCTCTGGAGGCCTTGGTAGAGACATTATCAAATGGATGGTACGGAGAGGCGCACGGCATCTTATTGTCCCATCGCGATCAGGCGCTACCTCAGAAGCCGCAAAGACATGGGTGTCTGACCTGAATGCAAGCGGCGTTAATATCGTCACCCCTCTGTGCGATGTAGCTTGTCATGACGACCTTTCTAAACTATTGGATGAAGTCTCAACTACGATGCCCCCCCTTAGGGGCTGCATCAACGCAGCAATGGCTCTCGAGGACGCCATATTCCAAGACAACATGAAGTTCTTACAATGGGATGCTACTGTCAGATCCAAGGTTCAAACCTCATGGACTCTCCATAAACTTCTGCCCAAAGATCTTGATTTCTTCATCATGTTCTCCTCGCTCGCTGGAGTGGTTGGTCAGATGGGCAGCGCGAACTACTCGGCTGGGTGCTCGTTCCAAGATGCAATTGTCCGCTACCGCCGCTCACAGGGACTCAGAGCGATCTCTATCGACATTGGCTGGATGGTCAATGTTGGCATCATTGCAGAGAAGTTCACCTTCCAGCGCCAACGTCAGATTGCCAACGACATGCAATTACTCACTGATATCGATCTTCTTGCCCTTTTGACTATGTGCTGTGATCCCGACATAGAATACCCGCAGTTAGAAGAGTGTAGGGGTCAGATACCTTTCGGACTGGATAACCCAAGGAGGCATCTTCTCTTGAACGAGCCGGTGCCTGCCATCTTGGATCGGCCTCTTCTATCAACTTTCTCATACGTTACTGGCAGTAACAAGACCGATAAAGGGGCCAAGGACGATGAGGTTGAGAAGGCAGTAGCCTTGTTCCGCCAATCGTCCGACTCAGCGGAGAGGGTCGCGCTTGTTTTCCAAGCCTTGGCTGCTAGGCTTGGCCGGGCCATGTCAATTCCAGCAAGTGACGTAGAGCCAAACAAGGCTCTATCAGCTTACGGTGTCGACTCTTTGATGGCAGTGGAGCTCAGGAACTGGATTGGAAGGGAGTTGGGTGCTACTGTGGCTGTATTCGACATTGTCGGTGCCATGCCCATCGCCAGCATTGCAGACCTCATTGCAGAAAGGAGCACCATTGGGAAAACTGCAAAATAAAGTCATCTCCAGTATGAAGTTGGCACAAGAGAATTCCTATTGAACATATACTTGAGGTCGTAGCTATATATCAAAGCGTGGTAGGTCTTTGGAGATTTGCTGGCCTTTGCCTGTTACTTGATTTCCTTTGGCAAAATCTTTTCCCAGCTCACGATAACTTCCGCAGTATCACCGTTCTGTTGATAGTATAGTTAGCCAAGAACTACAATGAACCAATGATTTTGGAAAGGCGGCAAACTCACTTCGAAGGTGAAAGTCTGAACTGGTCGAAGGATCAGCAACGGGCGGCCGTCTTGCTCTTCTATCGCCACTTTTCGCACCTGGTCTCCCCCAATCCAGTTTGGATCTAAGGAGACGTCGACTGCAGTGCTTATAAGGTACTCTCCCGCTTCCTCCGTCACCTTGAATGGGCCACAGTATGTCAACATAGCCCTTGCTGCTCGGACCACTTCCTCATCAGTTGCTTGATACCACATATCGGATTTATGCGGAACAATAGCCTCAGATGAAGTCATATGGACAGACATATAGCCATCTTGTGTAAATGTGACGTATCCGAGGGGGTTCTTCCCTGCAGGTTGAATCGTTGAAGTGCCTTTCTCGGAAGATATGGTCATATCATATGTTAAAACCTTCCATGTTCCAATCAAAGCTCTCTGTAGGTCAGCCATGTTAAGATCAGTGAGATAAGTTCCGATAAGGCACGCAAATAGGAAGATAAGAAGAAGAGTCTTGGAAAATCAGTATCTCTAAGCGGGAAATCGACTCTTATATAAACTCAAGGTGACGAGAGATGACTAAGTCGGTGGAGTATAACAGACCCCGAATCCCTCGTGTAGAGCAATCAATATTAGCGACAGGGATTGTCATAGTCCTCCTCCCTGGAATTTAACTTGATGGAGCAGGTAAAAAAAGGTTCAAATTGTCGCCACTCAACATACCCCAGCCTCCATCACCTACAAGACTAGCAGGGAGAAAAAAAAAAGAACTCCCATTCAGCATAAAGAACATCTAGTTTTCCTGCCTCTTTAGTCAAAAGTGCAGCAACATATGATGACAGCTCCTGTTTGAGAATAATGAGGTTGCTCCGTTTCTTGGCTGGGAAAGTCTTTCAATTACCTTTGAGTGTTTCCTCAGATAGTTTTTGAAACATAAGGTTGAATCAAAGGCTTTACGGTCCAGATCATTACTCCAGCTTGTTGACATAGATTATCTGGTTTCTTCACTCGCAGCTTATGACAGTCTTCAACATATGATTGATCAGAACAGTGGACAAAAGAATACTACGAGAAATGGCATCGGAGCTTTGAAGAGACACCTGAAAATTTATATCAATATACATGCTAATAAAATATTGCGATAAGAGCTACCAAGTTTTGGGTGACCTATTAAAATGGCTGCTTGGAGCCTTCCTCGCTATCAAGTGAGAACACTACGATGGCTTGATTGATTAAAAGGTTCCCAGATGGCCGTTAAAATTCATCTGCGTCAGACTCGCAGTCGTAGCCTTCATCGACATCCTCAGAGGTGTATCCGTCGCCCTCCGTACCACTGTCATAATTGCTCCGGCTGACCTTTCTCTTCTTATTACGATGTCCCCTCTCATTTCCATCCTTCGGGAGATTCTGTAACTCGGGCATGTCATAGACAGAGTCGGGGATTTCAACGTCTCTGGGTGCCGTGATAATGCCAAACTCGCTGCACAACCCATACTCACCACTACTTCCGTAAAAGCCAACAATTTTCTGACCATCATCTGGGACTTCAGATTGAAACACGTTAGACTAACCCAAATCAAAATATAAGCAAATTGGGGAAGACATACCCAACGGCGTAATAGTTGAACCGTTTTTGTTCAAGGCACCAATGGCCTTCCCATTAGAAAGCACCATACGCAGGCCAGATAGAGAACTCCCTCCGTGGTGTGCAACCAAGACCTTGGCCACCTCTACGTTCCTTGGGATTTTGATCTTCCGAGCCTGGTGCCCGCCCATGTCAGGATCCGCCCCATGTCTACCGCGGGGGCCGCACGGAATCTTGGTCCCATCTTCGAAATACACCTCAGCCCCGTCAAGCGCACAGCCGACCCTCACGTCGATCTTATAGGCCCTCGACATGGAGCCTTGCTGGTTCCTCTTCTTGAGCATGACTACCCATCGCCAGTCGGACCCGTCAGTCTCGGGTTGGCCGACGCCCTTCTTACGAAGTCTGATGCCAGACCCGGGGATAGGGATGTAAGTTCGGCTGGACAATAGCGACCACAAGGGAAAATTGGTGTGCTTTCCGTTCAAGCTCAAGATCCGAAGCTCTAATGGCTTTTTCTTGTCGAATCTCTGTTCCAGCTCATTCACATTGAAGGCTAATTCTTTTGTTGGGTTTGAAATGGGCGCGGTCTCAACGTCTTCTCCGTTGAGCTTAGCGGCGGCAATGCCAGCTTCGCATCGTACTATGAGACGGATAGGGTCACTGTCGTCATCCACGATGGTAGTTGGACTGGCGGAGCTCCGGGGAGTATCCGAAGGGAGCTGGAAATGAGGTAGATTATAGAAGCGCAGCATGTCTTCCAAGTCCCAGTGACACTGGTGATTGGTCTCGTTAGTGATGGGAATCTCATCCTGTCGCTTTAGATGCCCACTATAAGCGATGGTGGAGAGAAAGCACTTGGTCCAGTCTCGCGAATAGCCTCGAGCCATGATACCGGTAGTATGTGGCGCAGAAAAGGCGTGCCCGACTTCATGGAGAAAGGCGCCTTGACCAACAGCGCAGGCCTCCCAGTTTGTAGCACATTCGCCATTGTCATTACCTACTGTATCTCCTGGCAAGGTTGTGTCCAAGAGACAGGCGGGGACTTCCTCGATGAACCTTGGCCACGAATAAGCGAGGTGGCTACCAAAGATACCAAGAGATAATCCATCTGGATTATGCGCCCCGAGGGCGGCGTGACCTAAAATCATGTTCTTCTGTTGATCAAAGGCGGAATCCAAAATGAGGCCTGCAACAACGGGACGAGAATGCGACTGGAACGGCGCGCCGTGGGCCTTGAGAGCGTTGGAAAAGATTCGGTGTAGCGCGTCCCTATCCCTACCCTTGTCGTTCTGTTGAGCAATGTTCGCATCTCGAAGTTCGGCAACTGTCTTATCTGTTCGAATAATGTGGACTTTGATTGTTGAGCCCGTTGTCTCGTTGCTCAGCGGATTTCTCAAAAACTGTTGGCTCAGAGTGTTGCTCCCCCATTCGTCCTCGAGCCGAAAAGCACGTCGGCCAAGACCAGCAGCTCGCATCTCCTCAGCTGTTAGAGCTTGCCACATGCATGCAGCCATTCGCATCTTGGCTACCATGGCGCTCAAATCTGAGTGTGTGGAGGAAATGGATCCAAACTTGCTCGGGGGGCAGTCTACCAGGAGAGGAGAATCTTTCGCTACCATGATAGCGAGGTGAAGAGGAGGAACGTTTGTAGGAGGGATGTAGGTAAGGGAGAGCTACGCTTTCCTAGTCAGAATTCAGAGCCGATGGCGTGTACCTAGAGGGTGAAAGACTTGCCTCGGTGGTATGTTTTCCATCACCAGTGCTCAACTTGACGATATTCTTGCCCGGAGTCAAGAGAGCCAGGCATTTAAACCAGCCCCACATAGGGGCCAGCGGTGAGATGGAAAGGTTTCGATCCCAGACTCATTTGTTGTGTTCACTTGCAGAAAGGTATCTTGTTGGTTAGATTCTTCGCACTGGCCAGTAATGAGAAGACACCTCTGGTAGATGTCCTCACCATCGTTGATGTTGTGAAGCTTAAACATTTTGTAAGTGGCGATAGTAAAAAGAACTGTAGACTAATTAACGAACCCCTTGAACCCCAACCGATGCGGACACCTTTATACCTCAAAGAGCATTTAGAAATGTAAGATGCTGCCTGGCTGCTCCTATAATCTTGGCAATAGAACGGAATTAATACGCTATGGTGTGAGCCTGCTAACGGTGTTCCGACATGGCTCACAGGGGAACTGTGAATTTGGGACCGAGTTATCCGTACAGAGTAATTTACCAAAGACACAATAGTAGTGGGGTTATTTACGCAGAAGCCTGCTCAGAATTGCCAGGGCCGTGCCATATCCCTGGTCGTATCTAGGCAGCCGGCTCCTGTTGATTCCACGGGCTGAGCTGATTGGCCACGACCAAGCTAACTGGGGCTATTCTTGACTAGCTTCCATGTCAGCAACACTGCCGAACAGAACAAAATACAACGATGTTGAGTGTTGATAGGCCCAATCTTGCACATGTCATGGCTCATCAATAGGCTACATATATTCGGGGCTGAGGATTTGATATTGTCAACTTGCGAGTATGGGTGCATGTATTTATACCAAGCTGGTGTAAAGCAATTCAATGTAGAACTTTACGCATGTATTCAGTGATTCATAATGAGGGAAAGCCCATTCATCCTGACTGTAGAAAATGAGACATGTATACTTTAATTTATCTTTTAGTAGCTGGCGCAACTGTTGCCTTTGCCACGCCAGCTATTTGCAAGGGCTATGGCCAGTCTTGTTTGATCCTCTGATGCAGGGTAGTTTGTCAACTTCGACAAGAAACGCGTTTCCATCGCAAATCTCGCGATTCGATCCTTTGATCAAATATGCGAGACCATTAGTTAATGCGATTAAAACAAGGCTAGATGCCATTGTGCATTTTTTTTGTATGTACGAGTTTCATCTCGCCTATCTACCTATTGGACTTCCAAATACCTGGGCACTATATTTCCCTTGTAAATTTAATACAAACTACGCTGGAATGAGCACGAATCACGATACTGCTTTTTATGGAGTTTGTGAGTAAGCTGTAGCAAATTAACAATAGGCAAGATTGTAGTCTTTGAACACGCTATTTGGCTTGCCAACCATCAGGTGCATGTATTTTACGTAGGTTGAAGTCCACGCGAGGGGTGAGCATGAGTGAAATTGTTTCTATACATAACTGATTAGCATTTATTTGTCCATCTACAATGATAAAATGGTGAATGCCAAAAAACTTTGACTAAGATGAAAGGCCAGCAAACTTGATGATCTAAGATAAAGGTCGTACCGACGTCTGGTCAAAAGGGGGTGGACAGGAACAACATATCGTTAATTCAAACTCCAGATTCTTGAATTTGCACTCAAGAAGGTCGAGGGGTGGCCAATATCTGTCTCCAGAAGGAACGCGCATGCCACCGTCGGCCGTGTTGACCCATCGAAGCGATGATGATATACGACCGCTGATGCCACAACCTCGGATTTGCCTCGCTCTACGATGCATGTTGGGAAACTTTCTCGGCCGAGGCGTTTAATTATGGTGTATCAGTCGATTCTTTGGTAATGATGGTGTATGAACAATGCTTAGAGTAATATCCCGATATCCCCGATACTACGGAATATCACACTGTTCTGTGTTTTGGTCGGGATATTCGGAAAATTTCAACACTTCTATAAAAGGAGAGCCTTTTCCTTGCAGTGAGTGCACTTAACAGGTGTCATCAAGGAAAATAAGTAACAAGAGTTCAACATCTTTTTCTGATCACTTATCAACTCCGTTTCTCGGAAACAACACCAAGACAAGGACAAAATGAGCGCTGATAATCTCAAAGCGGGCGACTCGATTGATTTCGAGTCAATGAAAGCCTCGATCAATTTTGATAATTTCCTATCGGCCGGTGCCATCGATACCAAAGCCCAGGCTCTCCTTCGTCCCAACTCGAAGTTGGAGCACGCGCTCACAAACTCCGCTGCCAAGGGCCTGCCGCCTATCAGTGTCCTGCCTCTTGCAGGCCAATATCTCTCAATTCTCACAAAGCTCATTGGCGCAAAGAACGTACTCGAGATTGGCACTCTGGGCGGCTACTCCTCCATCCGCTTCGCCGAAGCGGGCGCCAAAGTGACGAGTGTGGAGATGAACCTGAAGCATCACGAGGTTGCTGTGGAGAATGTTCAAGGGCTTGACGTTGACGTGATTCTGGGTTCTGCCCTTGAAGTTCTCCCGAAACTTGCAGAAGAAGGGAGGAAATTCGATTTGGTATTTATCGACGCAGATTGGGATCACCACTGGGAGTATTTCGACTGGGCTGTGAAACTTACGCGACCTAATGGATGCGTATATTTGGATGACGTTATACCACCACTCTTCAAATCAGGCAAAGTGGAGGATGAAGCAGCATCAGTTTTCACAAAGATCGGGCAGGATGAGCGAGTGGAAGCTACGCTTGTGCCGCTTGTTGCTACTCACCCTCTCGTTCCGACACCTGTCTTCAATGGTTATGTTCTAGCCCGTGTGAAGGAGTGAGCGTAGCTCTGTTATCTATCCAACTTTGCGACGCGACATGGTCGCAAAGAGTATTTACAATTCCGCTCTTGCTACTAGAGATAGGTGTTCTGTTTCCTAGTATATCTCGAGTGTATAATACCAAAGCATTTTCTACCTCACAATAACTAATTTAGCTATCTTGGTGAGGGTATTGCCATTCATCATATAAGTTGGAGCCGTTAATCAAGCTGAAGCGAACGTTGCATCTGGAACACGAACCATGTTTCACACAAAAGTTGAACCATTCAACAAAGATAACTGACTGCTGGTTGATTCGTTTCTAATGTTTTACTCTTAGCCGTGCCCTTGAAACAAGCTGGATGCCGTCGAGACTAGCATATATAGTCATAAACAAGCTGAGCCACGGCAAATTTCTCTTCCTTCTCCACCAAAATTCGAACACAGTAATACCTCTCATCATTAACCAATCTGAAGCCAGTGACCTGCGTTCCCTTCCACCCCTTATCCTTGCTCTCCGTGTAGGTTACCATTAGCTTGCTGTCTTTTCCATCAAGAAGCCAGCCTTCCCGCAAATACTCATTTTCAAACTCATTGGCCTGTGCCCATCCGTGCTGCTTGGTTGTTTTGCCCCAGAACATTGTCTTCTCGTCAAGAACTTTATCATCCAGGATCCGGACATCAGTGGTCTCGGCAACGCCGGATAATCTCTGAACTGTCTCGACACACGTCACAGTCTCCTGCTCGCTGTCCGGGTCTTCCGAAGGGAACACGCTCTGTCGGATGGTGTAGCTTGGACTCGCAAGCTTTATAGCAGCCCGTGCAAAGTAAGGCAGTCCCTGAAGGCGCAGAACTTCATCGATAGACTCGGAGAGCTTCTTGTTCTGTTCAATTATTTTGTTAGAAAAGTGCCAGGTTTGTACGGCGACCTGTGGTCTCCCTCCTCACAGCCATGGTGAACTGACACAAGGGCTTACTTACCATAGCCCACTCCCCATCAAGGGTATGGAGGGTCTTGGAGCCTGGAGCGGCCATGATTCGATGTAAGTATCTTAAAAGGGCAAGTAATTATTATGGAGCGAGTAGTAGCTTCGTCGTACTGAGCTGTATTTCATTAAGTCCATGATGGAACGGGAAACGTGGCCAGTTATTAGTTACGGGAGCGGACTGAAATGAGATCTATTCACATACCAGCTGTTTTACCTCTGATTGGTGGCGGGTAGAGGTGTCAAGCTAGGGCGGGCGAAACATTGAATTCTGCACTGTCAAATTTTCATGGATACTTCTATAAGTAAGGAATAACGAAAATTCCACCATCACCCTGAATTTGTCTCAAGTCAACGTCGTCATGGAACGCTACTCGTGCAATTACCTACGGCTTTATCGAAAATGACCCATAGCATGGATCAAGATGATTTATATGGAACTTTGTCTCTTTAGATGCCAAGGCAATAGAGGGCTATCATCATGTCATAAGGAGGAATGACTAGCTCTGATTAAAAGACTCAAACATAATATTTGCATGTCTTTTCCCCCCCTTGAGGGATTCTATAGCCTCAAATGGATGTAGGCTTGTCCTCCACTGTCTTCACCTTTATATTGATCATGGGGTGGTCAGCACATTCGAGGCCAATTTTTTTCGGGCTAATGACTGCTTCCAAGTGAAGACATAGGGAAAGAAACTACTCTAAACTCTAAGATGTACGGCCTTTGCCGGGTACGGAAAGGCCCGACAACATGTGCATCGCATTCAACGCCGTATGACTCAGGAGTAAGAGCGGTACGCCAAAATACCCAAAGGATACCCCCAGTCATAGTTCCTAATAAAAAAATGAGGGTAGTGTGTAGCAGGGTATCCCAACTATGCCTACGAAGAATGTAAAGGCTCGTGTGTTGAGCAACCCCTGCGTGGCACTAATCTGAGCGCTCTTCTCTCGATCTTGAAGCTGCAACTCTCGCATCTCGAATACGGCTTCATGGGCGAGGGCATTGCCTTGCCTCCTTCAGCCAAAATAGTGGCAGGCTATGGACAACATAAAGGAATCAGCTGGATGCTGTATGCATACTGACTCGGTGACAGGCTGGGCGCTCATCCAAACCAGGTCGCCACACGCCCGGCTGAGAGATTTATAGTAGATGTTAATATCAATAACACATCTCCAAATATTGTCGCCCCAAACACTTTCTGATTTTCGTACAGACATGATACTCTAATTCACGTATAATTTGGATTTCTTCAATCAATTGCGGACTAGAGTTCGACGCGTTTATTCAAGAATCAACATGTCTTGGGTGGTCTCCAAATTATCCGATGTTTGTAGAGGCATTTCGTGATGTTGCCTGTAGTTTAGCTGATATGATATGATTGTTTAGTGGAAGAGGGACACCCTCGCACTAGAATACACTGACTTCACTCTTCGCGGTTGCGCGAGAAGTTATGGCAGTTTCACAAGCGGCGCAGGGGAATTTCTACGTCGCCATTATTATGATGCCCCAGCGAGTGGCATCAATAACCAATACTTGGTGTGGTATTTGTCCCATGTACTTACTTCGAGAGGCATCCACAGCCATAGGTGGTCACCTATTATCATTGGCTTAATGGCAAAATTGAACTTCATAGTATTGCTACCCAACTACGTCATAATACACCTATGAATGTAGGTGCATGCATGTGGCTGCCTTAGAAATACGCCCGAAAAGTCAGCTGGGCTGAGCAGAACATACTAGGCCAATCGATTGGCTCCCATCATTTGCTTACGCCTTCATGTGCATCGATATCATGCCATAGCACAGCCCCGCTCGCCTCATTCAAGCTTCTTCAAAGTTCATTTCTTCTCCTTACCGCCATCTTAGCCTTGACAAGTGTCTCTCTCGGTTATCCCTCGATCCCAAGTAATGCCCGACATGCGAAAAATCTTTCGGCGGCGAGAAAAGAAGCCATCGACCGCGCTACCGACATCTGCGCCCCTGGAGACCTCTGTGCCTCCAATCTTGGCGTCTCTGGCCACTGCGCCTACAACCTCAGAATTTCCAAATCGAAAGAAGATACTCTCATTGGGAATCAAGGTCCTTCACAGCCCAGAGCCCTGTGATGTTGAGTATGGATCGCACATGATTTAAATTGGCATTGATATTTAGTTATCGTAATGTTGCTAACGCTTGTAGCAACTTTAGCATCGTATTCATACATGGGCTATCTGGCGACAGAGAAAAAACATGGACCGGTCCCAACCAAACTGAGCCCTGGCCCAAGACGATCCTCCCAGATCGGCTTCCAACAGCCCGAATGCTCGTTTTCGGGTACGATGCCAAATGGCTCAAAGACTCGTCATCGAGGAACAGAGTCCAGGAACATGCATCAAACTTACTGGCATCCCTCGGGCGACATCGAGGCGAGGATGGCACGGTAGGCTTGACGAACGCCTTCAACGAGTCCGTCTATTGATATCGTACAAATAGAGCAGCCGACCTATTATTTTTGTGTGCCATAGTCTAGGAGGACTTGTTTGCATGGATGTGAGATTTCCGGGTTCTCTGTCGCTTCCTCTTCCATTTTATTTACAACCTGTGTTAGGCTCTAGTACTCTCAGAACAGCAAGGAGGGCAACATCATCTTCCCAAAATACACGAGCAAACAATTGGCATTCAATTTCTAGGCACCCCTCACCAAGGATCAGACTTCGCTTCTTGGGCTAAGCTTGTTTCACGCTACGTTTTTCCCATGAGGCAGACCAACAGTGACATCACCAGAGTACTGCGAAAAGATTCTGAGGAGCTTGCTAGAATCCAACATAGTTTCCATTTAAGGCTTCAACTACGGCCTCAGCTTGGGCTACCCGCAATATCCATCACATACTTCTTTGAGGAGCTACCCACGCCCCATCTCGGAGTGGTAAGCAAATTAATCATGTGCACATCATCCGACGAATTTCAAACTTTGTTCTTACCTTTCTCAACAGATTGTCCCTAAAGAGTCTGCCACTAGGCCTGGTTGCAACAATATCGGCATACATGCAAACCACTCCAACATGACTAAATTTGAGGATGCAAATGACGATGGACTTCTAAAAGTTAGTGGCGAGCTCCGCAGATACATTGAGGTTGCAAAGCAGGCTAGCCCCAATGCCCGACTAGATGTAGACGAGCAGGCCACAATACCTTGTAAGTATTTCGAAGCCGGGCGTTCTCATTCATGATATACTAAGAGGGAACAGTCACCGTACCTTATTCAACCAACGAAAATTTTGTTGGACGTATAGATATCCTCCGGCAACTGGAATCATGCTTCGATCTGAGCAACATCGATCGTACCTGGCAACCAAGAATAGCCTTGTACGGGCTCGGAGGTATCGGGTATGGAGTCCGCGTACTCCCGATGAATATATCCCGCTAATGGTGAACAGAAAGACACAGATTGCTATCCAGTTCACGTACTGGCTACAACGTCGCTACCCCGAGGTGGCTGTGTATTGGGTACATGCAAGCAATGCTGATCGCTTCCGCCAGTCTTTCACTTCGATCGCACAAGACTGTGGCATTCCTGGTCTAGATGATCCTGGGAATGATGTGTTGCCACTAGTCAAGGCTTGGCTAGGGAAGAAGGACAACGGACGATGGCTTATGGTGATAGACAATGCCGACGATGAAGCCCTGTTCACAACTTCGGGATCTTCTTCAAGAAGTAGTGGGAATTTGGGAGGTTTTATTCCCGATTGCGCGAATGGAAACATACTGATAACAACCAGGAACAAGAAAGCTGGGTCAAGGCTTACAAAAGGAAAACAACTGATTGAAATCGGCAGAATGGACATCTCAGATTGCGTAAAACTGTTGCGTCTTCAGCTTGACGACGCTGCATCTACAGAATCCATCCGCCGACTTTCCGACCAACTCGAATATATCCCTCTTGCTTTGGCCCAAGCGGCAGCCTTCATAAGAGAAAACGTTTTATCAATTGATTACTACTTGGAACTTTTGATGAAAAGGCCGGTCGACCTCCTGGGCGAAGAGTTCGAGGCCGTGGGACGAGATGAAGAAAGTTTACATGCCGTTGCTGCAACTTGGATGATTTCCTTTCAACAAATCCAACAGCGAAACCCGCTAGCCGGAGAACTCTTGTCACTGATGTCATTCTTTGATCGTCAAGAAATTCCCCGTGTATTTTTGCTTAACTACTATGAGCGCCGAAACAACGGAAAAGATGGAGCCCTCGAAGTTACAAAAGCCATCGGGCATTTGCTAAGCTTCAGTTTAATCAAAGAGGAAGCTAGTCAAAACATCAACATCCACCGACTTGTGCAAGTGACCACACGGAAGTGGCTCAGCAATCAGCATCATGAAGATGCTTATCAAGGGGAAGCACTTTTAACAGTGTGGGAAATGTTCCCAAATGAACAAAATGTCGAAAATTGGCCGACTTGCACCGCCTACCTCCCGCACGCTCAAGTGGTCAGAGGTTTAACATCATCGAGAAGGAATAGAGAAGTGAAAAGGGCAGATCTTCTCACGAATATAGGGTGTTTTTTCCACGATGAAGGGAGATGGAAAGAAGCTGAAGAGACACATAAGGAAGCAGGGGCAATTTACAGAGAAGTATTTGGCGAGGAAAATCCTAACACACTGAACAGTATGGCCGATTTAGCCTCTACCTTCAGATCTCTGGGGCGACTGGAGGAAGCCGAAAAGCTCCAAATTAAGCTCCTAGAGCTATACAAGAGGATTCTTGGCGAAGCACACCCTTATACACTAACAGTTATGAATAATTTAGCTACAACCTTCTATAGTCTGGGGCGACTGGAGGAAGCCGAGAAGCTGCAAATCAAGGTCCTAGAGCTATACAAGAGGATTCTTGGCGAGGAACATCCTGAGACACTAACAAGTAAAAATAATCTAGCATCTACCTTCTATGATCTGGGGCGACTGGAGGAAGCCGAGAAGCTGCTAGTCAAGGTCCTAGAGCTACGCAAGACGATTCTTGGCGAAGAACACCCTGGTACACTAAGAAGTATAAATAATCTAGCATCTACCTTCTGGGAACAGGGGCGACTGGAGGAAGCCGAGAAGCTGCAAATCAAGGTCCTAGAGCTGCGTCAGAGAGTTCTTGGCGAGGAACACCCTGACACACTGAACAGTATGAACAATTTAGCCTCAGGCCTGTGCTATCTAGGGCGACTAGAGGAAGCTGAGCAGCTACAGATCAAATCCCTAGAGCTGCATGAGAGAGTTCTTGGCGAGAAACACCCTGACACACTGAACAGTATAAATAGTCTAGCCTCAGGCCTGTACTATCTAGGGCGACTAGAGGAAGCTGAGCAGCTACAGATCAAAGCCCTAGAGCTTGGTAAAAGGGTTTTTGGCGAGGAACATTATCGAACACTAGATAGTATGAGTAACCTCTCACACATGTGGAGAAAGTTGAACCGGCCAAATGAGGCGGTAGAGATGATGACAGAATGCACGGCGCTTCAGAAAAGAATCCTTGGAGGAGATCATCCTTCAACGCTAGCATCCATCAAAACTTTAGGATCCTGGCTTTCTTCTCCGATGGTTGAAACCAATGCGCAACAAGAAGAACATGCTTAGGGACACTTTTTATTTTAGCTAAAGCGAGCAACGAAATTAGCTTAGTGAGCATTCCTGAAATTGGCTTGACCTTTCCTGATATTATCTGCAAAAGGTGAAGGTTCAGGAGCTGGATTGTCAGGCGACAGCTGGCTAGGATTGATATTTATGCCGAAGTCGATTAAGATATGCGACCAGATAACTATATTATTCACTATAGCAGGGTCCCAATGCAGGTTATACTTACGGATTTCAAATTCTTTAGGTTCCATGCGCTTGGGCAAGCTTAAGCAGGGGTCCTGGAGACGCAATACGGGAGGTCAAACTTTCTATGAGGCAGTGAAGAATTGATGCCTTAACTGGTTTCTCCGGTAGACTAATACTAGCACTAGTCATACGAGAAGCTGATCAGCATTTGCCAGATAAAGGTTAATAACCAAATGCCCGATGTATTTCAGAGTGTAGTCTGTAAGGAAAGACTAAGCCACCAGCCCATATTGTACCTTCGTTGATAAACAGAGAAGTCTGTAGATTTTCTAATCATAAGAGCTAAATAATCAGGTAATTTCTACAAACTTATCCCGGGATAGTAAATGGCCCGGGTTCAACATACGCTATCTGTTTGTGCTTCCTTCGTCATTATCATCATCTAGAGCTTACACTCGACTTCGATCTCGGTTATCAAATGTCGATTCATGCCGCAATGTAACCCCCACCAAAGATGTCCTCATTATCAATACGTAGGGTAAATACATTTATCCCTAGAGTAGTAAGCTGCCCAACATCGTATCGGACCGAACCATGGCTCGAAGTATTATTGGTGGTTACTCGAACATGGCTGCGTCCATCAACTACGAAACCTGAGACCTCATCATATCTCCACAGTCCCACCCATTCCTTCCTTCCAAATACTTGTCGTGCCATAGTTGACATCCATAGTAAGTTGCGGTAAGCATTCAGGTCCCAACCCACCAGAGCAAAAGTGGGGGATTGCGCGTAATGGTCCTACAAACAGATCCAACAGCTGCTTAGCGCTTACAGGATTTCGCCTACTTCGGGCAAGCAATCAGATTAAAACCGGTATTTATTCCTAATCTCCGATGGCTAAGCCTGATACAAGTATAAATTCGAGTGCATGGCGCGCATAGAATAGAATGACTCCTCTAAACCGATTCACAACACAATGGCAAGCCCTAACCAATTGATCAAGTTCCAAATTTGCATCCACAAGAAGGATGGCATATCTCAGGAAAATTTCGTGAAGTGGTGCACCGAGGATTATCCTCCCCGTGCAATTCCTCTAATGAAGAAACACAACATGGTGAAATGGACCGAGGTCAGTTCCCTTTCAGACATCGATGCTTTCAACAACATTCAGCCCCCCGCAGAACGCTTACATTTCCTGCTCACAGACAATCATCTCACCGGAAGCCGTTGAGGGCCTACGCCATTCTCTCAAGAACGAAATGAACCGGCCAAAGTGGACAGTGCCTGAGTATTCCATCATCATGTCCTACTGGCTTCGGAGTATGGATGACTTAACAGCATTGACTACCGATCCAGAGTGGTTTGAGCTAGAAAAGGATGCGCAGAAGATCTCCAACCCAGAATTTGGCCATATAGCTATTGGCCATGAGATTACATTCATCGATGAGGAAAGCAAATCAGAAAAGAAAGGGACAGAAGCTTAGGAGATGACAGTTGATCAAATTCTCCGTCAGCTTGCATAACATCGATCAGTGGGTAGTTACTCTAGAAAGATAGACCTAAAGAGAATACAAGAGCAGGGCCTTCGGGCGATGTTGATATGAATAATATTAGCTCGCAATCTGTGGTCCATTTTCATCGCAGTTTCTACTAGATCAATGGCTTTTTCTAGCCTCAATAATCCGGCAGCACTGGCCGTATGAATACTTAAGTCTTGAATTCAATGTCACTCTTTATTCGGCGCATGATCCCAAACCGAATTGACTTTGACTACTGATACCTATGCGTGGAATGCATAGAGCGATCTAGACCAATACCCACGAAACGTGTCCTACAACATTATGAATTAAGGAAAGATCGTCTCTAAAACCTTCTCAGTGTAAGATAAAGTTGAGATGCGAAGGGGTTGAATCGTAAATGACTCCAAACCCGCCTTTAGATTGCGAGGTGGATTAGTCTCAACGGATGGCAATGTCGTTTGATCACGCCTTCACACACGCAACGGTCGGTGCCAACATATGGACAGAGCCGCCGCCGTGGCGTTTACAGCTGGCAATATATCTCAGACTCTGTAAATAATTATTGAGGCCTCATCTGAGCTCCAAACAACCAACAAGGGGAGCAGAAACTCCGGTACAATGCAGCCTTCCAGTGTCTGCTAACCAAGCTGGAATGAAATGCCGCAGAAGGAAGGCTACGAGCAAAATAAAATTTCAAACTCTACCCAAAACAAAATATCAGAAGGCGAGCGCCTATCTCAGCCCGGCCAATTGCTTTCCGGATTTCCTAAGCTTGGGGTAAAGATTGAACTATACAGCAGGAATAGAGACCCTCAGCATTAGCTATCCCAATCATGAATCTCAAGGGAGATGCGTCCAATTTCGACAAGATTGGTCAATCATGAGGCCATATATTCTCATATTATCCCTTGCTGGCCTCGCACTGGCGATACAAACCCACGAGCCTCGTGCGGCGATCGTGTGTGACGGCAGCAGCCCAGATATTGGCCTCAACCCCTGGAGGTGCGGCGGAAAGAGCTGCAAGCCGGGCGAGCTCTGTGTCAAGAACAAATGCTGGCCCCTGGAAATCGGTAGCAATAATGAGTCTTGCGGTAGCAGCAAGGCTGTGTGTGCTCCCGGCCAGTGGTGCAATGCCGGCAAATGCGACCCTATCCAGATCATCCTAGATCCTCTTGCCTGCGGCTCGGACACTTGCAAGGCTGGGGAGCTATGCGTCAACGACTTCTGCGTTCCACTCAATATCGGCACGGATGTCAACAACTGCGGCGCGACGAACAGAACCTGCGCCGTTGGAAGTGTCTGCGTTGACAAGGTCTGTGTGCCCCTGACGGTCGGCTCTCCTGATCTCATCATCAGGACTGATCTGAACAACTGCGGCGGCAAGGGAATTCACTGCGAACCTGGGAATATATGTGTCTTGGGCCAATGTGTTGATCTAGGCATGCAAAACCGTACCAGTCCTGCCCGCCTTGGGACCGACCACTCGGCCTGTGGCAGCCAGCTAAATGGATGCAAGCCTGAAGAGCTTTGTATCTCTGGTGATTGTGTCGGCGGCCTCCCAACCTGCCGCAAGCAAGAGTCCACCGACAGGTACTGGTGGAACCACGATGATCACTACCGCCTGTCAGGTGCATATACGCCAAAGGGCGATGGCTCGTGGTACTGGCCCGAGGAAGGTTACTGCCAACGCGGTGGAGTATTTGCTGCTGGTGTATGCTGCGATATATTTGGCGATGTTCAGACGTGTGGCCAGAAGGGTCATGTCTGCCCGCCGAATCATATCTGCTGCCGCGGGGAGTGTCTCGCTATTGACGATGTCGACGATGGTCCAATCTCTAACCCTGATCATTGCGGCGGCCAGACCTGCGGGTCTGGCCATTGTTGTATTGACAACAAATGTGTCCCTGTTGTTATCGACTACAATAAGTGCGGCTATGGCTGTAGTCATGGATCTATCTGCCTCTCTGGCAAGTGTATCCAGGCCAGCCGTGACCCTAGGAGCTGCAGAGGCGTTAGATGTCCCTCCAACAGCCTCTGCATCATGGGCAAGTGCGTGTCCATGATCGACGACGGCCGTTGCCATGGAGGTTGCGAGCCTGGAAATATATGCATCGACGGCATGTGTCTCCCTATTGATAAGCCTCCGTCGTGCAGACCGTCATGCCCAGCAGGGACAATCTGCATCGAGGGCGCTTGCACTGCTATCACTAATCCAAGCCAGTGTAATTCGAAAGGGCTAAATTGTCCGCCTGGGTTCATCTGCGTGTCAAATAGATGTGTACCATGGTCTCAGCCAGCTCTTTGCGACTCTGGCGGGAAAGCATGCCCTGCTGATACTGTGTGTGTCTTGGGCAACTGCGTCGCCATTGAAGATTCTGCCAACTGCGGCACGGGTAATAAGAGGTGCGCTGCAAACGAACTCTGCTTAGGCGGTCTCTGCACTGCCCTCGACGCAGCCAAGTGTGCTGTTGATACTGACTGCAAGGGTGCACAATATTGTGACAAGAAGAAGTTGGTGTGTATTGAATCGGAAGCGTGCGAAGTCAACACTACCTGTCGGAATGGAGGCAAATGCTTCATTGGCTGCTGTATGCCTCTATGCTCAAGTGATCAGGACTGTGCAGGATGGGGTGTCTGTGGAAGAGATCACTGCATCCCGACTTGCAATGTTCTAACCGATTGTCCCAATGATTTTCTCTGTGACGATGGCGTCTGCATCCCACGGTCAGCTTCCTGTAGAAGCACCGATGACTGCAAAGAAGGACAGCTCTGCGATATGGAAGATCGTATCTGTGTTCCTGGGACTGGATGCGAGAAGGATAAGCAGTGTCTTGACGGCCAGCTATGCCACAAGAAAACCTTCGTCTGTGTCAATCTCAAGCTCTGCGCTACGGGCTCTGATTGTTCCAACAGAGACACCTGCGTGGACGGATACTGCACTCCGACCTGCGCTGCCGCCGCTGATTGCGGGAGCTGGTCTCTCTGTGTGAACAACCGCTGCCAGGACAAATGCAAGACAGAGAGCGACTGTATCTTTGGTAGCACGTGCGGCCCCAGTGGTGTCTGTGCTGAGCTGCCCTCCGACACCTGTACGTCCAACAACGACTGTAGGAGTGGGCAGTTATGCTACAACGGTGGCAAGTGCCGCAATGAGCGTGTTGGATGTCTAGTGGACAATGACTGTCCTCTTGGCAGAGTCTGCGGCAAGGGAAATGTTTGCCTTGACATGGCTACGCCCCCTTCACGATTGACGTTGGGATCGGATAGCCTTGGTTCGGATCAAGATGCCAACAGTCCTTCGACACCGGCTCCATCACCTCCCAGCCTACGGCTTGGATCTCCAAAGCAAGATACCGCATCGCCCAAGCCCGTCATTCCCTCCACCAAGCCCTAAAATATAAGACCATCTGTGAAAAGTAGTTCTGTTAGCTCTTGGATTCCCACGCAACCATAGGAATTATGAGTTCTATGACTCTACAAACACGTCGACCCAAAAACTTGCTAGGCCTCTCTACGTGCTCTCCAATCTTCATTTATTTCTCGTCATAGAATGAGACTAAATTCACGCTTGAGTCTCGCAGGGCCCTCGAGTGAAGCACACGAGTAAGCTCGCTCAAAAGCACGATACCAAAAACAGAGTTCCTAATCATAAGGTACAATCCTATCCAAGAGCCGATATTTCCCATCCATTTTCCATTCTCATTGTAAAATTTGTAAAATCTTAGATAGGCCATCTTTGTTCAAAGAAACATGATAGATATCGCTCCCAGTTCGGGCGTTGCCAGGTTCATGGAACTTCACCTACAACTGTAGAACTTGGCCTTCCAGGATGAGACTTTAGTTCAACATCCAGCCATTTCAGGCCCTGTCGAATTTGGCGTGGATTTCCATTTCCCGGGGGTTCAATACCCAAGTGTGGACATTTTTGTGAGGAGGCGCTTCGATTCACGCATCAAGGCGGCATGATGCGGTAATTCCGACAGATCTTGGCGTAATCGCACCGCTTCCTTTGCAAGGGGCTCGGCTTTGGCATACTGTCCTAGCGCAAAATACGACTTGGCCAAACCGTGCATGAGCTCAATCGTCGAACTTTCTTTACTTCCCCATTGAGCCTTTGCCAGATCCAAGGCAGATTCGCCTACTCGCACAGCCTCGCTGTATCTGCCCATGTGGATATACAACTTGACCAAGAGTTCCATGCATTGAACAATTCGCCAAAGGTCTGCTTTCTTCTTCTGGTAGATTTTGAGGCTAGATTTGGCCAGCTTTGTCGCTTTCTCATAGTCGCCTTGCCACTTACTCAGCCATGCTCGTTGCTCCAAGATCACCGCAGCTACATCACTTTTCTCTTTTCCGCGACCCCTACAACGGCGCATTGCCTGGCTGAGGAGCTGATCTGACTCTTCAGATTTTCCCTCTTTAGAGAGAATATCCGTCTTCAGCATCAAGGTGTCGATTGTATCGGGATCTGTGTTGCCGAGCACCTCCCGCTGGAGCGTATACACTTGGTTTGTCAAATCCTTAGCCACCTGGTCGTCGCCATTTTGATAATGTGTCTCTGCGAGCGCAAGCTTGATGTAGAGGGTGTCTCGATGCCGTCCTCCTAGAGCCTGTTGACAAAGCGACGCGCCCTTTTTCAGCAGTTCAAGGCGCCTGGCTTCGAGACTGTGGCCACGGTGCATGAGGAAGGCACAGGCTCGTAGAAGGAGCGCTGCTGCACGAATTGGCGTTCCTGATATCTCAGCCCACTCTGCTGCTTGCACAGCATGTTCGACATACTTTTCACTTTGTTGCCACATTCCCGAACTGAGATGTGGGAAAAGCCTCACCATCACCTTCAGCGCAATTGCAGCGTAATATTGTTCACCTCCGCTGCTCGTTCCGGATCTTGGCTCATTAGCCATCAAACCAGCAGATAATCCAAATCGGGCGGCATCTTGCACCAACTTGTGCATATTATAGCTCTTCTGCTTTTTACCATCCCGGTGTATCTGTATAAATGCATACTCTTTCAGCCTCGCCAGCGCTGTCAGTATCTCAATGTCTGGTCCGTCTAAATCGTCGTCGTCGACCACAACCCCGTCATTTTTGCAATCCTTTAAATCTCTGTAGTCGATCGGGGGTCTTTTCCCATGATATCTTGCGAATTCTGCCACCATCTTTTCCGATATGTTCTGATTGTTGACATATGCCAGTACATTCAATATGTGATAGGCCAACTGGTTTTCCTTTTGAATGCGCTCGATGGAGATGTGCCACGTTCCAAGTACACTATTAGGAACCCCTGGCGTCTGCTGGATATCTGCTGTCTCACTCGCTTTAAATAGTTCCCATCGATGCTTCTTTCTGGAAAGCATACTCAGATACTCACTGGCCAGAATGTGGGTTCTTCTCATAAAGGCACCAGCCTGGCTGATTGCCAGTGCTTACCACTCGAGCTCTTCCAAAAGCTTGGTGATTTTGATATCTTTGGCATCGATATCCTTCTTGTTCCATTTAGTGTAGAGTAGCTTCCGTCCCTCTGCCTCTGTCATTCGGGAGATCTCGATCGCTCGGCCGGATCCAACAATTATGTCAATCCTCTCATCCCGGCTTGTCCAAAGTACTGTTCCGGACTTTCCAGCTGACTGGGGGATATAGCGGATCAAATTCGCAGTCTTTTTACTACTTTGCCCAGGGAGGAAAACTTTGATGTCGTCAGTATTATCAGCGACAAGTACCCAGCTCTCCAGGGATTCGATTTTGTCTCGGACAGCCTCCATGAGGTTCTCTTCATTTTCGATGTCATCCAATCCCAGTTTCCGGGCGATAGTTTTATAATCCTGGATGAATGTAGCTTCCATGTCAGCATGTACCCAAAAAACAGAGCAATCTCGAGCATCCCATCTCTGGTATGCGTATTGCAGAGCTATTTGCGTTTTTCTAGTCGCTATTAGTGACGATCCAAACAGAAACCCTCAAGAAAAATGATACATACCCTGACCCTCCTAGTCCCCAAAGAGCAGCTACTTGGCATGCCGACGAGTTTGATAGAAGCTGGTGCAGTTTTTCCACTTCTAACTGGCGTTTGACAACCTCGTGGTTGCGGATATAAGGGATGGTATGGCAGTGAGGGGATTCCCCAAAGCTTGATGGACTCAGGGAAGACCGAACCCTATCGTTCGTAACGTATCTGCCCAGGATAGCCTTCATCACAGAAACCGCTGTGGCAGCCGCAAAGTCTTGCCATCTTTTATCCTTGTGGCTATCAGCATAGTCACAGATTCCCTTAACAATAAGACAGGGAACCTCGTCCCAAACACCTGCTCCCTCCATTTCAAATGCAACAATACCATGCTCCGTGGCGATTCGATCTCTGTCCTCACCAGACTTCATGACGGTGCTGCCTGACCCGACTCTTCCGATGGAAATTGCAGGTTTATAGTTCTCGGCATTTCTATCCGAAGACCGAGTTCTCAAAACCAACTTGGAAGTACTACAGCCAAGATCGGAGCATGAGGTTTTAGTTGCCAACTCACAGGGTCTTCGCCGACATACATTACACCCTTCGTCATGTTTGTGGATGTAATCGGCCTTGTAGAGTCGATCTTCGCCCAATCCCCGGTTCCTGTATTTCCGGCCACCCTTCAGGCGCCGCGGGCCCGATGGTTCTGTCTTGTTTTGGATGTCTCGTCTGAGATACCTTCCAGCCTTGTCTTCCAAGAACGCCTTCTCCCCTTGCATTTCGATGCAGGCAATCAAACCTCGGATATCCTTATTTGCCCGCCCGAGGCTGTCTTCCGTTGTGTCTTTCACGTCGAAGCGGTCGGGATATCGGCGGCCATAGTCATACTGAACAACGCTCTTGCTTATAACAACGTCGCCCAAGAAGGCATCAACGCCGTTAATCTTGGGCACTCCGCCGCATATGCCGACTAAGAACACCAGCTTCAGCTCGGTGTAGCTGGTTCTGAGACTCGCCGCCGCTGCTGCTGCATTCTGCGTCCCCATTCCTGGCAGATGTGCGAGGACGACATCGTGCTGCCCAATCCAACCGTTCGTGTAGTGGTTTGGGTCGCCCTCGGCGCGGCCGTAACTCGAATCGCCGTCGTCCCAGAAATGATCAAAGAGCAGGAAAATGGCATCGGCTTCTCGCGGGAGAGCGCAGAAGATGGCAACGCGAAAGTCGCTCCGGTCTCTTGGTCTCGAAATTGACGCCATGGCGTTTAGTTGTTAAGAGAAAAATTGTGTAATCTGACAGGAAGGCATTCCAGGCAAGGCGATCATTGTACTGGTAGGCGAGGGACTGACAGCTGACAAGGGTTGCAACTCAGCCACCCATATCCAATTATGGAGGCTTAGAAGTATGCCTCGCTGCGGATGGAGAGCATTGCTAATGGCGTACTACTCTATGAGATATCTTTCAAAATGGGCTCCTGACACAGTCGACATTGATCAAGTCATTTTTGTCTTATCGTCTACAATAAGTTGAGTCGGCCAGTGAGCGAGATAAGTACACACACAACACTGTGCCTTCAACCTCTGCTGTGATCTTTAATTGGCAACCGCCACCCTAATAATAACTGAAAAAAAAATGAAAAAGAAAAAAAAATGGAAAGAAAAGAATATTCTTTCTGTAATTGCCGCTGGTGTGAACATCATTATTTCTCGTTACATAGGTAAGTTCCAATGTTTCTATCAAAAAACAGTGCCTGCAGCCTTATCATGCCATATTTGGTGGCATTTACTCTTTGATAGTTGCCAAATACAGTCCTTTTGGCTGGCCCATAAAGATAAAATAGCTAGTTTCTTTTGTGATATCATTTGTGCTTATATTTCCCATGTAGCCACGACTGTTGGTGTCAGCGCCAAGATATGCATCGTGCAGCTAGGCTGTCCACCTCTACTGACGGGACCTTGCTTGTTTTATCAAACTTTGGACAAAAGCAGATGACACATTTTAGCCGGGTCTTGTTCTCGTCACTATGATATTCATATGATATGCCAGGTATACCAATAGATCGGTCGACTCTAACACGCACAAGAAATTCATCTTGTCCAATGTGCAATTAATTAGTCAACTCCCCACCACCCATATCTGGCTTTCATGCATGATGACCAGTTGCTGCATAAAAAAGTGCAAGAAGTGCAAAATCAGGCATCAGGTGGCCAGCTGCAGGTCTCACATTGGGCTGATTAAATATCAGCTAGGATTCTCCAATTCCCGCCGTCCTATTCTTCAATCGTATTATTTCCCATCCGTCTCATTGTGTGTACCAAAATGGAGAATCCGAGCGCAGACAACATACCTCTCGAAGACCTGCCGGCACCGGAGCTGCTAAGTCTGAACCTCAGGCGGGCTTTGCAGCGTGTTATCTTAGATGATGATACTAACAATGCCACGCGCCGCGATAGCGTCCAAGAGATGCTACAAAGTCTGATCTCGAGCGATATCTCTAGTATGGCTAAATGGGACTTGAAGACTCTGTCCCTATCGTATCGCTTCTTCAAAGAACGCCAGCCATCAAAAATTGACCACATCGATGGTAAATCCGTGCTCTCATTTGACAGGCTTGCCGTGCACTGGATTTTATCAGGACCAACATCACAGCCCAACGCAACATCAAGTGCGTTTAATCATATATCCACCCCCTTTCAAATACTAAACTTGATGCCTATGATAGCCCATGGATGTACTAGAACAGCATTACTAGAGGACGACACATTCTCAGATTGGGCATGTCGGCTTGCCGTTAGGCTTTCGGATAACTCTCCCAATTCTCTCCAAATCTTGTATGTTTCTAAATTTGTATTCCCGTTATTAAATACAAAAATATCAGTAATTAAAGATGTGATAGGGCAATAAGTGAAAACCCGCAGGCAGCGGATTTGGCATCGTTGATTCCCTTCAGGCTTAAAACTCTCGCGAGCGTGGGTCTGCTCGGGAACTTGAACACAGTTTACCGTCAGCCTGTTTTGCTATTCAGATGCCTCGTCTCTACCCTTTGGCAAATACAGAGTTCTTTTGATTTGAGCGAGATCGGAACTTTTGACAGTGATGGTTTCGCTGACCCTCCTCCCCTTCAACCCATCTCTCTTCAGCGGCCAGCTCATGGCGAGATTTCTCCAGGCAACGAAGTCTATTGGGGATTGAACTGCTATGGCTCCGGAAACATGGATCCAACTTATTGTCCAAACACCCTGCGCCTCGCCTGGCAACACATTGTGAGGCCATACAAATCCGATTTCAGAGTTTATATCTCAGAAACTGAGAAAAGTTTGCCCTACTACGAGTATGCACTCATCAATTATCGACCTGTCGCTTCTAATTGTGACCAGGCTCGAATTTTTATTCAATTTCGTTCACCCAACTCTGTAGAGGAGTTCTCCACGTTTCTCGAGCAGTCCAGAAAATCAACTGGTGGAAACGAAGACCAAGAGACAAGTGCTCCTGGTGAGTGGTGCACCGAGGAGGAAGTGCTAATCTGCATAATGTGTGTCTTTCAGGTGATGAGATCAGGCACAGTAAAGTTTATTCAGTCCATTCACAAAGAACTTATTCGTATGGTGAGTTCTTTGGCCCATGTTGCTGGATATATCACGTAGCACTAACTGTGATCAAGCGCGGAATCATACGCTTGAGCCCTTCGAGTAGCAAGATGAAATATCTTCTTCATCTTGAGGATTGTCTTAGAACGAATTTGCAAGGAATCGAACACAGCATGGCGACTCTCCGAACTCTGCAATTGTGGAGAAACCCCGATGAGAAATTGAAGAACCAATTAGACACTATAAAGAGGGACTTGGAGTTTCTGAAAACCCAAATGGGAACCCTGTTGGACAACGTTAAACGCAACGAAGAGGTCTTGCGCCAGCGATTTCAAGTCGTTCAAGACCTACGTCTATTTAGGCTCACAATCCTAGCAGCCATATTCTTACCTTTGTCATTTACAACCAGCTTCTTTGGTATGAATATTGAGAGCCCAGCTATTGAAGGCCCATCGGGATTCTCAAATTGGGCCAAATCACAGTTGGAAGGACTGTCTCCAGAACTACGAAATTCAACCGAACTTCTCGCCTCTACCATAGGGGTTTCCGGATCTCTCAACTTCAACTGGCGCATTTTCGGCATCACCGCAGGCTGTCTTCTCCTCACTCTCCCTATCTCGTTAGCCATAGGCAGCATATTACGCGCCATAGCTAAAGGGGCTTCCAATGCGGCGATATACTGGCGTACCTTTCTTGCCATAGTTGCTCTATTCTGTATATTTGTCGGCATCGGCGGATACTATTTTTTGCACAAAGGTGTCTGGATAGGAGTGAATTCGTCGTTACTGTTATATGGACTCTACGTGGTTCTAAGAGCCGCCGTCAGAAGAAAGGAAAAACCCTTCTTCTGGTCGATAATTGTCGTTTTTACGGTGTTCACCATGTCACTTACTTTATCTTTTGATAACCCATTTTTCTCGTTCTACATGTTTATCCCATACGCATTGCTTTTCTTTCGGTTCAATTTGAGATATAATGCGAGCGTGTGGGGTTTCCTTTAGTTAGCAGGGTCTCGAGACTGCCGACAGTATAAGTCAGGTTGGCTGCCCGGGCCTTTGAAAATTGAACAATTTTTGCCTTTCGACTTTACTTTATTCTTGAAAATCGTGATCTTCGACTGGTCATTCAGCGGCCAATTTAGCTCGTTTGAAGACCAGGATAATCTCATTCAATTGATCAAATGCGGGAGGTCCCAGCCAAACACCAAACACATGTCAAATAATTATGGTTGTTGGTTTTGACTTCATAGCTTGGTTGCAATTCCCCTCTTTGACTGGCGCCGAGATCGTGATCACCGACTGTGGTTTGACAAGGGGCTGTACAGCAAAGCAAAGTAATGATTAAAGCAAACGAATGTATTGATGATTAGGATAAAAGCTATCTGTTGGAAGGTTCCAACCGAAGGTTGGATAAGTATATAATTAGTCGGACCTACCCGACTAATTGATAAAATCAGCTATTAATAATCCGATAAGAATATCTATACAGGTAACTTTTTATTTTTCCTTTTAATTAAAAGGAAATACTAGAATACAGATAAAAATATCCTTCTAAAAGTAGAAGTCTGTATAATAATAAATTAAATATATATAAATATATAAATTAGTTAGATATAAAATTTATCTAATAGGAACCTATTAAATCTATTAGTTAAATATATTAGTTATATATAATCTATCCCTCCTTATATATAATAACTGAATTATTATTAATAAACTATTCTAATAAATAGTTAGAGATAGATTTAGTAAAATAGTTAGTAAGATTATCTTTACTATTAATCTATTATATTTCTATTAATTTATAATACTTATATAATTAGTATAGAGCTATTATATTAATTATAAGTTATTTTTCCTTTATTATACTAAGTTTAACTAGATATTTATATAATAAATATAAATCTATATATATAATAATTAGAATATAGTTAATTAATAAATAGTTAGTAACTATTTAAAGAGTAGTTAAAATTATATATATAATATTAATACTAGTAACTATATTATAAACTTCTAATATAAAGATAGAATAAGTAATATATTTATATTTAGTTAAACTATAGTAGATAATATTACCTATTAGTTAGAATAAATTATTATTCTTATTATATTTATATTTATTTACTAAGATAATAATAAAACTAAGCTATAATATTAGATCTTAGTTATTAGTAAATAATCTATTAATAAATATAAAGAGTTTAGCTATTTTCAGATTAAAAGAGATAAAGTTTAATCCTTAATCTGGATTATTAATTTACTATTAAATATACTAATTTAAAGCTTTAATTTATATATCTAATAGATCTTAGTATTATATAGCTATAAATAGATTAAATAATATTTCCAGTTAGTAGATTAATATAATATATATATTATAGATATATTATTTAATATATTATTTCTTAGTTTAATTATTAGGCTAGATAAATTATAGTTTACTACTTTAACTCTTTTACTTTAATTAAATAATACTATTAGTATTAAGATTAATAATCCCTCTATTAAATATAATAGGATTATTAGGTATAAGGTATTACTTTAGTTTAGTAGTAAACTATACTTTCTTTAACTTATTAGTTTCCTGTTTATTAAATTTAGTATCTAATAGTCTGATTATATTATTAATCTATATTCTAATAAAGCTAAAGGAGTTATTATTAGCTATTATAATTAATAAATATAGATTATAGATTAAAGATTCTATCTAGAGTCTTTTTCTATAATATTTATTATATATATTCTACTAATAGATACTAGCTTTAGTTATTCTATAAAATAGTTTCTTAATTATTATAATAGAACCAGGTAGATATATATAATAGATTTATACTAGTAGATAGGCTAATATAATATAATTCAGTTCAGTTAATAATTATATATATACTTATATAATATTATAAAGCTATAGTTAGATTTAGTTATTATCTTATAAAAGTAATAAAGTAATTAAAAGAATAAATCTCTAACTTATTTATTAGATAGTTAGAGCTTATATTAGAATAATCTGTTTTTTATTATTAGTATAGCCTTATATAACTAACTGTAATTTCTTATAAGGTTAATTAGTACCTTTACCTTTAATTTTATTAACTATATAAAAGTTAAAGATATATATTCTAATATATAACTTCTTATTAAATAGGGTAATCTTAAAGATATCTCTATCTATTAGAATATTAATTTCAGCTTAATTAGACTATTTAAATAGTTTACTAGATATATAAATTTTCCCCTTCTTTTAGAGGGATATTACTAACTTAAGATTAGATTATTCCTTTACAGATAGGAATAAGATATTATCTTTATCTATAATAAGATATAAACTATTAATATTATTATTAAATATATTATTAGAATTTAGTTTATTAATAGAATTAGAAAAATTATTAATCTTAGATATAAAAGTAGTAGGTAGTTAAATATTATATTATTATTATATTATATAATATAGTATATTAATAATAATTATATCTAATATAGATTTATCTTTATCTTTATTAAGAGATAAAGAGTTATTATTTAGAGAATTATTTAATTTACTAGGTAGGAAGATATTAGTTTTATCTAATAGTAGGTTATTATTTAATAGAATATTATTATTATACTATAAACAGGGGCTATATAGAGCCCCCTATAAAAGAGCTATAAATAGCTAGTAGATAGAAAGAACTTAAGCCTTAAGAATTATATTATCTTATATATAAGTAAAGATATTATAAACCTAGGCTTTAACTATAAGCTATCTAACTATAACTATTCTATAGTTAATAACTAAGAACCTATCTATAATACTTAAGCTAGTTATAGCTAGTTCTAAGTATAATAGGTAATAGTAATTCTCTATTATTATAAAACCTTAAATACTTAATTTAATAGTTTAAAAAAGAGTAATAAAAGAAATATCTAGCTAGATACTAGCTAGAGCTAGTTTAAGAAATAATTATCTTAGTATATCTAATATTAAATATATATACTAAATTACTAATTTCCTTAAAAATAACCTAAACTTTATACTATAAGGTAGATTATTATAAATAATAATTATAGCCTGATTAGTTAAGATATTTATTAAATAAATTAACTCTAAGTATTTATTTTTTTAGCTATTAAAAAAGCAGAATATTAAAGCTCTAATATATTAGAACTTAATTAACTAATATATAGTTAGAGCTATCTAGAACTCTATAAAGTATATTATTTTAAAAATCTAAAAACTAGGAATTATACTAGTAAATAAACTAATTTTACTATATTTAGAAGATTTAGAAGCTAAGTTAGTAGAAGATAAAATCTTAAGGGAATAAATAGATATAGATATAAGTAAAGATCCTAAAAATATCTCTATTATCTCCTTAACTATATAAAGACAGAGAACTCTAGTTAAGATATAGCTAGGTTTAGAATATCTTATATAATTATAAGAATAACCCCTACTAGTTAGATCTATTCCTAGGTATTTCTAAATATATATACTAGGAAGAGAAAGATTAGATAGTTCTAAGTTATTACTAAATAATAGCTAAATATAGGAATAAGAATCTCTTTCTCTAAATTCTATAGTTAGTTCTAATAAAAGTTTAGATTTAATAGGAATAATATAGAGAAAAGATATCCTAATCTAATACTCTATTCTAATAATATCTAAAGACCTACTATTAGGGAAAAATAAAGAACTACTTTTTCTAGAGCTAAAATTTATTCTAAAGATAGTTAATCTAGAAATAGTTATAGAGGAAGTTAGAAATAATTATACTATTTTAATAAATAAAATAACTAAGGGTTTTTAGAGAAATTTAAATATTCTTATAGAGATAAGATTAATAACTATTACTCTACTTAAGTAGATACTTATTTAATTAATTATATTAAATAGTAACTAAACTATATTAATAGTATCTATCTCTAGAAATAATCTAGTTTAATTAGAAAAACTAATATCTATACTATTAGAGAATCTAACTTAATTTAAGAATAGTAAAACTAGCTATAGATAGATTAAGACTGAGTAAATCTAGAATAATTAAGGAAAAGGAACCTTAGTTACTATCTCTTAAACTACTAATTTAGATATAGGAGTAACTGCTCTAGTAGTATTAGGAATAGATATAAACTTAACTTAGTTAAAGAATACTATATCTATAGAGTAGAATAACCCTATCTGGAATATATCTAATATATAAAAGTATAACTAAGTAATAATTATCTAGTTAGTATAGAATTAAGAATAGCTAAATCTAAATCTAAACTAGTAAGAAGTAATTAGAGTTCTATAGGATATATATATATCTAAATAGAAATTAACTAATATTAATATCTTCTAGCTAGATATAAATAAGAAGCTAACTAATAATAATAAAATCTTTATAATTAAAATCTAAACTAGGTTTATTAATATAACCCTATAGCTAAATATAGTATAAGATATAGTAATCTTAGATAGCTATAAGAGAGCTAAATTATAATAGTTAGGTTGACTTATACTGGATAGGGTCTAGGATAGATCGGGGTTAAACTAATCAGAGTATTATTCTGAGTAGTACGATCAGGTTATCTTAGGCTGTATAATATAAGTTATTGAGATTTACCCTATAGACTATAGGGTAAGTCAGGTTACCCTATACCAGTTAATCAAATAATATCAGATTAGTATAGGGTAAGGAGGAATAAAATAACTAACTTAGGGCTTTCCAAAGCTAGAAGCCCGCTGGAGCCACCGGCCCAACCCGCTGTGGCTGCCCGTTAGGGCAATTGCGTTAGCAGGTCACAACCGCTGTAACAGCCGCTGTAGCAACTGTATTTAGCGATCTCATATTACGCTATAGCAGCTGCATTAGCGGTCCTCGTGTCCACTGTAGCGCTTGCATTAGCGGACCTCGTATCCGCTGTACGAGAACCTTAGCACTTAGTTAGTAAGCCTCGTAACCACTATAGCAGCTGCATTAGCAGTCCTCGTATCCGCTGTAGCGCTTGCATTAGTAGTCTCGTAATCCTCTATA